TCCGTCTCCAGCTGTGTCCGTCTCCAGCTGTGTCCGTCTCCAGCTGTTCTGCAGGGCACTGCAGCACTGCTCTCTGCCCAGCATGAGGGTGACGCTGGCTGAGCTGCTGCTGTTCCTGCTGGTGTCTGCTGCGTGCTGCCAGCCAGCCCAGATTAAGGCCTTGTAATAAGATTTCCGCATATATGCATATCTAGCTCACTCTGCTTGGTTTATTGTTAATATGATATGATGATTTCTGACTGCGTGCTACTATTTTTAGTCATTTTCTTCCTCTGAAAGCCAGAAATGCAGGAAGCTAAGCAATCTCCAGTGTAACACTGCTTTTCAGAGGAATACTCATTCTTTCACTTAAGATGATTTTATGCTGGATGTTTGTTGTTTAATGATGAGCGTGTGAGTCATGTTGGTTGTTGTATCCTGAGTTGTTAGAGACCAGTTATCCTGCTTGAAATACAGGGAAAGACTCTAGCAAGATTAATGTTTCAGCTTTCTTAATAACTGTTTAAAAGTATCTGGTTCTTGTAACTGTTGAAAAATTATCCTTTGAAAGCAAGTATAAGGGTTCTGGAAAAAATAGTAATGCTGTGGTCAGCTTTGCTACACAGAACAGCTGAGAGTGGGCTGTTCTTCCAGTTCATCCATCTATTTTATTGTAATAGGATTAAAAAAAGCAATATTTTCCCTTAAACATTGGAATTATCTGTTACATTTAATTTGTTTTCTAAAAATCTTTGCTACATCTCCATAAAAATAAAGATAGGAGCTGTGAAATAATTGAGGTGTTGGTCTGAACTGAGCTTCTTGCAGTGAGGTAACTGAAGAAAATGAACCAGAGCATCTGCCTCCACACATGAGATACCTCTTGATCTGCAGGGCATCTCAGAGCATGAAGTTAAGCCCATATTTCCTAACCAGCGCTGTGGTTTTTTCTCTTGGCAGTGGTGAAGTGAAAGAAGGCAGTCAGCAAATGCAGCACTCACTGCTCTCTGCGAGTTCTCCTGGTCTTACCAGGGGTTGCCCCAGCCCAAATGCAACACCCCACATTTGGCTTTGTTGAACCTCATTATGTTCATGTGGCCCCACTTCTCAGGCCTGTCCAGGTCCCTCTGTTTTATCAACAGCCTTTATCCAATATAATGGTATTGGCAAACTTGCTGAGGGTGCACTTGAAACCCTTGTCTGTCACTGATAGAGATTGGAACAACACTGATTTCAAGAGAGACTCCTGAGGGATGCCACTTGTGATGTCTTCCACCTGGACATAGAGTCATTGGCCACAACCCTCTGGCTGTGACCGTCCAGGCAATCCTTTATCTGTTGAATAGTCTACCTTTCAGATCTGTATTCCTCCACCTTAGAGGTAAGGATGTGATGTGATACCATGCCAGAGGCCTTGCAGAAGTCTAGGTAGATCATTTGCTCTTCCATCTGGTGATGCCATCAGTCCATTGTGGAAGTCCACCAGATTGGCCAGGCACGATCTGCCCTTGGTGAAGTCTTACAAAGCCTTACTGATTTTTAGTTCAGCATCAAGAGAGGTGTTCAGCTTCATCTTTCTGCATCCGATTGCAGCATCTAGATAGGATTGACAGTGCACAGTGTTAAAGGAAAAAGAGTAAAATAAACCAGAGTAAAACAAGAGGGATCATTTTCCTGTGATGCCTGCTTTATTTGTGAATGTACACATGGATAAAAGATGACTTTTGAATCAGTGTCTCCTCTGCCTGTTCATTTTCAGAGGGCTTAGAAAGGGTGAAATCTTTCTCTTTTTTGAGTTAGTGAGAACTTTCCCACAGCTCCAGTACAAGCAGGGTTGTACGCTACATGTTCATGTAGTTTAGTATTAAATGGGGAGATTGGTGGCCCTGCATGTGGCAGGAGGGTTGGAGATTCATGATTCTTGAGGTCCCTTCCATCCCTGACCATTCTGTGTAATGAAAGAAATGGAAAATGTGAAATGAATGTGTATTCACTGAGCTGCATTCACTCAACAGTATGTTTTAAAACTAAGCACGTCTGCCTCAGAGTCAGGTGATAAAAAAATAACCAAAATTCACTATTCCTGAGTTGGAGGAGACCCACAGGGATCATCAACTTGCTGTCATCAAACCCCCAGCTCCTCTTCTGTGGGGCTGCTTGTCTCCCAGTCTGTGCACAGAGCCAGGGCTGCCCTGTCCCAGTGCAGATTCTGGTGCTTGGCTCTTGTTAGACTTCATGGTGTTGGTGATTGTTCATCCCTCTAGTTTTTCACCATCTCCCTGAGAGACCACTCCTCCCAAATTTAGGAATCTCCTGGACTGTTTGTATCAGCTGTGTGGTATTGTCAGTTAACATCTGATGAGTTGAAATCACCCGTAAGGACCGGGGTGGCTGATCTACAGGGCTCTCTTTGTTCCTTGAAGAACAATTCCTCCGTGTCCCTGTGCTTTCTGGGTGGCCGCTCCACAGCTCCCACTTTATTCTTGTCTTGACTTTCTGATGCATGGGGAGACGCTGGCTGAGAGATTCTGATGCAGGAACAGCTAAAAAGTGTTTTGGAGCCAGACAGAGTAAGGAGCCTTTGGTCCTTGTGCCCAAGAACTGGTGTTCGATCTCTGTAGGAGACAGAGCAGGATATGCTGCCGTACGCTTACCTGAGATGTTCTTCTTCCCTGAGAGCACTTAGAGTGGCATTAATTTTTAATATTGCTGTCTCTGTTTCTTCTCCAAGTGGTTAGCTGATTTCTAGTTTTCTGTTTCTTTGATTACTTTGAGATTGCAAGACAGACAGGAACTGAGTAAGAAGAGTCTTACTGTGGGACATTTAATCTTTCAGTCATTTTCTCTAAACTAAACCCAAGCAGCGGTAGCAAATCCAGGAATCCTATTAAAGTTGACCTACATAGTGGGAATAAAATTGGTCTCATGCCTTCTTTTGCTTCGAATGTTTTCCTTAATGCCAGTTAATGTTTCTGGCTACTATAAACATAATTCCTGCCTGGCTGGGTGGCACATTCCTGGGTGAGGAACTGGGGAAAGCTGGGCCCCTAGAGCCAAGAAAGCTGTGCGGGAGTGAAAGCCAGGCAAGTGAGATGCGACAGGGATTTAGCAGTTGGCTGTAATTAGAAGTTTGTCAACAGAGCATTAGTGTGGAGCACTTCCAGCAAATCCCTGAGAGGAGGCAGAGGAAAACACTTCTTTTCTTAGTATAGCTTCAACCAGTCCAAACCAAACTAACTGGCCTCTTTAAGTCTGTTGTTCAGTGTGGCTATCTTGGTTAGAACTTTTTTTTTTCTTCCTTTTTTTAGTCAGAGTTGAATGATACAGTTGTTCTGGAAACCATATCACAGAATGGCCCTGGTTGGAAGGGACCTCCAGGATCATAAAGCTGATAAATCTGAATTCCACGCCCCCCCCTCCCCCCCAGCGCCCTCTGCATGCAGGGCCACCAACGTCCACATTTCACAGCAGCCCAGGCTGCCCAGGGCCCCATCCAACCTGGCCTTGAACACCTCCAGGGATGGACGGGGCATCACAGCCTCTCTGGGCAGCTGTTCCAGCACCTCACCACTCTCTGTAAAGAACTTCCCCTGACATCCAACCTAAATCTTCACTCCCTCGACTTCAAACCATTTCCCCTTGTCCTGCTGTTATCCACCCTTTCAAAGAGTTGCCTCCCCTCCTGTTTGCAGGCTCCCTTTAGGTACTGCAGGCTGCAATGAGGTCACCCCGCAGCCTTCTTTGCTCCATGCTGAACAAGCCCAGGTCCCTCAGCCTGTCATCATAGGTGCACCAGTCCTGCAATATCTTTGTGGCTCTCCTCTGGACCCTTTCCAGCAGCTCTCTGTCTTTCTTGTACTGGGGACCCAGATGTGGATACATTACTGGGGAATAGGAATTTCAAGAATAAGTCTGCCTTTCTCAGAGTCCATAAAGTGGTTTGCTGGTTGTCGGTTAGTGACTGCGTGGTTTTTATGTTGAATTGACATTTCAGAGAAAAAAAAATCTAAAATTTTTTACAGACTCAAAATTTAATGAAAGAAGGGGTATCGTGATACATCAGGGCAGAATGGAAAAGAAAGTTGAAGTCTCTGTAAGGATTAAAAGCACAGAGTGCAGGAGAATGAGGCATAGCCAAAATGCGTGTATGCTTTTCTGTAGATGCAGGTTTGTAGAAATAAGAAGTGTTTCGTTGTTGAGGTGAATTTACTGATGTCCAGAGAAGGCTGGCTGGGATTTCCTTCCTGCGAGGTCTCATCAGCCACTGCTTCCTTTCTTCACTGATTGAGGTGTAACTCAGCTTACAGAACTGAGAGAGTAAGACTCAAGTTTTTTTCAGCAACTCAGGAGTTTAGAAGTGCAATCCTTACAGAATCATCTCTTTCAAAGTTACTCTGTTTTTTGTCATGTAACTCTCTATCCCTTATTTGATGTATGCCTTTTCCCTAACCTCTGGTTGAAGATCTGGGAAGTGGAATGCAAAGGTGACTGTTAGGTCTGATGGTTGTGGATAGGTTTTCTGCAAGGCTTGTATGTTTCCTGCAAAACTTAGGTGCAACATCATTAATAGTGGAGGTTTTCTGATGTCCGAAGGAGATTTCTGACATAGGTGCTTCTAAATGCGTGACTGTAGGTACAACATTCTTCTTTTCTGACATAAAACTAACAGGAGTCCAAATTCAGCTGAGCATGACGAATAAAGATGTTGCTGAAGATGATAGAATCATATTGGTTTACATAATTTGCTTTGGACAATAACTTATATCTTAATGATACACAGAATACATCTTTTACTTTGTTTTATAAGATACTATTTCTAGCTTGATTAAAGGTCGTTATACTACTTAAAGCACGTGGAGATTCTCATCTCTTGCTTTTTGTGTGCATATGTATCCACACAACATGGGAAGAGAGGAGGGGAAAAGTCATATAGCACGAACACTTTATGTTTGTTCCTCATCCTTGCTTCCTTCTCTGGCTTTTTCCTGTCCAGAAGTTTATAGAGTTTGAAGATGCACTGGAACAGGAGAAGAAGGAGCTACAAATCCAAGTGGAACACCTTGAATTTCAGACTCGACAGTTGGAGCTGAAGACCAAAAACTATGCAGATCAGAGTAAGCAAAGTTGTGCACCAGTTATGATTATATAGTTTGCTTTCTGTGAGTATATACTTGCAGATATTTTTCATGTGCTCTTTTTTTTGTCATTTGTTTTAATGTAATTTATGCAAAGCCTGAAATCTTTGGCTGTCCCTTTCTTTGGTACAAAATTCTGAGCCATCTACAGGGTGGATGTATCCACACAGTTTAGTACAGGTTTCGTTGTTTCTCTTGCATGGAGCGTGCCTAATCTCCCCAGCTGTAAGGTATGGACCATTGCTGAAGGTTTTGATGTCTGATTTTTAGTTTCTCCTTGTACCTGAAAAGAACCTCCTATGTTTTTCATCATATAAATGAATGCATTTTGTTGGTTAAGGTTCCCGTCACATTCTAACACTCCTTGTACTGAAACAGCCAGAGTCACCCGCCCCAAAGGTTAATTTAAATTGTCGTCGAACCACCATACTTAAAAGGCACCAGGCTCAGGAGTTCTGTTTTTACACTTGTCTTGCACCACCATGAAGTGACTTTGTAATGAAATCCACATTATAGTGCATTATTGTGTTCCTTTTTGTTCAGTAGGTAGGAATTCATTTTCAGCACAGCATACCTATTTTGTGGTACAAGTTTTGAGATTTCTTTAGATTCTTTGAGGGTCTTAATCTGTATGTTAGCTAATGGTTGGAATCTTTTTTTTGGCAGTTTCACGGCTGGAAGAGCGTGAATCAGAAATGAAGAAAGAGTACAATGCTTTACATCAGCGTCACACAGAGGTAAGCTTTTGTCTGATACCTTCCAAATAAACAAACCCTTAGTTTACTCATAAAATCATGTCTGAGGATTCAGCTTTGTCATCCTGGCAGTGACTAGAGCTTCTGAACTTTGAGAACATCAAAATTATCTGAAGGGAGGGTGCAAGGAGGATGAAGCCATGCTCTTTTCAATGGTGCCCATTGCCAGTCAGAGGGCACAGAAAGTTCTGTCTCAATGTCAAATAGCACTTCTCTGTGTTCAGGTGGCCGGGTGCTGGCACAGGTTGTGTAAGGAGATTGTGGAATCTCCTTAACTGGGGATGTTCACAAACCATCTGGGCATGGTCCTTTGTGACCTGCCTTGGGTGGCCCTGCCTAAATAGGAGCATTGGACAAGATGACCTCCAGAGGTCCCTTCTAACATCACTGGTCAGTAATTCTGTGAACAGAGCTCTCCTCCCTCACCTTCCACAACTAACCAGCCTCATGGAGACCTATATAAATGTTGGATATGCTTTTTCATGGTTTAAGGTTAAGCTTAAGCCATTTCTGACACGGTTTTGTGACAGATTTTCTGTCAGACTTGTCCATTCACTTATGTCACCAGTTAAAAAAAAAAAAAAAAAAAAGAAGCAAAGATGAGTGTTTTTTTATATGTATATATATTTTTAAGAAAAAGGAAAATTGGAAATGAATCTGGAAAACAGTATTCAAAAAACAGGAATCACAGAATATCTCAAGTTGGAAGGGACACATAACGATTGAGTCCCTTAGAGTCTTTTCAGTTTGGCTCATGTATGTTTTCCTCTTCACAGATGATTCAGACCTACGTGGAACACATTGAACGATCCAAAATGCAGCAGGTTGGGGGAAATAATCAAACTGAGGGCAGTGTACCTGGGAGAAGGTAGGACCATAACCTCTCCATATAATGTTTGCCATCCAGGAACTTATAAAATGAGTGCATATTTGTGAGAGAAAGAAACCAGACAAAGGATCTTTCCTTGTGGGCATGGATTATACCTGAAGCTTTTTGTAATGTGTTGATGATGATTTATAGGTAAGTTCTCTAAGGTTTGACAGAGAGGAGTTTTGTGTGTTCTGTTACAAAGCTTAGACTTTATGGTGCTGCTGCACATGGGGTCTTCTGGAAAGAGATGTTTGTGTTCTCAGGTGGCATGTAAAAGACTTGTCTATAAAATGGATGGAGATGGAAGAAGGCGTTCACTTGTGTGTGTGTGTCTGTGTGTATGTGTGATGGCCAGCAAAACTGGAGTAGTTAAATGCATTAGCCTTTATATAACTTCTTCCCCAGTTTCTTCAAGAGAAGATTTCTCTGAGTCAGTCACTCTGTAGACCTACTTATGCCCAAGAAAGTGATTTTTTTTCCCTCTGTTTTCATAGCACCAAACTGGTAAGAACCAGCCTCTGTTTAAAAGAATGGCAGTAGTATGAAATGAAGTTCAGTGTATAAAAACACTATTTTTTGGAGCCTTACACTAAATTTAAAGCACAAAAATTCCAATTGCAATCATTTCATTACAGATACATTATATGGACCAATAATATTGCCCATAGGCTGTGAAAGAAAAAAAAAAGTGGTGTTCCATAAATACTGATCAGAGAAGTAATAAATCAAATAAAGCATCGTATAAATCTATTTGTACTGAGTACAATCTATTAAGCCACTGAGACGTATAAAAAGATTATTTCAAATGAAGAAAAAAAAAAAAAATGTTTAGAAAAAGGGAGGAATAAGGATATTTTAGTACCCTATGTTTAGATCTGTAACATTTAAATACTAAGGACTCCACTGGGTTTGGGATAAAGAAAGTGGAAGGAAGTGTCAGGTCTTGAAATAAGAAATTTAAGTTCTCTGGAAGCTGTGGCTTCCTTTTTCTGGATTGGAGTGCCTGGGAAGAAGTTCAGATTGTAGAAGTTTTGACTGTGTATTGTAAAACAGAAAAGGAGAGAGCAAGAGAGACACAAACTCCTACCCCCAAGAGGGAGGCTTGAAGGATGTGGAGAGGGAGAAGTAGAAAACACGAGTTTTCAGAAGAGCGTGGGACTTCTGCCTGATTCCATACAGACATGATATTCCTTCCCCAGCCAGTGCTTTGCATTCTGCCAGAGCTTCATGGTGTGAGAGGACTGGTGGCATACTGGTGTGCACACAGGGCTGGTGGGGGGAACAGGAGCTTTGTTCACAGCTGTTGGTAATGTAACATCATAGTGTTAGAAGGAAGGGAGGATGCTGAAGGAAAATGGGCTCGGTAACTGCAGAGCACGTTTGAGACTTCTGCTGAGCTGTGTGCTTCTGCTGTCAGATGACTTTGTACACCCATGGTAGAGGGGAAACAAGATAGACTGGGTCTTGGTCATCCTACTCACTTCTCCCACCTACCTGAAAGGTGTGGATGTTGGTAGGAAGAATAGCTGTGCTGATGTGTGCATTTATCTCTTGTTGCCATCTCCATGTCTCAGCTGGGAATGGGGGGAACTGTGAGCTGCTGAGCAGGCAGGGTGCAGCATAGCTGGAAACGAAGTGTCAGTGTGTGCTCCTGTTTCTTTCATTCTGCAGGGAGCAGCTGAGCTCTCCTGCCACGGGAAATATTCAGCAACATTTCAGGGGCAGCAATGTAGCAGTTTTAAGCAGTTGCATCCTAATCTCAAGAGTCAGAAAGGCTTATCTAGGTTTTCTCCCACATACACTCCCTGATGGACAGTACGAATCTGTATCAGATCTAAAAGGAACTGGAACAGGAGCATTGTGATCTGAGCTGAGCTCTTTGCGTAGCCATAGAAATCCCAAGCCATATAAATCCCAAACTTCAAAGCTGGTGATCCTCTGTGGATCTATCTTTCCAACATGAACAGTTGCACTTAAGTCAGAAGCAGCTGCTGTGTGACACATGCTCCTTCAGAGTTTAAAAAATAAAAAATAAAATCAAAGAGCAAAGTTGTGTTCATTTACTATTTTATTGCATCCCATAATAGTAAAAGATACTTGTAACCTTAGGTACAATACCAGCACACGGCTGGAAGATAGTAGTGTAAGAAGGATCCTTGTACACTGAATTGATTGACAAGACATCATCTCATAGGGAGGAGAAGCCACAGTTGATTTATACTTCTTCTGTGTAGTCCTTTCAGAAAAGAGCATCTTAATGTATTTGTTTTAGAGAGGAATAACTGAAGGTTGTGGTACTTGTAAAGTGGGCTGAATAGTAAGTTCTCAGTGCTATGTTTTCTGCAAAACAGTAAATTAATGTCGGGTCAGAGTGGCTAGAAGAATAAAACTGATTACAGACTACAGTGTTTGGAGTCCAGCATTCTGGCCCCTTCCCATCTGACGGTGGTGCTTTTCCAGTATACCAGTGGACAAGTATTGAAACCTATACAGGGAAGAAAGAGCAGAAGTTAGATGGTGGCCTCTCTAGGCAAACAGGGGCAACGATGGGTATGGAAAGAGAAGATATGGTGTGAAAAGAACCAGTAGGTTGTAGGTTGTTCTTAGGATTGCGAGAGCACGTGTTCCTGACAGCTCCATCAACAGCCAAATTTGGAAAGGACTGCTTGAAATTGGTTCTGATGAGTTTTCCCTAATTGTGAAAAAAGCTAAAATTAATGGTGGCTTTTTGTTACCATTCAGTGAAGGAAATACACAGTGAGAAATGTTTACTGGTTGTATCTGTAAGACCACCATTCTCTGATGTGAAGAACAAAACTTTCACTGAGGATTGTCTCTGTGATGGAAGAACGCCTTTACATGTGACATATTGCTAGCTCCTGGAAGAATGCAAAAATAGAGGAGCTCTCTATGTCTGTCACAGCCCCTGCCAGGCCTCCATCTGAGTCTGTAGGAACAACAACTGGAAAGTGGGTCGTCTTCCTTCATTTCAAGCTTTGTGCTGTTCGTGTGTGCTGTGTTTGTGTATGCTTGTGCCTTTGAGGGATGTGTGTTCTTGTGTCTCTGCACAGCTGTGTGAGTTGGTATGCTGATGTGTTTTGGGGGGGGATATGGCTGTAATCTCTCACTGTCTTCATAGGTGTTTGTGAGTGCATTTGGTTGCTTTCACCTGTGGATGTGCTTGGGTGTGTTTTGTATGGTAGTCTGTGTAGGTACATGTTTGCATAAGGCCATAAATACACCAAGGATGCTTGCTTATCACTTGAGAGAAGATAGTGCAAGAAATGCTGGGTATGTGTGTGTTTACTGCCATCTGAGCAGGGGGACGAGTATAGTGCACACCTTCATGTAGTAAGAATAAAAATGCATGCACATGCTTTCTCTGATAGGGCTGCACGTTTGCATGACCTTCATTCTCTAATTGTTGTTGTTGTTTTGTTTTTTTTTGTCCTGCTTTTTGTGCAATTGCTGCTCTGTTTTGGCTGTTACGTTTGTCGCTGCAGTCATCGCCAGTCATGGAGGAAAAGGTAAACCCTACTGCTGCATCTTAACTTTGTTAATCGTAGTTTCGGAGTTTGCTGTTGGGTGGCCATGGTGTGATGCTGAAAGGCCTGTTTGCCCTCTTTGTGTACTGACATCTGCATTAGACTCACACACAGCACGCTTCCCTTGGCTGGTGCAGAGGGAGCCAGCAAGCTGCTAAATCAGGAAGGATGTGTGCACTCAAAAGCAGAAAGTGCAGGTCCCAAACCAGGATCATCCCTGTGTAATTGGACTTTTGCACTTCACTTCCCAGAATATTTTAAAAAGTTGTCTTTTCTCCCTTTAATTAGAATCGTGGAATCACCAAGGTTGGAAAAAACCTCCAATCATCCAATCCAACTATCCACCTATCACCAATATTTCCCTTCTAAACCACAACCCTGCCTACTGCATCTACATGTTTCTTGAACACTTCCTATAGGAATACAAAATAGGCATATTTTCTAGGCAGGGCAGGGAATGCATGTCACCAGTAACTGTCAGAAAGCACATCTGACTTTGGGTGAGGCAGAGTTCTGCACACCCAGCCTACAAAGAGGGCAGTTACCATCTTGCAATGATGGCAAACACAGTAGTTCTGTTACATTTTCTAAGCTTTAGGCTGTTACGGGAGGAGCATTCTGATCCAGGTTTTGGCTACTGCAAGCCACTACAGAGGCTTTTGCTGTTTTCCTCGCAACACACAGTAGAAATAACCAAGTGCTCAGGGTCCCTCTGGACCAGAAGGACGTGGGTGTACGAAAGTCACTCCAAAGGGCTGTAGTCAGCACTGAAAATTTCTGCCAACCCTGAGGATATTCTGAACTACTTTGAGGACTGGTAACACCAACATCAAGACTGCAAAACTGAAGTTAGTTTTCCTGCAGTTTTTGCTCTTCCCTGGGAGATGCAGAAGAGGCTGGAAAGTATTTTCAGACAAACACAGTGTGGAAATTTTCAGTGCAGCTTTCCTTGCAGTCTACATCAAAATACTTCCCTGAAGATCCTACAGTTTCTGATGTTACTTCATACTCCTCTTCTTTGTTAGCACAGATGATAAAGTTCATGTAGTCTGTTTACATTCAGTGGGGATCTGACAAATTACCTGAAGACGAGGTATAATTTAACATCAGAGTCAGCATGTGTTTGGGATGGCCCCATTTCTCCTGAGTTTCTGCATGTTAGGCCATACTAATTAGGCCATAATCTCAGAAGTGTTTATAGTATACTGTCAGATAATTTGACACCTGTTCTGCAGAAATAAATTATTTTTAAGAATATTTTAGAGCTATAGGAACTTTTCTCAAGCTGTAATGCAGCTGTGAAGTGTGATGTCCCTAGGGCCATCATTTTCGTAGCTATGTGCTGCTTTTGTAAGAGGATTTATTTACGAAATTTCTCTGTGTGAATCTTTAGGATTTTCAGGAGAAGATTTTAATGGGGATTCTTAAGAAAAGTTTCCCAAGTCTCCCTGCTGGACCACAGTAAAAATCCCTTTTTGCCTCTCCTGCTTTTCCCAGATGGGCCACAGCAAGCAGTCACTCCAAGCAGGAGCCACACTGGCATAGCAGTGCAGCGTGCCGTGTCAGCTGGGCAGTGCTCAGAACAGAAAGGCTGAGCATTTGTCTATTCTGTTAGACATTTTGCTTTTGCTTTGTAAATGAACTCTTTTCTGCCCGTGTCAGTGTGTATGAGTTGGTCTTGGGGCGGCCTTAGGTGCAGCTGCAGTTGTTTTCACCCATGGTCACAGACCACAGAATCACAGAACATTTGGATTGAAGGGACCTCTGGAGGCCACCTGGTCCCACTCTGTGATGGTGGTAGCTAAGCTGAATTTTAGCAAAATGATTGCTATGTCCCTTAGCAGCACTGAACTGGGCTGGCGTGGAACCTGGTGGAGAGGGAAGCAGATCAGTGTTTTGCAAGGAGGTGCCCACTGCTGCCCTGTTTCTGGAGTGTTCATGCTGACAAGCCACTTCCTTTCTTTGAATTTCCACCTCCACTGCTTGCTCTATATTTTCTCCCACTGGAACTTGGTCCCAAAATCTGTGCCAGCTTACATATTCAGTATCAAATCCACAGCTCGCTGGTCACCTGCACTTGCCAGAAAAAGAGTGGTGAAGAAAATGTATTTATTTATGAGTTTGTTTAAATTCTGAATTTTGATGGACTGTAGTTAGATATGGAGAGTGGATCATGGAATGCAAGTATTACTTCTTTTGCTTAGTATTGGAAATGATCCCAAACCCACTGATTTCTGCTGTTGCTGCAAACCAGGTTTGGGGTGGAATGTACAAAAGTGGCATGTAGGTGACTCAATTCAGCCTCTTTTCTTCATTCAGTGATGACCATTTTGTTGTGGGATTGTCTGCTGTGGCTTGTTTTCCCACAGTACATCTGTTTCTCAGAGGACACATTGGTTTAAATTGGCTCAGTTCATTGCACTTCTGCATTTCCTTGAAACATTGCATGGAGGTGGTGATGTCAGTTGTGCCTGTTTTGGTCTCTTCACCCCTTCTGACTTTCTAGGAATATGCTTGGCTCTACCCGTAGACACCCTGGATCTGAACAAGCAGCACCGTGGAGCTGTGGGTTTGGGAGTCCACCCAGCTGCTAAGCTGGGAGAAGGAGTGCAGTTCAATTTCTAATAACTAATATTTCGCATGAGCTAATGTGCTGTTTCTTTTGTGTATGAACCTTGTAAACAGCTAACAGATTGGCTTTTCCTCTCTCTCTGTTTCTCTGTTTAGCAGGAAGGAACGTCCTAACTCTCTGAATGTCTTCCCCCTCGCGGATGGCATGGTACGTGGGCAGATAGGGGCCAAGATCGTCCCAACACTGGACCACTGGCACCTGAGTGACCTCGGCCAGCTGCAGTCCAACTCCAGCTACAAGGTTTTATAGACCATCTCGGAGCAAGGGTTTCCCACTCTGCAACTGTCAATAGCATCCCATGTTTTCATTAAGGTGGAGATTAACCTGTGTCCATAACCCTTTGCAGCCTCTTCCTGCTGTGCGTTTTCTCCTGTGATGGCTGTGCTGAGGAGGGAGGATGTCCATCACAGATCTGGCATATGGTGCAGGAGGGATTTATACAGATCCTCATGCTTGCTACCTCCTTGTCTCAGTGTTAATGTCCTTTATTTGGCTGGCCCCAGGTTGAAAGGAGTGTGTGGAGGCAGCTAGAAATATAGGGAAGATAAAATCTTCAACTTTTTTAGCTTATTTGTGAGAGGAAATGATGGAGCCTGCCTCCTCTCTTCCCCTCAGTAATAACAAGGCTTTTGCTCCTCACCTGGGGCCAGGCATAGGGTTATACTTGCTCTTCAGCAGTTGTTCTTTTTGTCTTACCACTCTTCTGGCCTTCCTATTTTCAGTTATAAGGAGTACTAAACCTCTCTGACTGCCCAAGTCCTGCACTGTGCTTAAAGCTCTTCACTTCCTCACACGTCTGGTCTGCAGCTCTATTCTTGCATTGTCTACATCCAATTCAGTGCACTGCCTTCTGCACTGGGGCTTGCCAGAATTTGGTGTGGTCATGGTAGCCACACCAAAGCAGCTGGATAGTTGTGCCTCTTGCTTCAGGTGCTCTGCTCTGCCATTTGGAGACTGCTTTGAGCCCAAAGACCCAGAGGTTGTGCTCTTAGTTGACAGATTTGTGCATTTATTAACAGTTTATGCCATACATGGTGAGCCATATTTCCCACATGCTGTACCTGTAGACTTCTCAAAGTCTTTGCTCAGAATCCTACCGAATTCCTCTTCAAGCAGTGTTTCCCAGGTGCCTGGTGGCAGGCCTGACAGCCAGTGATGCATCCACCCAGCATGGCTTGCAGTATGTCCTCCCTGCAAAGCTTCTGGTCTGCTTTAAAAATACCTTATAAAGGGCTAGTCAGATCCTACACCAATTTCTGGAAAGCTTTACTGCAATTAGGGAAGAGCAAAGCCACAGACAGTAGGATGAGGATGTGAAGGTGTGGCTTCAGGTAGACTAGGGTGTGCCAGCACGTTGCTGTAGGTGTGCACACAGCAACCAAGATGTACAGAGACTTACTTCTGCAAATAACTTATTGCTCTGATCTCCCAACTGAGCTGTACACTATTGTATGGATGTGCTCTCAAGCTCTCTACTGGTCAGGAACATGTGGCAGGTGTAAGCCTCAGGGGAGCTGTAAGGAAGTTGAGGTCAAATCCACCTCCCAGACTTCTGAAGGTGTAATTCTTTCAGATGTATCACTGCAGAGCTTCTGGAAGGTTTTCAGTGAGAGTTGAGTGGAGCTCATCAGTAACTCAGGATCTGCATTACAGGAGAATACAACAGGAATCCAGATAAATTCTAAGCTTTGGTTTCCAAGCTGGGATAATGGAGAGTTACTGACTTGATAACTTTGTAATGTATTATTGGTGGTGTCAGGCAAAAAGCCCATTTCTGGTAAAAAGAGAACATTGTGCAGAGGTAGTTCTGTGCTCCTCTACATGTATTTGATGGGTAGTTCTGGGGTTGGTGTTGATGCTTGTTAGGAAAATGCAGAAGGGGGAAACACGCTGTGGAGGTCAGCTGATAGTGTGCAGATAGAGCTTGGGCTATGGAAGATTTGGATAGCTAGCGTGTTATGGTGGATTTCCTAAGAGTATGGAACAAACCTATGAATAATTAAAAGGACTGATTAGCTGACTTGCTGGATTTGCAATTTGGAATGGAAAATTTTCCTCTTGCAAGCTACTTATGTACTCTCTCTGACTAAATAGCATTTCTCAGCTATTTTATGCATGACTGAAATCTCAGCAGTGGTGGTGCTCGAGCACTCCTTGCTTTTTCTTTATCTGCTCTGATGTTTCATTGACAATGACTGCAAACACATAACTTACTTTCCCAGTATTTTTATCTTGACCTTTCTCTCTAGTTTTCCTCCTTCATGGGGCCATATGTTAGTTATGTTTTAATTGTCCTTGTATACTTATTATGACTATTTTCTATTTAAGTTGCTGTCTTTGTTATTTTATTTTTACATTCAGTTGCACATTTATTTTACATAATAATTTGGAGATGAAAGTCCTTAACGTTTTTGTTTTTATGTACTATGCTTTCAGTGTTATAACCATACAATTGTGACTACTCATGGTGACATATGACTGCTATGAATGTTGAGCCTTTGCAATGCATTTTGGAGGTCACTGCTACACATTTGATGTTTAGGAGGTTGACAGGTATGGCTGTAGGTAAGTGGTGGTTGTGGAGAGTATTCTTTGGGTGAGCTGTGGGCTATGCAGTGTGCCTCCCAGACTGCAGAGGAAAGCTGTACAAAAGGACAGTAGAAGGAAGTTTAATAGAGATTCTGGACTGTGAAGAAGAGTGCTTTGGTAGTGTTTACATTTGAGAGGAATTTCTCCAGGGCAGGCTGGTAGACTTAATAAAGGATGCTTTCTAATGACTGTAAACTACAGATATATATAGTGAGTGTAATTACATGTGTAATTACTCCCTGATGTGCTCTGGGTGAAAGAAAGATAATGTCAATTAACAAGAAGCTATGGGATGTCTTCACAATACAAGTATGTATCACTCTGTAGACACTGATAATGTAGAACTTGTAAATGACATCTAGATCCCAAGTGCAAGAAACTTCGTGTGTACACATGTAGTGTACCCATCTGCATGTCTCTTCTGCAGTGCTAAAATCCTCATGGACTTGTTATGCTTACATGTTGTGGGTACAAGAAGAAGCTTTGAATCTGTTCATCCAACAGAAGTTCCTTTTGGTTGGGGGAAGAGGTTTTGTGATTGCACTTTACACTTGGTGTTCTTTGTCCCTTTGTATGACAAAGCACAGCAGATAAATTGCAGCTGAAGTGTTAGAAGGTTTACTGGATCACATTCACAAAAACTGAATAAAACTATTAAAAAAGTAACTCATGAAACAATCTGAAGTGGAGGTGAGAAGTGTGGTTTCCACATGTATTCACAGTAAAGTGTTTCTATCCCAGTTTTGCTTGTAAAATCAGCAAACGTGCAGGGAAGCAATTGGAACTTCCAAGTAGGAATATGGGGGCTATTTGGACTGGCAGTGCAGAAACCAAACAAGTCATTGATTTTTTTGAATGGTCAAATATTAAAAATAAATCTTAACTTTTTATGTAAATGCACAGATGCAATATAAAGCCTTTGACTTCTGCAGTACAATGTACTGCAGGGTATTTTAAGATAGGCATAGAGGCCAGTCTAATTAAAGGAATGTGTTAATAAGATTCCAGATTAAAAAAAAAAAAAAAGGCTGCAAAGGGTTAATATATTTCAGTCTTTTCTATCATCCCATTTTGAATTGCTTTGTTATGTTGTGCAGTTAATATTACAACAGTAGAGCAAGCCTTAGAAATCGGTGAAGTGAACCAGCATCACAGCTCCGAGGATGGGAGGCCCTGAAGCAGCTGCTGAGCAGTCTGAGTCTTTGCAGCAGTTGCACAGGAGGGGAGAGGCAAGCAATAACAGTTATAGCTGAGTCTGGGTGTGCAGCTGCTGAATGTCACTGCACCCAATTGCAACTCATTAGCACGTATAACTCTCCAAATTCATTTTGCCATCTCCCTGCCGGCAGCAATTAGAGTGGGCTGCCATGAAGAAAGGAGAGATCTCATTTGGTCCTGGGAATGATTACTGCATTGGTCAAGGCGTTAATTGGCTGACTTTGAAGCGGTGCCACTTTAATGGACAAAGAAGGGCTGCAGTATAAAATCCTCACAGAGCCTTACAAGCCTCCTATGCTTTTCAAGAGGTGTTACGACAAGAAATGGGGCTGTAATGTCTGTAAAGCTGGACCTCATTTGTGCACATTTCACAATGGAAGTCTGTCGCCTATGTTAATTTGTCAGCTTCTTATTTTTGAGTTTCTGGGTCTTGCCTAATCAATCTGGGGAGACCATGCCTCTTTCTGCTGTGTTGTCAAGCCAGATCCATGCCTGGCTAGCTTCTGCATAACATCATGTGGGGACATAGGTCCTCCACCACTAGCAAAATCAGACCATTCGTTTGCTAGCCACTTTGCTTCTGCAGTTTGGTGTCAAAAATACGCTGCTGTTCTCTCACCACAAGGGATTCTCATCCAGGTTATGTCAGTGGCTTACTGTAATGACAGCTTCTGGATCCTCTAAGAGCTCATGTCTTTCCCAAGCAATGCCCGTCTTACCTTCCAGTCTTGGGAAGTGCTGTCCTGGCTTACTGCAAGTGCCAAAGCCTTTCAGCTTCTGCTGTAGTCAGTGGCAATTGGAGGTGCTTTTCACTTATGAAAAGGCCTTCTTCCTTGAGGTGCATGATGAACAGGTCACATAGTGATGTGACTTATGAAGATAAGTCTTCATAGTACAAGAAGAAGGATGTCGATCCTTTCACCGGTAGGATTTGCTTGCTGAGTTCAGCATGAGAACTCACTGCTACGTTCTGGTTGCAGTGCCATGTGTCACCAGTGAATGCTGGGCATTTAGTCGGTACAGTGAGCAAGGCTCATTTTGCTTAATGCTTTAAGGCAGCCATATACCAACAAATCGAAGATCAACTGAAATAAATAGCTCTGCTTTTCCCTTTTTGTTCTTTTCCTACCCTGCAATCGCCGTAGTGTCCCCAGGATGAAATGTCTGAATCTGGGCAGTCCTCAGCAGCTGCCACGCCGAGCACCACCGGAACCAAGTCCAACACTCCCACATCATCTGTGCCCTCTGCTGCTGTCACACCCCTGAACGAGAGCATCCAACCCATCAGTGAATACAATGGCACAACCAAGAGCAACAAGAGGACACGAGAAAAGCGGAACAGCCGGAACATGGAAGTGCAGGTCACACAGGAGATGAGGAACGTCAGCATAGGTATGGGAGCTGGATCATGTGTTCTTGATCAGGAAATTAATTTCCTTCGCAGTGCTTGTGTCCTTCTGTAACAGTCGAAGGCTGGGAGACTGATACGTAATCAGCTTCTATCCCAAATAGAATTAAGTGTGAGCTTTTTTCTGAGTAGCAAACTTTGTTAAAAAGTCAGTAATGTGAATGGTTTCCCAGGTATGCAGGATGGCAGTAGATATTGAGTCCATTTCCCTGCAGGTGCATTCATCCATGTCATAGAACCCCTGTCATGAATGAGAAAGCCCCATATTGGAGCTTTTGGGAAGCAGTTTCTGGGCCTCGTTAATATGCTAGTTAAAAACTTTGTTAACTTTTTTTCTCTGGATTTATTCTGAAGTATTTTATACCCAGCTGTTCATATATCATAATTGTCAGTTCGGTTAAATAATTATTTTCCCTCCCGTGTGTTTACTCCACACCCAGATGTATTTTAAAAGAATAGTTATATCCTCATCCATCTGTTTTTCTAAGCTAAATAAGCTGTTTTCTCTTTAGTCTGTTTCTCATTTGAGAAATCTTTGGAAAGTTACAGTTGCTTTTTTTCCACTCCCCAGAGCTGTAGCAGATTGAATTAATGATGTCTGGTGAGGAAAGCCATCACCTAAGGCTTTAGTTTGCTGAAAGAAAGAAAAGAATGCAAGAACACGAGAAAAGCCACTTTCAGTGCAGTTTAATATAGCAGTACCAATGTAGTGTGTGTCAGCAGCTCTCAGGCTGTATTGTGTTTAGACTTGTGGCAGCCTTCGGAAATGAGAAGTGGTGTGTTTCTTACATGTCATTAACTTAAATTCAAAAAGAACTGTAAAACTCAACGAAGACCATAAGGAAAAAAGTCTGTTTAGGAGCATGTGAATGAGCACAGGTTTCCAAGGACCATCAGAACCAGAACCTTTTCCTCTGTAATACAGAAGAAATGCCTGTGCTAACATTCAGCAGCTGATTCCTAACAAATTAAGACTATAAAACAAGATGTAACATCTTCTGTTGTAGCATTTGAATAAAAAGAGTCACAACTGAGTCCCATTCTGTATTTTTATTAGCAGCTGGGGGCTCCCAACTTCATGGATTTCAGTCTGCCAGAAACCAGCACAGTTCTCTGTAAGGGCATGTGGCTTCTGCATAGATCACTGAAATTGTTATTTCGTGTGTATCCTGGCCAAGGCAAGTCAATGGGCATTAGTGAGAGAAATTGAACGTGGATGTCTGTGGTGGCTGAGACCAGAAGTTAGAGCTGACAAGAATAAGCTATACTGTGCATGCAAGAAAAGGAGAATTGCTTGAGTAGGTCCAGTGATGATTCTGGATTTGCTTCAGTCGTAAGTTTGTCCTACAGTATTTCTCAGAGTTCAGTAATTCAAATGTACTATAAATAAGTATCCTCATTTTACATTTGCTTCTGAGGAGACTGTTTACCATCAGTAGCTCTCTTTCAATTCTGAAGGAAATGTCCATGTGAAAATTTAAGTTTTCCTGGTGAAATGATCATAGTGTGCAATCTGCTCCAGGCAGATAGTTGTGTCTTATGTGCTCTGCTGTTCAGCTGTCTCTCGTGTAATGCAGAACACATCTCTGCTGTGGAGAAACTCAGGTACTTGAATTGTGATTGCATAATTCTATGCATCTGTTATTAAAATGTCTGTTACTGATACAAATGTCTTAAAGAGGAACCTACAGAAATTATATTCCAAGGTATTTGCTGCAAAGTTTTTCAGGTTGAAAAGAGAAGTTTGTATGAGCTAGAGAACTGCTGTGTATGGATGCCTCCTTTGGCAACAGATACAGATCAAGCTTTGTCTTCAGCATGGTATTGCTTGCCAGCTAGCCCGCAGTGCCAGCCTAAATGGGGGAATGAACGCTCTTGTTGTTGTGAGCTTTGTGTATTTGGGTTCCAAGGCAGTTTGGAAAGGACAAAAATGCCACCTCTAACACATTCAGCAGACTAACATAGTATACAGATGATGTCCTTAATCCTTCAAGCATTTTGTATGTGAACAGACAGTGTGTTTTTGTTGCTTGCCTCAGCTTTTGAGCATTTTGGTTTCTAATACACATAAATTGACATGAGGGGGAAGTCCCTTATTTTCTTCCTCAAATATTGCCCTCAGGCTATAAATTATACAGAAACCAGACTGGATTTAATGCATTGTACAATGCAGTTTCTAAGTGAAATTTCACCATAGTGGATATGTAAGCTCCTTGTAGATTTGAGAAATTGTGTTGACTAATTGCTTGTATTTAAATGAGCCAGTGCCGGTTCATAGCTAGAATAATCTCTGTGAAGTGATGTGATTTTGGCTAAATATGCACTGTGACTGAAGAATTTTTACTAACAAGTTAAAAGATTATATGGAAGTTATTCTAATGGATGAAGTATTTCTGGTTGTTATGTTCTAATGAAGATCTAGGCCAGCTATGTTGGTGGCACTGTGGTATTGCAGGGAGCATGCTTATGGTCTGTCTGCCCTAAAGATATGAAGGTATCTTTCCAGCACAGGTGCATTTGTGACTCTAGGTGATCTGCTGCTGTTTCTATTTTAACAACTGTACACGGCACCATGATGTTCTCAAGCCATGGTATTTGAAGCTGCAGAAGTGGCTTTAAGGAGCAGTGTTACCATAGATCATGTGTTGTCTCACCTAGGTATGGGAAGCAGTGATGAGTGGTCCGATGTTCAGGACATCATAGACTCCACTCCTGAGCTGGATATGTGTCAAGATCCCCGCCTGGAACGCCCTGGGAACAGGTATTGTTGTGACTTTCTGCTCTTGGCCCTCTGTCTTGTTTCTGCGAGGAGTGGAGTGGATACCGTGGTTCAGAGTTCAAGATGCAGCTGTTTCAAAAAATGCATGTATCCTGGCTAATGCAAAAATGAGGGCGTGTTGGCCTTCTTTGAGTTCTCCAGGGAAGGCACATATCAGCAGGTAATCTGGAAGGATCTGTGCAGCTGGCCCAGGTCCAGGCTGCTTTGAGACAGGTTGTCTTACTGGATCAGGGAGTGCAAAGAAACGTAGCGTTTCTAAACAAAAGGTTTAAGTTAAGCATAGGGAATATGGGCTTAAGTTTTCAAGGAGAGGAAAAAGATGTGTTTGTCTAATGAGATCAGTTCTGAATGCAGTTTAAAGCCTCAAGACTTCTAATTTTGTGTGATATTCTTTAAGTGTTGGAAGAGCAGAAGCAGAGCTGCTATGCATGGGAGGACAAACAAAAACAACCCCAGTGGGCAGTGCTCATCGTAAGCAGGGTGCAGGAGTGTAGTAGGGTGCTGGTAAGAGGCTCCATCAGCACTCCCAGATAAGGAGAGGATGCATTAGGTGCAGAGAATACTCAGAAGCAGCAGACAGAGCTGAGGACAAGTACTCTATAGCGTAGCTCAGATAAGGACTGAAGACACAGGCCTGAGGTTTAAGGGACGCCTTGGACCAGCAGGATGAGAGTGTTCAGGTGTGAAGTGATCAGTCAAGGCAGTCAAGACCTCTGAGTTGGTGAACCAATATGTTGATGTGGTTCCTGCCTAGCACCTGGCACTCAGCTCCCTGAAGGCTATTAATTTTGGCTCCATGTGTATCTGTGAAACATATATTAGGCTAGAATTATTAGTCTAGATTCCTTGATCCATTTTTACCAAGGTCTAGCAATGTTGTAAGTTTTTTTTACTCTTTTTTTACTGTCTGGTGGGTAACTTGACAATATGTCAGCAAAAAGGTATGCAGAAAATAATACTCTGACAAAGCTACAGCAAGATTTCCTCACAGACCAAATGTGAACTGGATTGCATTTATTGGGCACTCTCCTCTAGTCTCTAAGAGCGTATGTGAGCAGCAGTAACAGATGCCTTTCTCAGTTAAACTTCCTTCAGAGTATGTAGGATGCGTGGGCAATTGTTAGCAGTACGACGAATCCAGGTAGCCAGAACAGTGCTATGTGAGGAAGGCAAAAGTGACTGCTATGGTTAGACCAATAATTGGTTTCAAACTGAAGAAAATATAGGAGTGGAGAGTATTGCTGCATGGGGAGCTCTTCAGGCAGTGATCTCTGATCCAGCTGGAGATACTGAAAGCTACAGATGACATGAGATAACTCTGGAGCTGCATCTTTAATAGCAGAATGCTTTTGGGAAAATGTAGTGCTTCAGAAAGTGGAGTGCTGAGGCTGAATGATGCCTTCAGGTCAGACCTTGAATGCTGGTTGCTTGTCGTCAGTTGTGCTGCATGTTAGCCTGCGTCAGCTGATTAATTCTGATGCAGTTGTGGCACCCAGCTGTATTCCTTAGTGTTCTTAGATACCTGGGTAGCTTTGTAGTTAAGAAAGCTGTTTCTTTTCTCTGTAATGTGCTGTATTACTCATGTATCAGTGACATCTGTAATCTCCAGGCTTGGTCGCAGAGACTTGATTTACCTCAGGATAAAGCCACAGAGCTTGGGATGTTATCCAGTGGTGCTGGCCTTTCTGCTAGGCTGCTGGAAAGGTTGCACAAGCTGGTTCCTCTTGTACAAGGCATGGCACACAGAAGTGTTTTTGTACTTGCTTCAGTGCTGATTGTTGGAGTAGGCACTGGCAGTCCCACAGGACACCGCACTCTCTCATGCTATGCCTTCCTGCAGTGGCTGTCTTCTCTTTGAGCCACGAGTCTGTCAAGGCATGCAAGGTGATTCTCCATAGAGAAGATGTGGAAATGTGCTTCCACATGATGTAATTAGATAACATTAACTTTGATTTACCTTTCATGAAGTACATTTTGCTGAGGTATGGAAAAGCATTTGTGTGCACAGATTCACTCAAAGAAGAAACTAAATCTTCAGGCTGACTTACTAGCTGGCAAAGAAAAAGGAAAACCACTGCTGTTTGCAGCATTTGAGTCCTTATCTGATCTTACTGCTATGAGGATTGCTGTTTAAGTTGGTGGGAGTGTAGGCATCATTGCACAGTCTTAGGTCTGTGAGTTGAAAGTTTCTATGAAATACTGAGAAGTCATAAGCTGTTAGAAAAGGAGTCAGCTAGGTGAGCTTTGAGGTTATGCACGGTAGGTACTGGTACTTGGTGTGGGGATTAAAACATGCTTTACTTACTAAATTCCCTCAGTCAGTCCATGGCAAGAGGGTGGAATCCACTCCACCTGTTTTGATTGTAATGGTCTGTGATGCTCAGTATTTCAGAGAAATTATGTTCTAGCTTAAATATTGCCAAATAACAAGAATCCTTGCCTTTCCTTCTTCCAACCACAGCCCAACCCAGGGGATTGTGAACAAAGCGTTTGGCATCAACACAGACTCTCTCTATCATGAACTTTCCACAGCAGGATCTGAGGTGATCGGGGATGTTGATGAAGGAGCAGATCTGCTAGGTAAAAACTTGTTGGAACTGTTCTGTTTTCTCTGATGCAATGACAACTCTGTTAAGCTTCTAGAAGCATTTAAATTTGCTCTTTTTTCAGAATTTGGTTGTTTGGCCTTTAAAAAATGGCATGGAATTTGGGATGCACTGTGACTGAAATATATACCTACGGCACAGTAATTCTTACCCAACAATTTAAGTTAATGGCTATGTATTTGGGCTGTCCTTATGTGTCTTTAAGTTATTTTCCTATAGAATTCTCCTACACGAGCAGTTTGAAGATTGCTTCTTCCACTCCTTCCACAAATTTTCACTCCAGTAATTCTGCACTCTAGCAGCTTCTCTTGGAATAAAGGTTTTATTGGAAGTTTGCAAGAAAACAGCTCCTTTTGTTAAGTATTTTAAAGGAACAATTTTTCTTTGTTCTCGTATGGAAACATCATAGTCTTCACTGCAGTTCTTACCTTTTTATAGTTGATCCAAGAGAGATTTGCATTTTCCTTTTAGGCTGGTTTTGAAGGAACTTTTTGTATCTGAAGTCTGATTATATTCTGTGTTCCTGATGACTTTGAAGCAGTCAGAGAAGCAGCTTTGTGTCAGGTAGCAGTCTGAGCCCTTGCCATGCTTTCTAGTGTTGGACTCTAAGCATGCAAACCTTAATTCATGGCAGAATTTAAGCTTGTTCTGAAGGCCTGCTTAATATTTTCAGGGAAATATGAATGGTATTTGAATATCCTGATAACACAAGCTACTGACAAAGTTTATAACTGTGTAGCTCACTGTCAGTTTTACTGTTTGATTTAAAAACTGTAGAAAATACGAGGACTCCTACAAGTATTCCTGTTAAGACATTGAGCAGCAAGAGATCTGATGTGAAAGTGAACATTTCTGGTGGTTACTGGCATAAGAGCTGCATTTGGATAATCTTACAAGTTTGGTTCTGGAAACAAAATTTTTACTGTATATCCAAAAAACTTTTGGATATACATAGGTTGCTCCAGAAATGATGTCTCCTATTTATTTCCACAACAGATACAAAGAACACAATAGCACTGTTTGATAGGGCAAATTCTCAGCTACAGAACATTATTTTTCCACTCAGTCACTACCATTAGTTATTCATTTTCACCAGCAGTGAACAAGAGCTGCATGGTGTGCTTGTACAAATCTGCACCAGTGGAAGTACCTGCTGTCACCACTGCTGAAATGCACCACCCACTCCTCCCTGTGCCAACACCCACTGTTTGGTCTCCATCAACGTTCACAAGTGTTGATGAATGTCATTGGGTCCTTTTTTTTTTTTTTTTCTTTTTTTTTTGCATGGAGAAGTTCAATGACACCTTTGCTTCATCTGTACTTTCATGTCAGTTACCATTCTGTCAGACTGCCTCTCTGCTGCCATCTGTCACATAGCAAAAAAATTTAATGCAATACAGGTGGGAAGGTTCAACCTCTGATGCATTACCACCAACATTCGCCTCTGACATCATGTGTCAATGTAATAAAATAGGAGACATTACTTTTGGAGCAGCCCTCATATATCTAGAACGTGATCAGCTGAGTCATGTCGCAGAATTGCAGCAGCTTCTCTTTACGAGAATTAAATTAGGGGAATACTTGTATTACCTTTGAATGAGTCTGGTATCAGGAACCTCTGAAGGAGTATGTTTCTGCAGAGGGGACAGATTTTAGCCTATTCACTGAAGATTTAACCATGAAGAAGTGGACTGAAGGCTGTAGAGTAGGTCAGTACATAGTTTCTTGCTCTATCTAAGACATAATCTCTGAAATTGATACTGTTGTGGGCAACTGTGTGACTGGAATGTGAAAGAGATCTAGACTGTGATCACAACTCTTGCAATAGCTGTTTGGTATAGATGTTTTTTTAGGAACATGATGCTAGCTCTGCAGCATGCAGTGTAACTCTTGTGCATGGAGTGATGACCATTGCCAGAAGTCTTTAAGACATTTATTGTTTGACACCATGGTGGAAGAAAAAGTCTACAGAAGAGTAGAGATGAACTTTTGCAGCCTGTGATTGGAGCCAATATGTGCAGATACTGAAAATATCAGAATTAAAAAGAAAAGGCAAGAATTCTAGGTTTGAGAGTGACCTGTATGTTAGCAGTCATTGCAAAAGGGCTTGATCTCCTGCTCCTAGCGAAGTTGGCAGGAGCAACAACACGTGGCTATTAAAGATGTGGGATGAATTTTGTTCAGTCAGCCCCCATGCATTATTGGGAGCTCTCTTTGTGACAGGCTCAAAGAATTAAAAGCAGTCAGAATCTTGCTATCTAGCATGTGTTTTATCTTGATCCTTAGGTGCTTCCTTGTCTAGAAGAGCATATGATGTAATACATGGCTTTCTTCCTCTAAATCACATATATCTTCTGTGCCACTTGTTGCTTTTTATCTCTCTTGAAATGGCTGTGGCAGCAGGAAGTGTGAGCATCAGAATCGTTCAGGAAATGAAAGACTTGCTGTATGAACTGCTCGGGAAGACCCATTTCCCACTTCTGGAAGCCTGTCTTCTCTGAATCCACTCCCCAGAACCCAATAGTCTCACCCAGTGACCAGTGAGAAATATGGACTTGTTTTCGAAGCGTACAAGTGTTTAGTTGCCCAGTTTAGACCTTGCAAGTTACATCACCACAGTTCCAGTTAGTCAAAGGTGTTCACCTTTTCCAGTAATCACACAGCCCAGACATCTGTAGACATCTTGAGTTATCTGTTATTTGGCAGTTACCTCTTCTAAGAAAATTATACAGAGACTTTGAACGTAAGTACGGCTCGTGAAGATTGATTTCCTTTCCACCTAAAGCCAAAACTATCAATACGTACATACCAAGTTTTTAAATTTAAGCATAAGGTTATTTCCTTGGGAGGAAATTCTTTACTCAAGGGCTGGTGAGGGTCTGGCACTGCCCATGGCCCTGGCATGGGGCTGTGAGAACCTGGTCTGGTGGGAGATGTCCCTGCCTGTGGCAGGAAGGTTGGAACGAGATGGTCTTCAAGATTCCTTCTAACCCAAACCATTCTATGATTCTATGATACATAGAGATAGCTTGTCCTTATACACAGGGATGCCCAAATACACAGGGAAAAAAGGGAGATTGCTTAATCCTTCAATTTGTTTTTGCTTAGGAAATAAAAATCTCTACTCCCCTCTTTGTTAAGCACAGAAAACATCTCCAGCTTACACTGCTGTTGTTAGGTTTCTGGTATTTTGTATCTGTTAGTTTTCCTTTGAACGGTGCACGCATTTCAAGCCTTACTGAAGTTGACATTCTTTTTTCTGTTCTTCATTTTTGAAGTATTCTGGACAAAATATGAAAGTGTGAAACACCTAAAATACATTTTAATCAGAGCATTTGAGAGGTTTGTCTGAGTAGCTTAACTATCCATGCATGAATTAAATGCTTAATGGAAAAGATGTGCACATTTTCTTCCCCCGTCCTAGAGATGTGTATACAGTGTACTATGTGTATACAATACCCTCTACAGTGTCAAAGGGAGTAGTATTAAAGTTATGTCAGTCTGTATGTTTTTAGTCCTGAATGGCTCCTCTTTTTACCAGTTCTTTAGGAATGAAGTAGAAGGATGAATCTGCTAATGGTGAAGAATTCTAAAACTCTTCAGAAAGAATTTCTCTTTGTAGTTTGTGTTCTCAGCTCACTTACAGAAGAGAAGTACATTAAACCTTGGTTATCATCTTCTCGGCAGAGATGCTGTGACATGCAATTTGCCAGTTTTTCTGCACTCTTCTCTGGGATAATTTTCTGATTTGAGAAGAGCAAGAAAAACTTGCAGATGACGACATGGTGGGCTAGCAGAATAGGAAGGCTTCTTCCAGTTCCTTTTGAGATCTGGATTGTGATTAAATTGGCTAGCTCAGTGAGTTTCATGACAGAATTGTCAATCAAATTGATTCTTCTGTTGAGTTCTGGCTGCCAGCTCTGTCTTCTTGAAAGTGTTCTTTAATGTGAACATGTGTTGCCAGGATTGTTTAAAGGAAGGAAGGCAAAGAGAGATCTGAGAGCTCATGCTTCTCTGACTGAGAAATGAGATTCAAACTTCTTTTTCTTTGCTTTGAACTATAGAAAGCACTAAGAATGTCTGAAGAATAGATCTCTGAAGAGATCTAAAGAATAGTACTGCCAACATTGGCACAAGAAAATTGGCACTCTTCATTGCAATTTTGAAATATAAAATCTACTTTTCCCCCTTGTTCTAATACTGCTCTACACAAATCATCATAGAATCATAGAATGGCTTGGGATAGAAGGGACTTTAAAGATTATCAGGCTCCAACCCCCATGCCATGGGTAGGGTTGCCACCCATCAGATCAGGCTGCCCAGGGCCCATCCAACCTGGCCTTGAATACCTCCGGGGATGGGGCATCCACAGCCTCTCTGGGCAGCTGTGCCATTGCCTCACCACTCTCTAAATAATTTTTTTCCTAAAATCTAACCTAAAATCTCCCCTCTTTTCGTTCAAAATTATTCCCCCCCTCCCTGTTTTGACACTATCAGAGTTTGTAAAAAGCCATTTCCCTCCTGTTTATAAGCTCCGTTCACATTCAGGAAGGTTATAATGAGGTGTCCTCAGAGCTTTCTCTTCTCCAAGCTAAACAAGCCCAACTCCCTCAGTCTTTTTTCACAGCAGAGCTTCTCCAATCTCCAAGCATTTTTTCTGGCCTCCCCTGGCCCCGCTGCAACAGCTCCCCCCCTTGCTATGCCAGGCCCCAGGCCTGGACGCAGCACTGCAACTGGGGGCTCCGAGGGCAGAGCAGAGGGGGACAATCCCCTCGCTGCCCACTGCCCCCCTCTGCTGCTGCAGCCCAGGATGCAGTCGGCCTTTGGGGCTGTGAGCGCACGCTGCTGCCTCACGTCCAGCTCTTCGTCCACCAGAACCCCCGCGTCCCTCTGCACAGGGCTGCTCTCCGTGGGTTCTTTTCTCTGCTCTTATCTGGAATTGCCCCAACCCAAGTGCAACACTCCTAGATTCTCATGGCCCCACTTTTCAAGCCTGTCCAGATTCCTCTGAATGACGTCCCTTCCTTCTGTTGTGTCAGCTGTGCTGCTCTGCTTGCTGAGGATGCACTTGATCCCATTATCTATGTCACTGATAATGCTGTGAAAGAGTACCCACAATAGGCCTCTGAGGGACACTATTTGTCATCTGCCTGCACCTGGACATAGAGCTGTTGACAGCAACCCTCTGGCTGCGACCATCCAACCAATTCTTTATCCGCTGGATGGTCCAGCTTTCAAATTCATAGCTCTCCAAGTTGGAGATACGATTTGGTGTACTGGGGCCATGTAAAAATCCTTACACAGGTCCAGGTAGATGACATTAGTTTGTGTAGGATTCTGGAGAAATATGTGGAATGAGAACATTTTCTAGTGTAACTGTTGTAATTCCCTTCTTTCTCACTACAGCCTTTGGAATATTCTCACCATCTAGTTGGCTGCTTTCCTGCCTGTTTACTTATTAATTACATTTCTTACCAGCTGCTCATGGGTAGTTCCCCCTTTCTCTCATATCCCCTTTCCCGATATTCATTATCCCAGTACTCCGGACACGGGGGAGGACTAACAGTTGGGTTATGGGCACTAAGAAGTCCTTTCTTTTAGAGTTAGGGTGCCCACCTGTGTTTGCTATATGTAACCGGTGTTTTATGGTGCAGACAGCAGGTTTTACATTAGTGGTAAGTTCATGCATACAAATACTGTTTTTCTATACAGAAATTGAAATGAAATTATCAAACTGAGTCCTGGCACTGCTGTAGGGAAAAAGATGTTGTAAAATGCAACTGTCTTTTGCATTCTGGGGGTAGCTGAAGCATGTGGTTGCAGTTATAACATGGGTTACCTCCCCTTGATTTCTTTTGTCCTGTATGTGGAGTCGTGCCTCCTACAGTCATGGCAGTTCCCGTCCTTACTATTTCATGCCTTTTGACATTGAAATGGCTGAATCATTGTTAATTTATTTTTTTTAAAACAAAATTTTAATTTGGTTGGTTTCAGTCACTGATCGATCCTTTTTTCACTTCCTTTTTTCCCTTGTCTCTCTGTGCTTCGCTGGACATGGCCCATAGGGGAGTTCTCAGGTGTGTATCTCTTCTCTGCTCAGTTTCCTTTCTTGTTTGTTTTTACCTCGTTGAGACTGAATGACATGGTATACACGTGTGATACTCCCCTGCTGTTGTCCAATCACGGTTGGCTTTGCTGACTTTCTCCCACCTTTGCCTTGCTTGGTTCCTTGCACTGGCGGGTTCCTGGGCAGTAGGACATCCCTGCTTTGTGTTCATGTGTCTGCTGCTTTTTGATCCAGTTTTTGTGTAGCTTTCTGCAGGTTTGCTCCCTTATATTGCACTGGTCCGTCTCTCAAGGTCTCGAGAAAACCACACTGCACCTTTCCTTTGCTTTGGGGTGCAAAGTGCCTTTTTTTTAGGGCAAGTGCTGTGCTCTGATCAGAGCTCAGCTGAGCACAGAATTAAGTTAGTTTATCACTTTCCTTCAAGTGAACAAGGCTTTGAGGAGTCCCTCTGCTCACATGGTGCCCACTATGAGTTTCTTAATGCATACAGACCCTCTTCTGCCACAGTTGCGGTGGAAATAAAGACTTTCTTCTGGGGAAGAGAGTGGCAGAGCCACAGGCTATTTTAAAGTTTTGTCTTTTTGATAGGAGTTTGAAGTGCTACCTCTGTTGCCTTTCATGCCATACAAAGGTCAGCAGGCCCTAAATTGCAGAATTTCCACCTTTCTATTAAATGCACTTGGGTGCTGATAAAAAATCAGATGAGATCAAGGCAATCTCTCTTGATTTCAGTGCAAACTGAATGAAGTTCAACCTGTAATAAGGGTAGGTGACTTGGGTTGATACGGTACAAAATCTGTAGCGTAATACTGTGCAGTGATGAGCTCTGTCACATTCCTCTACACAGCACCTCCTGATGCTGGGTCTGTAAGGTTACAAAAGGAGCGATGGCGTCATCCTTTCTCTTAGTTCAGATTGTTTGTACTGTTACTGTAAGCCACTTTTTCATTTTTTTTTTTTTTCTCAGAAACTCTCCCACTGAAGTGGCACTGGAATTTATCTCAGTAGTAAAGTGGGTTTGGGTCTGTGCAAAAAGGCCAGATAACAGCTTTGATATGCCACCCCTTTTGTTTTTTCTCCTGCCCCTGTCCTTTTTTCACCCTATTCATTACGTCTGTTGAATTGCCGTTGTGGTGGGGTTGGAAAGCACAAAGATACTCAGTCCAGGGTAAATGATGAAGATGGAAGAAAAAAATGAGTTCATCTTGAACTTGTCCTGAACTTTCAGGCATAAATCTCCATCAGGCCAGGCTGCAGCTAAACAAGATGTATGTTAGTTTATGCTGAGCATCACATATACTGGCACCACACACGTTTGCACATGCTGATCAGCTGCTCTGTTTGCTATTTACAGATTGGTACTTAATGGCTGCTTTTTTCTCTTCCTTTTTTCCCCTTTGCCCCCCTATCTTTCTGTTCCCTTTCTCGTATGGGATGGTCCTCATAGTACGGGATGATTTCTTTGGTAAGGCGAAGGCCTTTTTTCTTTTTTTTTCTTTTTTTCTTTTTTTTCCTCTTTTAACCATGCATTTTTTATTTTAGAATTTCTTTCATCCACTCAACATCTCCCCCATATGTCTTGCATTACCTTGGTTTGTGGGGTTCTTTTTTGTTGTTTGTTTTTTTTTGTGTGATGGTCACCTCTCCAAGAAGCAGGATGCAGCTGGTCCATAGTTGTGATCTGGGAATTTTCTTCTTTCCCTTGATATAGTTGATTATCCACTTTGATGCTTCACACTATTTGCCTGGCTATAGGAGGTGCACAGTGATGAATGGCTCCCTCCTTTGTTCCACACCACAAAGAGTAAAGAATTCTCCTTTTAGTCACTCCACAGTGCCTTTTTTTCTTTCTCATGAGTGGGGCTTTGTCATTACAGCTTGCACGAGATTATCTCATAGTGTCTCACTCTATGGCTGTAGGATGGCTTCATCCATTTCTTCATTGAAAGATCAGTCCCTCAGAGCTCCCACCGGTTAAAGCATCGGGCTGGGACTGGGCCACACACTAATTAGGCAGTTCTGGGGTAACAGCTGACCCTCTGCACCGCAGTTCCTTTCTCTCCCAGAGGCAGACTCACAAGTGTTATCTTGCTCATAGATGAGAAGGCAAACTGTTATTAACCATCCCACCAACAACAGAAAAACCAAGCCATGAGGATGACGATGTCCCTCAGCACTCACAGGATCCCTGTGCCATTTTAATGTCTTACTAGTTAAATACGTATTTGATCTTTTGTAGAATCATTCAAAAGGAACAAGAGAAGTATTTAATAAACTGATGTCTGTATTGTATTGTATGACCTCTGGATTTTAGGAACAACGTATATGCCATGGAAGAAAAGGGTATTAGCTAATCCACCTTACCAAGCCAAAAGTACACTTCAGTTTTCACATTTTTGTTTGCAGTATTCCTTGACACACAAAGAATACATTGCCTGAAACATCAAAGTGATTAATTATCTTTCTACTGATTTAAAAAAACAAACAAAAACAAAAACAAACAAAGAAAAACTTGAAAATGCTGCTTCTTATTCCTTCCTGCTGGGAATCTGCTTTTGCCATCATAACTTCATGCCATCTAACTGTGGGAAGAGGATTTATTTTGTTGGAGTGTCGTGATGTGTGCTCACTTCTTGTATGCCGTCATGTTTCTCTAACTTCCATTAACTTAAAGTTTATTTTGTTTTTATTTTATTGTGAATATTAATCAGCAAATAACAACTGTGGAAAATGTTGATGCCTTTGCTGTAAAGGGATAGGTAGTTCGAGGGCAGGACGAGGAGCACTTCAGCACAAACACTGATGATTGTGATGCCTTTTTGTTCCCTGGGGCCTGTGTTGAGAAACTAGCTGCAACACTCAGCACTGTCCCTTAAAAAAACAGTACCCTCTGTATCTATTTGTAAAATAGAAGCAGATCCTGGGATCCAGCAAGTTCCTGGCGTTCTTCTCCTTTGCGTTTAGTCCCTAAATTCCTTTCGGTTCATTTTTACTAAATTCAATCTCTACACTTTGCATGCACTCTGAAAGATTTGGAGCTACCTGACCTGTGTGCTGCAGCCCTCGTGTGTTCTTACCCAAAGTGCAGTATGTCTGATCTAGGTGCTTTTTTGGGAGTGATCCTTAAGTCATGGGCCTGAGACTTCAAACTGTAAACCCCTGTGAAAGAAAATTGTTCAAGGTAAATAGTAGAGCATTGGACAATCTGAAGTCCTTTTAATACTGCCACGGTGGGAGGTTGGTAATAGGAAGCCTTTCAAGTGGATGAATCTGGCTGTAGGGAAGCCTAACAAAATGATTTCTCTTCCTCAAGCATGAGTCAGTCAGTGCCACGCAAGCTCCATACCCTAAGGAGAACAGATGAAAACTGCTTGACTTTTTTTGTTTTTTCAGGAATGGGCAAAGAAGTGGGCAATCTGCTGTTGGAGAACTCACAGCTACTGGAGACCAAGTAAGAAACTGTTGTGTGCTCTGAACCGCCTGCCTGGTTATATCATTGAGATGCCATCACAAATAAGGTTGTGGCTAGAACTCCAGCCTCACTGTGGCTTGTTGGTGTATCTGGCAGGCTCTCTTGAGTACTTGTTGTGCTTTGAAATGTAGAAGAGAAACTCCTCTCCTGAGCAGTTTTCCTAATGGGCTCTGATCCCACCTGAAATCAGTGGTAGGCTTTTCTTTCATTAACTTCAGCAGGAGTCTGGGTGGGTCTGTGTCACTTTGAAGTTTTTATTTGCAAGATTTACTAAATGAAAATAAACTTGTATTACTGTTGAGAAGAATTTTCAAAGATTTAATAGTTGATAAAGAAACGCGAGGCAATGTAATTTGCTTATCCTTTGGGAAAGGCTGGCAAGCTAGATACTAAGGAATGGCTAAGCAGCCATAAAGAGGAAGGAGAAGTAATCCTAAGGGTGGTAACTGTAGAAGTTAGGATGGGAAGCTGCTCATTTTAAAGATTTTGAGATACTTCAGAAGTGGTTGGGAATGCTGAAGTATGTCACCATCATCTCCAGCTATCAACAACTACAAATAACGTAGGTTCTGAAAGGTATGTTTCAGCACTTAATCCTCTTTAAATAGATTTCAATTTCGTGCAGCTGTTAAGTTGCCCTGTATGTGCTTTCTGCATCTTTTATGAAGCACCTGAGGTTGTTCTGTCAGTCAGAAAGCAGAACTGGACGGATGTCATCCTGACCAGTTACGTTCTTCTGCAAGATGTGCTTTTTCATGACTTATAGTCTGAACTTATTTCAGTATGCTCATTTCAGGTTTCCTTGTGATGCCTGTGAGTTTAGTTTCAGGTTTCTCTTATGGACAGCTTATGGCATTTTTGCTTATTGTCCCTTTCGCACCTTTAAGAAATGCTTTGAACGTTGTGAAGAATGATTTGATTGCCAAGGTGGACCAATTGTCTGGAGAACAAGAAGTACTGAAAGGAGAGCTTGAGGCAACAAAGCAAGCCAAAACCAAAATGGAAACGAGAGTGAAGGAGCTGGAGGAAGAGCTGAAAAGGTGAGTGGTTCCCATGCTGTGTCAGGGATCTGGGAGAACCTGAGTGATGAACTCACAGCCTCTGTGAGAGGACCTGAGAGTGAAACTTGTGCCAGTCAGCTTTTCTGCATTTCATTCATGGGCATTAGTGTTAGAATTCAGAGGTAGCTTACAGAGCACTTCAAGGCTGATAGTATGTGGCTGAGATATTCCTGGTGTTCTTAGATTGCTTTTCTTAGTTTGAAATGAATTTTTGAACCTTAGAAAATCTACAGAATTTTCCCCTCCAATATTAGGGGTCCATCACAGTGGTTGCAAATCTAGGCTTCCCAGAGTGAAGTTGTCAGCATTTCAGTTTGTAATTTAAAACAAACAAACAACAAAGGAATTTCTGAACCAGTAGTTTTGAAGAAAACTGTCAGGAACTTGATCCTGTTGGAGGCCAAGATTGTGCTGAGAGGCATGAATGCCCATTCATTTAATGAAAGAACGAGTGCAGATTCTCACAAACAGTGTTTAAATGTCAGTATTGTTAATTGTCTCATTGTTCACATTAAGAATAAGAAGAGGGAAAGGAGATTCTAGAGCTCTGCACAGAGGTGGCATTTGGACAGATTCCATTTCTTATTTTTGCACTCAAACTAGAGAAACCTAAACCTGAATGCCTACAAAGCCTGGGAAGTTTTCACTTCCATAAAGCTACAGATGCCCCATTGATCTCCAGGCTACATAACTGCATTTTAACTAGTTGTACCAGCTGCACTGTGACACTCAGATTCAGAGGACAGTGTTTATTTTGCATCTTGAATCTGGAAAGTTGCCTCTGTTCTTTTTAAATTCTTGAGCACAGAGTGACAACAGCACAGTCTGGTTTCTTCAGTGTTCAGAATGTCTGAAGTGAAGGTGATCTCACCAGCAGTGGAAATAGATCTGATTTTTTGAAAATGCCTTTTTGAGTCTCCTGATGTGTTATGTAATACATAAAATACGCTGTGCAGCATGGATGCGGACTTTTAACTGTCCACTGTGCTTTACTAGGAAATAAGGATGGCTTTTTTTTTTTCCTTGCTAATAGAAGTGCATGTGATTCAAATGGGACTGACCCTCATTATGAGGCTTAAGTAAATTAAAAGTATTCAGATAAATACTTTAAATTTGTATTTATTTATACTTGGGATTCATTTCTTTGCTGTGATGGCAAACTGCCCTTCATATTGGAGGCTTTTTTACTACACTGGAAAGAGAAGCAGCCCAGAAGAACTTAAACCAACATTAATTGCTGGTAACAGCTCACTTTTTATGTTGTTAAGATCTCAACAAACATTTGAGTATAAAATATGGCTTTGAAACAGGTCTGTCCCAGTGGTCCATATTTTGGAGCCTGGTGCTTAAATCACGTTTTCCAAAGAGAGGGGATGATGTCAGTGAAGCTGTTCTCAGAAACGTTGCAAGAGTGAGGAAAAATAGCTTAGAAGCACCTTGTAATTTGTTAGTGTTACTCGCAGTTGCAAAACAGTTTCTTTCTGATGCAGTCAGCTCACCAGGTGCAGTCACAGTATCACTTGCTGGTTCGATGCATTTCTTCCTGTTTCCTAGAGTGAAATCTGAAGCGATTGTTGCCCGTCGAGAGCCCAAAGAAGAGGTGGAGGATGTAAGCAGCTATCTCTGTACAGAATTGGTATATTACATTACTAAAATGCCTGCGGGGAAAGGGGGTTTATATGCTCATACTGTAATAATTGATGTAAGGTTCTTGAGATGCACACTGATCTGTCTTTCGTAGAGTCACCAAGGTTGGAAAAGACCTCCAAGATCATCCAGTCCAACCGCCCACCTACCACTAATATTTCTCCCTAAACCATGTCCCTTACTGCGATATCTAAATGTTTCTAGAATGTTTCTTTGTTAAGGATGAGAGCAGATCTGCTGAATTGCAAGTTGTTGTCATGTAATTACCTTTGCATATAACTTGCAAACTATAGTTTGGCAAAGAGCAGCAGCTGACAGAGTGACAACGCAGTGCACAGTGTGGTTTTAAAACGCTGGTGTTAGAGCTGTGCCCAACTCAGTACCTTTCCATTTTACCTGCTTTTCCTCAGTTTTGAATGCCAGACAGCCTAGTGTGTGGTGAGCTTTCTCACAGGATCTAGTGATGGTCAGGCTTCCCCAGAAGAGTTAATCTCGTGTTGGCAGTGAAGCTGTAAACCATGAGGACTTTGTGCAGTGAAACTCAGGTTTTACAGCCAGCTTTTCAGCAGAAACTACCTTCTTTTCATAGTTCTGTAAGCTCCAATCTTACAGTGTTATTTTTTGTCCTGTTTACTTTTACATAAGCCTGTACTTGTTACAGAGTACAGGCAGAGAAGGCTCGGTGCTCTCTTCCTGTTTTGGCTGAGTTTGAGGCTTTGCAGCAGAGTGCACTGTAGTCAAAAATAAAGCAAACCAGAGAGTAAGAGAGTTTCCTCTGTAAATGTCTCCTCTGCTAGGGTAGGAGATCAGAACCATGGAACTGTGTAATGGCTTTGGTTGGAAGGCATGTTAAAGATCATCTAGTTCCAACCTCCCTGTGCTTGCCAACCACTAAATCAGGCTGTAGGTCAGGTTGCCCAGGGCCCTGTGCAACTTCACCTTAAAGATAAATTGGATACATTTCTTTTTAATATAACTCTGTTCTTCATTATAAAAAGTATAGAACTAAGTTCAGTTCTAGCCTAATTCTCCTGATTCAACTGAGGTAAAATTACTCTGGTTAGAATGTAGGTAGATAGGAAAATTTTCAGGTTGTGCTTGTGAAGTGCTGCAGCCATGTTTGCTTTCTTTGGGAAGCCAGATTTTGTCACCAGGAAGGAGAAAGTCGTTCTTTAGTTTCATGTGCCCTCTGCCTTTATCAGTGCATGCTAACAGAATGCCTTCTGCCTAGCCCTCCAGAGGGGAGAGATAACATTATCTTCTGCTCTCTGCTGCTTGTTGCTGAGTTTGCTACTGAATGTTTTTCACTAAAACTTTGGTTTCCAAACTTTATGGACCAATGGACTGCTGTCAGTTCTCAAAAGCTCTTGCAGATTACCAAAGCGCCTTCATGGCAATGTTCCCTGGGTAAGGTCTTCAATTTGGTGGTGATTCTAGTTCTGTTTTCCCTGGGTTTTCAGAACCCAGATGTCCATGGGCCATAGTTTGGAAATCATTTGTCTGGAGTTAGTGCCTCATTCGGGAAAGGTGTGGGATGGGGAGGGGTGTAATCAAGCAGAAAAGGAAGAGCACTAACCGGTATGTCTTTCTGTCTCCTGACTTGCCCTGTACTAACATCAATCCCCTTCCATCTTTTGTTGGCTGAAGCAGTGCTCCTCCCCTCTGCAGGACAACATTCCCATAGCTCAGCGCCGGCGCTTCACCCGTGTAGAAATGGCCCGGGTTCTGATGGAGCGCAATCAATACAAAGAGAGGTTGATGGAGCTCCAGGAGGCTGTCAGGTGGACTGAAATGATCAGGTGAGGATGGATGTTGGTGCAACATCCCTTCAGGACAGAGCCTGCTCACGCTGCACCTTTTGCTTTTAGCCTTAATGCCCTTAATAAGATACGGAAGATGTGCTGAATGTTTTCCAAACTAGATTCTTCTCATAACCTAATACTTTCTCTCTTATTGCTGATCCTGGGCTGCAAATCAAGAGTTACTGTTATTATTTGGAGACACTGGGCAGCTGTTTGTCTTGATAGTTTCTTGTGCTACTTAAGCTCAGAAAAGCTGTCAGGAAAAGGTTTGCTTCTAATTAGTTCCTTTGGCGGTGGCTTTCAAGGACTGTAATGCTGGGGTTTGGGTTAGGATTAGAGTTTATAATTACCAGACTGATACTGTGGCAGTGATACTGTGAAAGGGAGTTGATAAAGCACCGATCTGAGAACATTTATTTGCACTTCATGTTAACATTGAAATATAAAGCAATTGGATATCCCTTCATTAAAATGACTGTGTGTCATTTGCTCTGTGTTAAAATGAATTCTGAGTTGTGACATGGCTTCCTTGGTGCAAATTGCCTGCTGATTGGTTGAATTTTAGGTTGTTTGGCAGAAATTTTGATAAAAGATTCTGAAATTAAAATGACTCTTTTGTATTTGTTCTTAGAGCTTCCCGTGAGCACCCGTCCGTCCAGGAGAAGAAGAAGTCCACCATTTGGCAGTTGTAAGTTCTTTGGTGAACTATGTGAGATGAAGAAAAGGGGAAATGTTGCCATTACTACTTCTACAGCAGCTTAGTAGACTCCTGCTCTCATATTAATGAGAAGTCAGTTGAAACTCGTGTTAGCTGAACCCTTTTGCCTGCAAGGGCTTTCTTTGTCCTTAGCGAAATTAAGATCAAATCTGAACATCCCTCTCAATTATGCTTCACAAGCTGAAAAGGGTTCTGCTTGACCTGGGATGGAAACATATGTACACTCAGAATCTTTTTTAATAAAGGAGGTTTTTCAGAAGGCACCTGTTTTTTAAAGCTAAAAACACCTTATGTCGATCAAACAGAAGTAGGGCAGTTTTCATGAAGAGCTTAAAGCAGCTGTTGGCACCTCTGTTGTGTGTCTGTGGTATGTTGTGTCCCTGGGCTCCTTTTCTCACACTGGCCTTTTCCTGTCCTTAGCTTCAGCCGTCTGTTCAGTTCCTCCTCAAGTCCCCCACCAGCAAAGAGGACCTACCCATCTGTGAACATCCACTACAAGTCTCCAACCACAGCAGGGTTCAGCCAGCGACGCAGTCACACCATGTGCCAGATCTCCTCTGGCAGCCGCACCCTGGAGTTCTTCCCTGAGGAGTGAGTTACGTGCTGTGTCCCAAGCCAGGTCCCCCAACTTTTTCTTCAAACAAGCTGTTTTCCACTGGAAAAAAAACCACGCACATTTGTGTGTGGTGTTAACTCATTGATTACTGCGTGGATAGGCTCAGCAAAGTGGCAGCAGTTTTGTTCTCTGAAAGTACGACTGCTGTGATTTTCTGGGCTGTGATGGTTCATATCAGCAGAGACCACTTTTGGCCTCAGGGTTTGCCTCAGCCCTGGTTGTGCCCTGCTGTTTGCACATCATGTGAGAAAATGAAGCAGGGCTTCTGTGGCAGTGTGTGGCAGCACTGGGCAATGGGCTGGGGACAGTCTTGCCCAACCCCATCAGCCAACACGTCAAGTGAAGACAAGTTCTCTCAACAGCACATTTCTTTTTCAATATTTGGTTTTCATTTTCCTTTAAAAGAGCCTCTAAATACTGCTACTGCAGCACTTTCTCTCTGTCCTTTATTTCTCTGACATGAGGGGAAAAAAATCTTCAGTTCTGTACGTAATTTCAGGATGGATATGTTCTACAACTACAAGGTGGTACAGTTTTGTATGTGCTGTGTTTGTGTGGAAGGGCTTTGGAGAATGTGATGATAAACTACAACATGTAGTGTCTGCAGTATGAAGTTTTGACTGCAAAGCCAGTAAACCAGCTGTACAGAGATTTTCTGTAGGTAAAAAATATCTTTAGGAGGGTGAATTTGTATTTTATAAATGCCCACTGCTTTTCTTCCATTCATCTTATCTGGCTACCATACTGCAGCCGTTGTGTGGTTTCTGAGGGCATTTTAATACTACATAAAGTGCTGTGGCTAACAGCTGCTAGAAGCTGTTTTCTCCTCCTCTCTCCAAAGGAAGAAGCACGTGCTAAGAAATGTTTTGTCTTAGGAGTTTGTTTTAAGTATATTTTTAAAGCTTGAAATTACATTTTAAATATAATAATTGAAGTATAGTTGAACTATAATTTTTGAAGTATAATAAGTTTGATGGGATTTATTTGAAGAATGTGTGTCATTCCGTGTGTGGAGTTTGGCCTGGATCTTTTTGCTGCTGTTGTTCATACCTTGGAATGATTATTTAAAAACCTATTGAAAGCTGGAACTGATACTCAAACAAATCTTGTTTATATGAAAACACATCCCAAGAGCTGACTGATGTTTTGTCTTACCTTTGCCAAAGCTGAATTCATTGTGTTGAAACCAGCAGTTTCAAAAGCAATTAGTGCATATTTTCCCTGTCAGCAAAGTTTAAAATGGATGTAAAAATAAATAGTTGAATACAACAGAGGAGAGAAGAGATCAAAACACATTCCTCATGGAGACATTAGGTCAGGAAACTGTAACAGCTAAGCAGAAATGGATAGAATCTCATAGCTAGTCATATGGAAGGTGGATGCTGTGTCCAAAGGGCTCATGGAACATTGAAGTGGAGATGATCACAGTTTGGTCTGGTGCATCTTTCAGGTTACAAGGCATTGGAGATTAGGGCTGCTGAGGGCTGTCTGCTTCAAAACAGTTTTTCTCTCATTTCCTGCATCTCCTTTTCTCCCTGTGCAAAGACGGACCGAAGCTGCTTTGCACTCTTAGACTCTGCCTGAATTTGTACTGCCCTGTTAAGGGACAGCTGCCCGTGTTCTTAACCCTAGGCTGAGAAGTAACGCTGTTGCTTCTCTCCTCAGTGACTGCACGTCCTCGGCACGCCGCGAGCAGAAGCGGGAGCAGTACCGCCAGGTCCGGGAGCACGTGCGGAACGATGATGGGCGGCTGCAGGCCTGCGGCTGGAGCCTCCCTGCCAAGTACAAGCAGGTAGGTACCATGCCCAGAGAGACAGGGGGTGCAGACTTCATCCCTCGCACTGAAACTCTGAAGACCTGGCTCTCCCTGTGGTAACCTTAGCCGTAATTGTTAAATATTCCAGTTGAGGTATTGTGTATGTGGTAATTTTCTGTGTGATAATTGCAAGCACAGAGTAAATGAATTTTTTTCTGTATCTCCACCAAAGTCAACAGGAGATAATTTTTCTTTTTGAAGGTACTGAAAGAACCTAGGCTAGAACTACAGCAGCTGCTCTTTGTCCATCTTGTTTTCATTTCCTTCGTTATTGAGTTTCAACATCAGCTATTTTATTTACGAGAACTCTACTGATTGTTCAGTTTAAAAGCCAAATGCAGTACAGTTTGTTCCCCATTCTCTTCTTTAGTTAAACAAACAAAAAACAGTCATCAGTCTCATTTGTTGGCCTGTGGCTCGTATAACTCTGGTCAGAAATCACCTGAGAAGAGTGCGGTGGAATTGAATGCATTTCAGGCTATGATGGAAAAGAATGCCAGTGTTCTGCCTCTGCACAGGGAGTGAACTCCAACAAAACCTTTGTCTTTCAGCAGCGCAGTGTACAGCCTTGGCTGGCCGTACCTGGGACACCGTACCATGGGGAGAGAGATGGTCTCTCAAGTTCCCATCCCTGTGGGGAGGGACATTTTCATACATGATGTCAGATGAAGCAACAGCTGCTATTGGCAAGCACCTCTGAAGCAGAAGCTTGGTCTGCCCTGTTGGTCAGAGCTCTGACAGTGCCATGGCCTGGTGTTTATGCCCTGGTACTGTCTTTTCTGTTTTCTCTTTCCCACAGCTGAGCCCCAATGGTGGTCAGGAAGATACTCGCATGAAAAATGTCCCTGTGCCTGTATATTGTCGCCCACTTGTAGAGAAGGACCCAACCATGAAGGTATGTTGCATGACATTTCAGTACAGAAAGGGGCATGGAATAAGCAGAATTTATTTGCAAACTATGCAATTTTTATGACAGTCTGCATTTTTTTCATTTCAAATGTTATCTTCTGCTTCTTTTTTGGAAATAGTAGTTTCTAGTATATGTGGGGAAAAGTACCTCTTGTACATAATTATCAGTTGATTCTCAGTGCCAGGTCCCACATCTGTCTTACTTTTTTGGGGTTTTTTTTTTGAGGCATCTCTTCCATAATATCAACAATTTAATACTTAGGAATAAGGCTTTTGGTAAGTCTCATACAGGTATAATACAAAGCAATGTAAAAATTCATGAAAAGGAGCAGGTGAAAACAAAAACACATTTCATCACCCTTCCTTTGAGTTCCACCATTGATCAGGAATCACTGATTACAGGCCAAAATTAGCTAAGGGAGTCTTTTGGGAAGCTGTATCTATCAATACTGGAACATTTTCAGTAGAATTGCAATTAAGAATAAATGATCCTCTTTCTGTATGTAGCACATCTGTCTGCGGTAACTAGTTGTTTCCAAATAAGCAGTCTGTCATTAACTTCACCAAGATTTTGAGCTGATTTTTAGACATCAAGCTTTGGTTGAGTTCAGTGCTTCTTACTGTACCCCAAACTAGTTAGAAACAGCTGCCATGTCCTGCTTGCTTTGCTGCGCTACCTTAGGAACACCAGAGTCAGACGGGGGATGTTTCAGAAGCCTGTTTCAGTTACGTGCCTGATTTTTATATTTATTTTCTTTAAACGTTAGTCACGTCTATTAAAAATCATAATGGTTTTCACAAGGTTGCAGAGATCCTTTTTCTTATCTCCATTTAGTCTGACTGGGTCTCCTAGCAGAAATCAGCAATCACCTGTTGTTTTTTCCACCTTGGTGTTTCAGGTGTTGGGTATGTGTGCTAAGCAGCATGGGCTTACAATTCCATTTCTGTTGTTTAGCTCTGGTGTGCAGCTGGAGTCAATCTCACTGGATGGAGACCATTGGAGCAGGAGGCTGGGAATGGGCAGAAACTGGATCCTGGACGGGATCCTCTTACCTGCGATCGGGAAGTGGAGGGTGAGAACAACAAAAGTAACCATACATCTCCTGAAAAGAAAAAGGTCAGATTTTTTTTTTTCTTCAGTGTTATTTCTCATTCCATCTCTTACATTCCTTGTCTCTCTGACTGTCTTTGCATTATGTAATGCTCTGGGTGAAGTCTTGTACTGTCGCTACTGCTGTAGTCATTCAGAGGCATTGGCTATTTGGGAAGTTTGGGGTTCTCTTACAAACTCTTGTGAAATTTATTTATATATAATAATAATAATAATAAAATCATAAATCATTTGGGGTGGAATTTTCAACTGTCAGTTTTTGGAACATTTGGAATTTTGAAAAAAAATTCTAATAGTGATAGATAAGGACTGATGAAGTTGCTAGGAAGACTAGAGAGTCCTCATCTCTATAAATGAAAAAAGAAAACCAAGCAAAACCAAACAGCAAAGAATGCTTCAAGAAGAACATAGACATAGCGAAGTTCGTGAGTTCATTTGGTTCATAAATTGAAGTTCTTGAGATTTTATTACAGCTCTGTTTTTTCAAATGTTGTCTTAAGTGTTTTTTAAGACCTACTTACAGAGTACAGATATTTATACAGATACAACAGATACAACATTTTCTCCTTCCTGGTTTGTGGACTTTGTCACAGCTGTCTCTCACTGTGTGTGATCAGATTGCTTATGCTGACAGCTTGAGCACATCTCAGCTTCATGGTATTCTGTCTAAAGTGAATGTTCAGTGATATTAGTCAGATAGCTCAGAAATTAATGGCTGAGTTCCCCTAGCCCTAGGAGCCATACAGGCTTTTGGCTGCTCTTCCAGATACAAGTGCAGCAATGTGAAGAAAAGTTGCATTGCTTCTGTTGCACCAGCTAGGAGGAGAGCGAGATCTTTGGAACTGGTGTTGTGATCTTTGCCAAGCAGGAATATGCTCGGTCTGATCTGAGGGGAGCACTGATTCTGCCTTATGTTTGCTCTCCTGAAGGCAAAGGAGTTCCATGAAATGGATGCCACATCCAGTCGTGTCTGGATCCTCACCAGTACCCTGTCAACAAGTAAAGTTGTAATCATTGATGCCAATCAGCCTGGCACAGTGGTGGACCAGTTCACTGTCTGCAATGCTCATGTGCTCTGCATCTCCAGCATCCCTGGTAAGTAATGTTCCACTACTGGCTATGGTCTGCACAAGGTCACAACTTGCTCAGCTAAGGAGTGACAAGTGTAGCATCTTCACTTCAGAGTTGGCCTTTGGAAGCTGCTGCATTCTGTAATTGTCCCTCAAAAGCATAACTCCAGAGCTTGCCTTCTTCTAAGTGGAATCTTGTGGAGATTCTTCACTTCTGAGCATTTAGTAAGTGATTCCTTTGGCATGCAAAGGATGACTCTTGGGGAGAAGAGTGAGCCTTGCTCAGGTTTGGAGGGCTCTGTAGCTGGTGTGATAGTTGACAATGGAATGAGGGGATTCACTACAGTGTTGGCTGGTGCTGTGGTCCCTCCCTGGGGCTTGTGAACCCTGAGTACCAGCATCCAACCATACGGTGACCTCAGGACTACTGGGATGTGTAGGTTGGCAGTGACTGCTAGATTTATGGGAGAATCTGTTCTTTGCCCTTCAGCGGCCAGTGAGAGTGATTATCCTCCAGGAGAGATCTTTCTGGAGGGCGATGTAAATCCTGAAGAGTCATCTGGAACAGATGGTGTCTTGGCAGGAATCACTCTGGTGGGCTGTGCAACTCGCTGCAATGTGCCACGAAGCAACTGTTCCTCGCGTGGTGACACACCTGTGCTGGACAAAGGACAGAGTGAGTTTTGGATATAAAGCCTAATGGCAGCCTTTAATAGCTAGTTCCATGTGACCTTATGGTCTTACAGCTGCATCCTTCTCCCCTGGCTTAACTGTTCCAGAGATTTCAAGACGTTTCTTAATGCAGTACATGATATCCAAAGCCGTTTGGTACTTTTTCCTTTAGAGCCATCCTTTTCTGAGTGATCCACAGCCTAGCTGTGGGGTTAGTATAACAGAATATTTTGAGCAAGTGATGTTAACTCTCCTAAATCCTGTTCTAATTGCTTTTTCCTCTCAACCATGTCTTCTAGTCATGTAAGCTTAGATGATAGTGTAATAAAGCTCTTGCTGATTATGTACTGCTGATTACATACTACTGATTACCCACTACTGTGGGTAGCCTTGGAGAACTCTTGATATTCTATTAAACTCAGGTGGTGCCTCACTGGAAAACTGCCTCTGTTTTCCTCCCAGAGCAGCTGACGCTCTGGAGGAGCTTCTGTCTGCGATGCAGTCTTTGGGTTTGATTATAATTTACAAATAAGGATGAAGTGAAAGAAATGAGAACAGGATTTCTTTCTGGCTAGCTTTCAGCCTGGTCCCCCTGCTCTTTGTGCACCTCACACTGTTCTTTGTCACCTAGGTGAAGTGGCTGCTGTCTGCAATGGGAAGATCAACCAATCTCAGTCTACAGAGGAAGCAACAGAAGCTACAGAGGTGCCAGAGAATGGTACAAGTGAGACAGAGCCCATTCAAGCCCGTTCTGGACCCCTCACAGAGCACGTATTTACGGACCCAGTCCCTGCACAGGCACCTCTTCGTCAGAACGGGTAGGCTGTCTGGGCCAACGTGTCCCTTCAGTTACTACCAGGTCTGTTTTCATAAGCTGCTTATGAGAACAAGCCTGATCTTCTCATAAAGTGTCAAACTTTTTTCAGTTTTGTGTCCAGGTAGTATTTCAGATGGAATGATGAGGGGAGGAAGAAATAAAATAAATGCAGTTCAGGCAGCAGCAGATTGTGTCAGCTGTTGAAGAGCAATTATTTGATCTCTTGATGATAATTTAGACAGATCTTCCAAAATACACAGGCACTTAATGTTCTTACCAAAGGGGCTTTTGATCCCCTTTTGATATGTGATCATTTGTTTATTCCAGCAGTAACTCTGGATGTCTGTAAAGATAATGAAGAAAGCATAGTAGTAACTCTGGATGTCTGTAAAGATAATGAAGAAAGCATAGTCAGTGCCCCAGAATTCTTAATGTGCCTAATACGATGGTTTGAGGGTTCTGAGTGGTTTCTGTTGGAGCTGGAAATGAGCACAAATTGTTGGAGAAAATTACTTCCAAACACTAAGTTAATTTTGTTGGCCATAAAGTAATGGCTGTTTGTTTTGGCAGGGGATGGGAAAGGAAATTTTGAATATTAGGGAGTCAAGGAACTGAAAAACACTGAGGGGAGGGATGTGTTGTGTGTGTACAAGTGCCTTTATCTGCTTGTGCAGTGCCAGCCTGTGAGTGCAGGTGAGCATTCTGTGCATTACAGTTAAAGGCCTCTAACCACCTTCCTTTGCCCTTTAAGAGAGAATGGGCAGCTGAAAACAGAGTCAAGCACAGCACTGCCAGATCAGGAGCTGAATGGGGATGCTGCTGGGACGTGCACCAGTGCTGCACCCACCATGTGGCTGGGAGCACAGAATGGCTGGTAGGTTCCCCTTAGGCAGATTCTCTGCCTCGGTTGTCCTCTGGCCTCCACTTTTCATGTACTTACGCATCTAGTTTGCTTTTTATTTCTAAAGTAGGTATTCATTACTGTTTCTGAGTCCTCAGCTCATAATGGGTGCTGTAACTTCACCTAACTGTGCACACTCCTGTCCTACCAGAAGAAATAATTCAGGCCTGGTTAGTGTGAAGATGAGTGGCCTTGCTGCTAACCCTCCCTGATTTGTCCTTTATCCCAGGCTTTACGTGCACTCTGCTGTATCGAACTGGAAGAAGTGTCTGCACTCGATAAAGCTAAAGGACTCCGTGCTGAGTCTAGTGTAAGTACACACACCAAGGGACACTGAAGGAGGATGCTCAGTGCCTAAGCAGTGTCTTCCATGGGGGTGGTAGTTCTTTGTCAGTCATCTTTTTTCTTACTCTTAAGTGCGTTGATTTATCAGGAAAGTTTTCCTGGGCTTCCTGCTGAGTCACTTTCCTGTACAGTTGCACACATGAGCCAATACAATGAATAAGGAAGGTACTACAATGTATTTATAGTATCAGGTGGAAACAAGTGGGAAGGAGAAGAGGAAGACTCGAGAAGGGTAGTTATTAGGGTGGAATTTGTTGAAATTGATGGAGTTGATAGTGTGAAAGAGAAGTTAAACTCAGCAGGAAATTGTTCGATGATTTGACTACACACAAGGTAGGAGATTGGACTCTGAGCCCTTATAGGCCGTGCCAGCAAGTCTAAAACTGAATGGAAATTCTAGGAAAAACATAAGAATAGTTTGCCTGGATATTGGAAAGGATCTGTTAAGTCCTTTGTTTCCACAGAGTTTTTTTTAATGGTTTTTATTGTCCTGTGATTTCAGGCATGTGAAGGGAAGGGTCCTTGTTGCTCTGGCAGATGGAACACTGGCCATATTCCACCGAGGAGAAGGTAAGGATTAGTGTAATAAAATTAAAACAAGCTGGTCAAGACTGTGGCAGTTATTTAAACAGTATTCCAAGTCAAGAAAGAAAAAGTGCTGGATTGCCAGAGTACAAACGCTTGGTTAAAATGCATAGCTTTTATATACCTTTAATGCACCCCTGATCCAGAAAATCTCCAGACATCTCCTTGTAAGTTGGAGCATATTCCAACATTGTTTGCTGAGGTTTTCTGAAAAGAAGAAAGAAAGTGTAAAAATGCTATGTAGTACAGGAGGAAGGAATGCAGCATGCCTAGGAGCACATACACTGTGCAGTTGCTTGAAGCATGTTTGATGAGATTAATGCATTTGGGCCATAACCAGTATTACTGGGCATTCACAAATCAGCTGTACAGTTCGTGTGAAGGGAGCTCCCAGCAGCTCCGGGAGGCAGTGCCTGAGCAGATCATCTGTGCAGTGCAGGGCAGTTAGAGTCTGTGTTGGTAGTGGAATTGGTTTCTGTGGATGCAGAAGGATGGAGCTAGGATTTTCTGGAAGCCTGAAAGTCCCAAATAGATGGAGCTTTCACATTGCACCTGGCCAGTTCTTCTTGTGATAAAGAAAAGATGTCTGAGTAAAAATATCTTGAAATGAGAGGACTAGGGCACATACTAAGGCACGTCAGTTTGTGCCTTAGTCCTCTCATTTCAAGAGATTTTTTTGAATTCTGTGTTTCTTGTCCTCTTCGCTGTTGTAGATTTTGTTTCCTTATAACTTCAGCAGTTCCTGAGCTGTGCTCATACAACTCAGAGGAATTTGCAAATTGTGAATAATATTTGCTTATAAAGAATTTATTTATCAGGTGTTCATTGGGTGACAGTTTATCAACCAGATATTCTGGTTTTGTGCAATGTAATTTTCGATTCAGGCTTTTTCATGAATGTGAGCCTGACCATTGACACACTCTGAATGTTCCCATCAGAAATATGGTAATGCTCCATCACCTAGAGGCAAAACACAGAACCTACCCGATGAGTTAGAAAGTAAGAACAAGAGAACAGGTATCTGATTCCTTATCCTGGATTTGACACTCCACAGAAATCGTGTTATCTGTGTGTGCAGTGGGACAGCCTCACCATGAAGAACTGTGTGCTCCATTTCCTTTAAGTTTCCACAGAGTCTTGTTAGTTTGTCTGTCTTCCCCTTCTGATTTTGTTGTACTTGTTAAGGAAGACTGTTCATTTCATTACCATAAAAGGATCTGTAAATTAGCCTGAGCTGGAGAGCTTTTAGCCTACCAAAGTAAGCTTTGTCATGTGTCTGCTAACTGTAAGGCTGTGTCTGAAGCAGTAACATGTGCTGATGGGAGTTCACAGACATAAGCAAGATCAGCTTTTAAGGATCAGCTAGGCCTTGTATACCTAGATATAAATGGAATGATAGAAATGTATCTTTCTGCACTTGTTTTTCACCCCAGATCGTCAGTGGGATCTCAGTAATTACCACCTAATGGACCTTGGTCACACTCACCATTCTATCCGCTGCATGGCTGTTGTGTATGACAGAGTCTGGTGTGGCTACAAGAACAAAATCCATGTTATTCAACCTAAGACAATGCAGATTGAGGTAAGAGAGGAAATGTGTGCAGGTATGCATACAGATACTTGTATCTATTCTTCTGTTTTCTGCTGCAGAGCGTGGAAACACAGAACTTACTTGTCGGTATTGACTGCAATGAAAACTATCAGACTGCCAGTTGGGGTTATCTTCAGACCCAGTCTGCCAGGGAGGTGTTTATTCCTTCCTCCTTTGGCAGAGATTAAATCTTGCAAAAAGTCTGAAATGAGCACTGTCTTTGCCTTTGTTAGTGAGACCCTGGGCTCACATGCTGTACAAACATGCCTGTGCATTACAGCTGCAGTCTAAGACTTCTCCATCTGTAGGCATTGTGGCATGAAGGAAGAACAAGTCAGTGAGCCCAAGTGGTTCCACTTGCCTAATTAAAAAAAATAAATACTCAGACCCTTTTGGTTGAAAGATTTGTTTCGTACAGTGGAGTTCATGCAACCGTGCTTAACAGTGTGCGCAATAATTTACCTGTAGAGAGAAGTGTTGAAGCTACAGTTCACATCAGTGAGTGAAGGCAGCTTGCTGATGTTCAGTATTTCTTTGGAGCTGCTGGTGTCTAAATGATTTTGCTCCCAAAGTGGCATGCAAAGACTGTCATATTCTCTGTGGAGCCACAAGTCTGCCCATGAAACTCATTTGATAGAGCATCATCTGTACCCTATATTGAACTTCTGAGGTCATGTGGCATTTTGTCCGAGGCCTTTGAAACCCAAACAAGCAATCTCTGTTAAGGAAAATATATAGAATATATGAATAGATATAGGAACATATGTATAGATAATTGGAAAAGCTTTTGTGAACTTGCATTGCTCTACTTATGTGTCAATTCAGAAGTCCTTTGATGCCCACCCTCGGCGTGAGAGCCAGGTGCGACAGCTGGCGTGGATTGGAGATGGAGTGTGGGTTTCCATCCGCCTGGATTCCACCCTGAGGCTTTACCATGCCCACAGCCATCAACATCTGCAGGACGTTGACATTGAGCCTTATGTCAGCAAGATGCTAGGTGAGGCAGTAGGGATCGCCTCTCAATGGTCTGTTGCTTACTGAGATCAGAGAGAAATGAAAAATCATTAGCAGACATTGCCCAAAAGTCATACAGATTGCTGATGCTCCCATTCCCATGCGTGCTTACAGGTACTGGAAAATTGGGCTTCTCATTTGTACGGATTACAGCCCTGCTCATTGCTGGCAATCGTCTCTGGGTAGGAACAGGGAACGGCGTTGTCATCTCCATTCCACTGACTGAGAGTAAGTGACATTTATCAGAGACTTTTCTGTGCCCCCCTGAAAAGAGCAGTGAATTGGTGATTTCTGGCAGATGGCTTTGGTGGGCCAATACTTTCTGGACATTTTTACTCTGAACTTGACAAGGTGTTCTGAGAGAAGAGTGCTGAGTGTGAATGACCCAGGCCTCGATTTAACTTTTCCTTAGTTATGTAATTAAGTGTTCAGCTGAATGGATTTAACCTGTTTAAAGCCAAATAGTGATTTATTGTTGTTCATTTTCAATTCAGTTGAAGGCATGTTTCTCTTGGGCACCATTGTCGTCTCTCCTCTCTGTACAGCCTTCTCTTTTGAGGGTGACCTTGACAGAGCAGACTGATGTGAACTGATTCTGTACCTACTGGGAAGCCAGAGAAACAGAGTTGGGAATTGTAGCAAGTCTCCAAAAGGGGGAGGCTGTGGCATGAGAAGTCACCAGGAAGATCTCCCTGGAAATTTTTATCTGGTGTGGAGATGCTCAGATGTCTATGAGAATATTTTGCAGAAATTGACCTTAGAAAAAGCTTCATTTTCTCAAATTAGAGTTCAGTTTTTATTAGTCAAGTAGAAATCAGCATCCTAAGACAAGTCCAGTAGCAGCAGTTGTTGAAAGGCACACCTCCAGCACTGGAAATTTAATTGAAGCTCTCAGTAAGCCTGTTCTGTACCTGCCAGTCATCATCAGATTTTTCGTGGTGGAAGGTCTGTTTCAAAATATAACAAGGAGTAGGACTTGAGGCTGACTGCAGCTCCTTTCAGTGGAAAGCAGCGATACGTACGTGTTCTCATCAGTGCTGACAGGAAAGCTGAGAAACAAATGGCTCTTGGGTAAAAGGGGCAAACCTGTTGCAGCCCTTCTGGAAGTCAGAGTTGAAGTTGTTTCCTCTAAGGCTACTGGAGCTGAACCCCCCTTGGGACTGATGCTGTTGTCATAATTCCAGTTTCAGCTTGTTCCCTGCTATAAACCAGTCGCATTACCTTTTGGTGTTTCTTTAAAAATGTGGTAAGCTGTAAACCTTCACTAGAAGCTTTAGCAATAGATCTTTGTGACCAAGCACCTTCATCTGTCTCAGATACTTCGTTTGTCTTTGTGATATAACAGTAAAATGAGCAAGAACAGTGTTGGTATAAACGAATTGAGCCCGTAGCTCATGTGGTTTCTCCAAATATATACATTTCTGTTGCTATCTGAATTTTCTCCCAGTAATCACCTTTTTCTTCTCTCCCATCCTTCCTGTCTCTTCCCGTGCCCCTTTGTGTTCCCACTCCTTGCCTCTACCTAGCTGTAGTCCTCCACCGAGGCCAACTCCTTGGGCTCCGGGGTAAGTCCATTGCCTCCTTCCTTCAGCTTTCACTTCTGCAGCTGCTCGCCTTTGCAGTCACTTTCCTGCCCTTCCATCCTGCCATTCAGCTCTCCCCATCCATTTTTCCTCATCTCTTTCATTTTAAGTCAGTCAAGTGAGAAAAGTGTCTGGAGACAATAATGTGAAAATGATCATTTCCTACGGTCTGAAACATTTTCATCCATCTCATCAGCCACCCCTCTGCTTTTTGTGTCAAGTACCTTACTGTATAGTACTATACAGTACTGCCTTTCTGGTAGGCCAGGTCTGAGTTGGAGACTGTGAGGATTTATTCATTCAGCTCCAGAAGCAGGAGCACACTGTTCTTCTGAGGTCATCCTTGGTCATCCTTGGTTTTCCGAGGCTGCGTCTCAAATCAGTTTCCAGGCCAGTGGTAGGAAGGGCTGTGACACCTGCCAGCTGCAGGAAGTCAGCCAACGCTTAAAAGAAGAACTTGGATGAATACTGAGAATTGTTTGTTTGTGTCACTTAAAGCAAGGTCTGAGCTTGCTGTTCAGATTTATACTTGCCTCAGCCTTTTTAGAGACAGAAAGTGTTTTTTCTCATTGTTAAGATGCTCCTGTCCAGAAACATTACTGGTGCATCTCTCTTCCTTTTAAAGCCTCTGGTAGTGATCACTATGAGAAGCCAGATGCTGAGCTGGAAGAGCCTTGTCTACTGGGCCTCAGCCAGTTCTGTCTGCCCTCAGTAAGCCAAAGCACAGAGGTGCAGAAAGCAAAGCTTTCATCTCAGGGATCTTCCCCCAGCACACACTGATTCTCATTCCTCCATCCAAATATTTGTACTTACCCCAGCGTCCCATTGCAAATGTGCTAGGTAAGAACCTCCTTTGTTCCTGAGCCTCTTAATAACTGGAAACCAGCCCAAGCCAACATACAGAGCTACAGATAGTAAATAAGCAGTTCATTTTGCTCTGTAAGTAAACAGGAAGTGAATACTTTCTGATTTTAGTACGGTTTGTTTTACTGATGCAGAAGGAAAGCATTTCCTGTCCTCATCTCTGAGAACTGCTTTCATCCCTGGTGAATGGAAGCTTTCCCACCTCGAAAGCACAGGCCTGAAAGATGCATGCCTCTGAGCTCACCTTGAGGTCCTTGGGCGCTGTGGATGTTGGACATCTTTTGATGTTCATTGTTTGAGTAGCTGATCTTCTAAATCAAGGACTAAGGAAGGCGCTGGCTCCACTGCTCTGACACTTGCTGGGCTGAGAGGCCTTTGCCAGACACAGAGGCTGCTGAAAGCAGCTTGGCGTGAGCAAAGGACTTGATTTGGAAGCAACTTCAGTTCCCAAAATAGCAGTAGTTCTCCAGTTCTGGTATGGGAGACTAGAGCCTTGATTGTGTCTCAGTTATAGTGGATACATTTGCCTACATTGCTAAGTCCCAAAGGCTGATCACTAGGACAGTAAGTGACTTCTGAAGGCTGGACAGGATTGTTCCTGGAGAAGAGACCTTTAGTGGTGCACCCCAGAGGCCTTGTCTTGTGTGCCCTAGAGTCACTCTTGTCCACCACCACCAGGGAAGTGTGCGTCATTAACAGCCAAATAAAAAAAAGTAGTTTGTTACTGTGAGTGGGTTTAATCAGCCTAACAGAGAGGGACCCGAACCTGCTATAGTCCTACATTATAGGGATGGGATGCCATCTAGGGGGACCCAGACAGGCTGAGCAGTGCACTCAGGAGAACCTCATGAGGTTCAACAAGTCTGAGTGCAAAAGGTCTGCACCTGGGTCCAGGCAACATCCACTACCAATACAAGCTGGGGGATGAAAGGATGGAGCACAGCCGTGCTGAAAAGGACCTGGGGGTACTGGTGGGTGACAGCAGGACAGTCCAGAAAGCCAACTGTATCCTGGGCTGCATCCAAAGCTGTGTGGCCAGCAAGTCAAGGGAGCTCAGCGCTGTGAGAACTCATGGAGCTCTGCATCCCGATGGGGAGTCCTCAGTACAGAGAGACATGGACCTGTTAGAGCACATCAGAAATGATCCAAGAGATGGAACGCCTCTCCTGTAAAGACAGGCTGAGAGCTGGGGCTGTGCAGCATGGACAAGAGAAGGCTGTGAGGTGACCTGAGAGTGGCCTTCACTACTGAGAGTATCTGAAGGGGAGCTACAGGAAGGAAGGGGACAGACTCTTTAGCAGGGTCTGTGGTGATAGAGCAAGGGGAAATGGTTTCAAGCTCAAAGAGGGTAGATTTAAGTTGGGTAAAAGGAAAAAGTATTTTACAGTGATGGTGGTGAGGCACTGAACAGATTGCCCAGAGATGTGGTGGATTCCCCATCTCTGGAGATTTGCAAGACCAGGCTGGATCATGCCCTGGACAACCTGATCTAACTGTGTTGTCCTTGTGCATTGCAGGGGAGTTGGATGAGATGACCTTTTAAATTTCCCTTTCAACTCTAACGATCCTATGAATTACATAATTCTGGGCTCAGTTCTAGGGCCTGTTCTATTCAATATTTTATCAGTGGTCTGGTTATAGGACTGAAGTGCATCCTCAGCACGTGATGGCACTCAGCTAGGAGGTGCTTTTGACTCCTCAGAGGGTTGAGAAACCTTGCAGAGGGCTCCAGATAGATAGAGCATTGGGCAAGGAGCAACAGCATGAAGTTCAGCAAAGGAAAATGCTGTGTTCTGCACCCAGGATGGAGCAATGCTGGACACAAGCAGAGCATGGGAGATAAGTAGCTGAAGAGCAGCTCAGCAAAAAGGGATCTAAATGGTGACAGCAGGCTCAGTGGGAGCCAACAGGGTGCCTTGGCACTAAGAGAGCAAACTGCATTTTGGAGTCTGTTGGGTCACAGCATGGCTGGCAGGTCAAAAGAGGTGATTCTTCTGCTGTACTTAGTATTGGTGTGGCCTCACCTTGAATATTTGGTGTAGTTCAGGGCTCCACAATATAAAAAGGATGGTGCTTGAAAGCATTCAGACGAGGGCAACAAAGCTGGTAATGGAACTGGGAGGCATGTCTTTGAGGAGAGGCTGAGGGCAACCTGGAGAACAGGAGGCTGGGGGTGACCTCTCTGCTCTGCACTCCCTGAGCAGGGGAAGCAAGGGAGGTGCTGTGCTCTGTGCTTGGAAGCCAAAGACAGCATGTGTAGGAGCAGCCCAGAGCTGTGCCAGGGAAGTTCAGACTGGGAATCAGGAAGAATCTCTTTACCATGAGGGTAGGGCAGCACTGGAACTTCCTAGAGAGGCAAGTGCTGCCGCCTGCCTGTCTGTTCATGAGATGTTGGACTGTGTATTGAGATGCCCTCAATGAAATGCTTTAAGTTTTGATTAGCCCCGAAGCAGACAGTTGGAGTAGGTGATCTTTGAAGGTCCACCCAGCTGAACCATTTTATTCTATAAGACCTTTTAAGAGATTTGAATCCATAAAGGTTTTCCTTCACGGCTCAAGAGTTTTTTTTTTGATTGTGCCCCTCCTGTAAATGGGGCCAAAACTATGACTAACAATGTTCCTTCTCCTGTCCATAGCCAACAAGACCTCACCCACCTCCGGAGAGGGCAGCCGCTCTGGCGGGGTCATCCACGTGTATGGTGATGACAACAGTGACAAATCTGCCAGCAGTTTTATTCCCTACTGCTCCATGGCTCAGGCACAGCTCTGTTTCCATGGTCACCGTGATGCTGTCAAGTTCTTTGTCTCTGTGCCTGGTAAGGATGAGCACAGCCCTTCCTTATTGAGGGTCTGTTAGCACTGTCCATTCTGAGGCAGGAGCTTAGGCTGACCTGCAGCAGAAGGCTGCCAGTTTCTGGCACTTGGAGATCCTGTGACTCAGAGACTGGTAGCTCAAACTGCGGTGTCTTTGAGATTTCACCAGCAGAAGGAACTGGCCTGCTCAGTCGTGTTTGTCTCTCAGAGTGCCTGAGGGCTGAGCAATGGCACTGATGGCACCTCTGTCCTGTCCCAGGCAACGTCCTAGCAACTTTGAATGGGAGCGTGTTGGACAGCCCCTCGGAGAACCCCAGCACAGCAGCCACAGAGACCGAGGGGCAGAAGCTGAAGAATGTCCTGGTGCTGAGTGGAGGAGAAGGGTACATTGATTTCCGGATCGGTGAGTGCCTGCAGTGGGGGGTGTGGAATTGGAAGGGGTGCAAGGGAACAATTTGTGAAGGAGAGGGATCACTGCTGTGGGAAAAGAAATCTGAAAAGCAAGGCTGTTTTTCTCCTACCTCCCGCTGTCGTGGCAGATAGCAAGTATTTTCCTTCCACAGCACGAAACTGCCAAACCTTCCCCCTGCCTGTGCCTGCAGTGCTGTGCAATCATCATTAATGGCCTTGGAAAAATAAAAACATCTGTGCCATTGGCTGCAAACGCTGCTGTCCCACTGGAGTCACCTGTGCTGTTCTGAGGCACTCTGTTGTAAACATTGGCTTCCCCAAATGGGAGATGGTTTTCCCTTTAGCTGGAGACAGTTTGTTCCATTCACAGAAGCCTAGTTCAGAAAAGCACCATGCTGTTATTTCTCCAGGCATGCAGGGAGGTCTTGGCTCCTGCTGCCTGTCGTCAGACTGTGAAGACTGTAGCACAAATATTCACCTCCTCTGAACAATTTCAGGGCAGTGTAGCTTGGGATTTTCTTTCCAGCCTTTTTTACTCTGCTTTCTGTCTTCAGGGGATGGAGAAGATGATGAGACAGAGGAGAATGCAGGAGATGCCACCCAGGTGAAGCCAGTACTTTCTAAGGCAGAAAGGAGCCACATTATTGTGTGGCAGGTATCCTATATCCCAGAGTGAGAATTTCTCCTTTCCTACCAATGTAAGTGTCCCTGTTCCCACCTGAATGCCACGATGTACATACAGAACGCCTGCATTATACCTACTGCTGGAAACCGACCCCAGACAACTGCAGCGGCTCCTGCCTCAGACTGTGACCCCTTTGTAACCTCTGAACTTGCAGCTTTCATCTTGGGCCCATGAGCTTTCTGCGTGGTTGGATTATTATTGTTCTGCTCTGGAGCTGGCGTCTACAAGGAGAGAAATGGCAGCGCGTTGATAAAAGTGAAGCTTGGAGCCAGAGCTGTGCAAAAGCTTTGCCTGGGGCTGGGGAGCTGGACAGGTGGTGGGTCTGGTTCTCCAGCAGGATGCCTTGCTCCCATCTGCATGAGAAGTAGTGCAGCACCCTGGCATCCCCGCCAAAGCAGCGATGGAGGATCACAACTCCTACAGCACCCCAGAAGAAATCCTTCCTTGTTCACCAGTGGACTTTCCACCTTATCCACTATGTGCACCTGAGCATAGAATAATATCCCACAGACTGACAGCAGCCAGGTCCAAGGAGCCTTCAATAGAAAGGAATGTCGAGGTTGGGAAGCGCTTCTGCTGTTTGGCTGGAGAAGGTGGCAGGGCTGTTAGTGGGGGGAACACATCCTCCACACTTGCAGATGGAAAGTCTCCCTCCTCTTCTGCTGCTTTTGTCATAGCAGTAGTGTGCTGGGTGACTGCATGTGTCCAGAGGGGATTGTTTGGTAGCCTCAGGTGGGTGACAGATGGTTGATTGTGGAGGCCGTGGGGCCTTTCAAAACTATTAACAAAGAAGTACTGGAACCCTGTTATTTTAAAGGGGGAAAAGGCAGTGATATTTTAACTCCCTTCTCTAAAAAAAAAAAAAAAAAAAGTCAAGCAGGAAAGAATTGAGTTCATTCGTTTTGTGAGCCTGAAAGCTTTAGGAGAAAGTTATCTCTACATAGGATTTACTGGCTTTTAAAATAGAGGCAGTGGCAGATAATGTTCGTCTGCTGTGAATTCTGCATTAACACACTGAGATTACTTCGACTCATCAGGATCCCATCCTGCTGGGAACTGCTGGCATCCTGCTGGAAGGAGGTGGCTGTTTTCCTTTAAACAGTGGCTGTCAGGTTAGGAAAGACTGTGTAGGTGCAGTCAAGGTGTACAGGCTGTGTCTTGCCTGAGGTCATGCAGATAAGGGAATTGAGGCCAGATCTCCCAGCTCCTTTTACTCAGCATCACAAGCACTGATTGAATTGGTTAGTGAGTGGTTTGAAAAGCTGGATCTCTGTTACTCCTCTAAAGAATGACAGCCTCTGAGAGAAATTCTGACTGCGCTCCTTGTGCAAGCTGCGTGTCCTGCTTGTAGGAGAAGCAGCCGAAAACGCAGCCAGAGAGAACAGTTTTAAGCTCCATATTGAAAGTGTGGCAGCTCCAGATGTAGAGGCAGTGGTTTGTTTTCCCCTTCTAACAGTTGCAGCAGTTCCTTCCTCTACAAAGAGCTGTTAGCAATGAATTTAGAAGATCCTGGTGGCTGTCTTGTTGGTTTCCTGAGCTGTGCAGCACTGTGGATCTCCCAAGGATGTCCACCTCCATCTCTGAGGAACAAGACCTGTGCTGCTTGTCATGGTCCAGGCTGCTCCCAAGCCTTGTGGTCTGCAGCTGTTTGTGTGCTGCAGGAACACAGCATTCACTGGGGAAGTTTTAACACCTGTCCTCATTCAGCAACCCTGAAATGGTCTTTGGATGCTCAGTTCAGAAAAGGCTGGGGCACACAGTTCCCATCCAGGGAGGCAAGAAGACATACACAGGGTGCAGAGGCCTCAGCCATCAAAGTATGTGGCCACGGTGCTGCCCACACTGCCTGAGCAGCTGGTGATGTGAGGACCCACACTGCTCCTTGCAGAGGTAGGAAGCTAGCTGGACTGTATCTTCAATCCAGGATCTGTGGCTTGCATTTGGCTGACTCTGCAAGCAGCCATTCATGTAGAGGAGAATATTTGAGAGGAGACATCTCACCTGGGGCAGCGCTCACTCATCCCCAGAATGCTTTCTTCTAGAACAGGCTCTCTGGGTCACAGCACAGGGTGCAGTAACAGATGTTGAGACAGCAGATTCCACAGATATCTAACAGTTAGAGCCAGGAAAATGGCATACTTTGGTGTCATTTAAAGGCAAATGCAATTCTTTAGGCATGTCAAACCTTCAGCGTGAAAATACAGGATTGCAACGTTCTTACCTCTTACAATTTGTTCTCTATCTGGTTTTAGCAGTAAAAGTGACAATATTCAGTCTTCTGTCACCCACTGGTCCATGGCAACATGAGGAAACCACTCTTGGGCCTCTGCCAGCAGGTTCCTTCCCAGTTTGGTGCTTGGTTTCCTCCAGGAGAAGCACATGTGTCGGAGGGGTGGCTCCAGCTCAGCCTCTGCTATCAGCTCCTGTTGGGATGTGGTGGCTGCTGGGCAGCAAGGTGAGAACTGACTGGCTTCAACACACTTCCCTGTCATATCTCCACTGTGATGTATGTAAAGTATCTTGTATGTTACAAAAGGATTTTAAAAAGTGTCTTAAGGCCTGTAAACTCCGCTGTTTGGTCTGAAGATGGCATTCTGTAAAGAGACCGCTGTATGAATACGTTCCCATGCTTTTTTCCCTACGCTATCAAACAACAAACCATATCTGTTCTGTATGTAATAAATGTGTTAACATCAGCAAGTGCCAGTAGGTCTTGTTGCTGGAAAGGTCACTGGGATTTCCGCTCAGCCTTTAGGAACATCACGACACTTAAAATGGTGGGAATGGCTCCCGTTCAGCAGCTAGCAAGAGATGAGACGCGTGTTCCTCACTGTCTGAGGAGGTGCTGGTCCTGCAAGACACTGCCTTTGAAGCCAGTGCACATTGTGGCTTCTCTCAGTGTCAGAAATAAAAGACAGAGCCTCCAGCTGCAGTCTGTCCACATGTGTCCTTATGGACCCCCTTCAGACAAGCTGTGGGGAATCTTCCATAAGTTCCCTGCCGATACCAGGTGGTCGTTGACAGTGCAATAGGAATGGTGACATTCAACACTTGATAAGGCGAGTTCAGCTGTTCCTCCCAATCCCAGCAGTATTTAGATAAGCTCATATTTATTTTGTAGAATTGAATTCATTCAAGGGGTACATACAGCAGTAATAGATAAGAGACAGAAAAGGAGTGAAAATTACTAAGATTATGAATGCTGACTCAGTCAATTACCAACTGTCAGTCTTTATGTTGAACTGCATTGAGCAGCTACTGCTGTCTTCCTAGACAACTTTAATTGCATGATGAGCTCCTTCCTCATTAGCTGCATTGCCTGCATCCTAAGAGCGTGCACGTAAAATTGCAAATAGCAGCAGTGACACAAGTAGTTTGGTGCAGCACCCTGAGAACAGAGCACTTCGCTCATGCACTTGGTGCTAACTGCTGTGCTCACTGTAGCTTAAATAGGCCATCCCCATCTGCTGCCCTTATAGACCTGGGGGAGAGCCCACAGCATTATGGAAAAAAGTGGCCAAGCCTTGCAGATCTGAAGTGACTTCTGTGGTGTGCTGGGAGCTGTAAACCAGCTCTGGGAGAGGAACCTGGAGCAGGAGATCTGGCTGCCCAGGAGCTGTGTGCTCTAAGCAGAAAGGTGATGAAGCAGAAGGGTTCCTCAAGGACACCCTGCCAGGGGTCAGCCGGCAGCCCTGTAGACCTGCCCTGCAGCTCCTGCAGGAGCCATACAGGAGACCTGAGCCCCTCATCTCAGGAGCTGTGTCCACAACGTGGCAGGGCATGGGGCCACCAAGCAGTGATCCTGGGCTGCCGGCAGAACCTCAAAAGCCGGGTTTGGAAGCAGGTCCCATCCCATCTGTTTCTGCTCCTGCCCGGGCTCCCTGTCCATGCCCTGGGCCTGACCCATTTCTTGCTTTGTCTCTGGCTGTTGGTGGATGCTCTGCTGCTGCGGGCTGCCTGGAGGAGGGCACCACAAGTGCTGGCTGCTCAGCCAGGTCAAGCAGGGCTGAGGATAGGATTGCTCCTTCTGAACCCAGAGCTACTTTCTTTCCCCATCCCACTCCTCCCTTCTCCTCCCTCCTCGGTGCTGTGCTGTTTCTGTAGCACCTCCATCATGACTAAGGATGAGCTGCAGCTGGACGTCTCAGCCCATGGCAGCGTTAATGCATTATCAGCACTCTGGACTTGCCTCCTATGGATGCTCCCACTGCTTCAAAGCCCTTCTGAACCCTACAGCCTTCCACAGCACAGGAGCAAGAGCCCAGTGCTTCCCAACTATTATAGCTTATAGGACCAGCTGTTAACCCACGTGAAAGCCCTCATCCATGTTAAGCCTTCATGAGCCTTTGGTGAGGAAACCTGTGAAGGACAGGTAGCTGTTGACCTGTTTGCTCTGCCTGCTGACAGCCTTTCTGGCAGCTGCAGCCAAACTACCTTGCGTCATCGAGGCCTGCCATGCAGACAGAGGGCACAGAGTCACATTTTTGCTTTCCTTCAGTAAATCCCTTTGGGCAACTTGTGATTTTAGGATGCCGCTGCAAATGCAACAGCAATTCTCAGACAGAAGTGCCAAATGGTGAACTGCAAGGAGCTGAATAGCTCTTGTGACTCCTCCACGCACAACCAAACTGGAACCCCTCACCACAATGGTTCCTGACACTGCACCGAAGCCACAACCATTGGGAGAAGAAATGAAAACGTAAGCTCTGCACTAAGAAGATGCATTTTTGTAACTTTCACCACAGTGTGCTGCACCAGAACAAGTGATATTTTGCAACTGGCTTCAAATAGTAACAGCTAATCCTGTATACCTTCCGTGATCAGAATTAAAATGATTCCTCTCATCTCCTGACAGCCATTGCTGGGAATCATGCTCAGAATCCAGAGTTCAGCTGTGTTCCTGCCATGCTGTTCATTGCAGCTTTATGTCAGTAAACGAGATGAGACTGCACTGGTAAGAGGAATGTGATGCTCTACCTGTATTGCAAAGGCTAAGTTTGGACCCCCAGCAAACCATCATGCTGAGCTCCAGGCACTGAATAAATAAACCACCCCCCAAAGAACAGATTTTCTTAGAAATATGCTCTGGAAATAAGAAATCATTTATTTTGGCTCTGTGAAATAATGTCATACTTAACTTAGTAATTTTTCCATGATGTAGAACTTACTTAAACTGCTTCAGAAATGTTCTTTAAAAACTCCTAGATTCTCAGGCTGTAAATGAAACTGTGCTCCCAAGCACTGTAGCTGGATGACAGAAGCTCTAAGTTCAGAGAATATACAGTGAATCTGAGACCAAAGTTATGAGGGGAAAAAAATAAAATCCAAATGCATCTTCATCTCTAATTTCAGATGAGATTACCATACAGTCCAGGGGAGAAAACAAGGTCAAGTGGATATCAACTGGACACTCTGTACCACAGTAGGCAAGGGGGGCTTCAGTAAGGTGATGTTCTGCCAATACAAAGCAAGAGCGTGTGGGAAGCTCAGGACACAGAGCAGGACATTACAAGGATGTCCCTGTAGCATTTTTCTTTGCAGCCTTAAGGTGAAAGGTCCTCTGCAGGTCAATCATTGGCTCCTCTGTGATCTCTTTCCCCTCTTTCTGCCACTGAGCGAGGATCATGGCTCGGAGCAAAGGTGGGTATGGGAGGTACCGACAGCTCTCCTCTGGCACGGGGGTAAATTTCTTGAAGGCCTCCTCCTCGTGCTTGGGCACCATTCGCCAGTCATGATACATGACTTTGTCAATCTCTCTGTCTTCTTCTTCAGTTTTACCTGATAAAAGATGAATGTTAGCGGACAATGCTCTCAGCAACAGATTCTCTCCAGACACTGTAGCAAGTGTCAGCTCTCCTGTGCCACAGATACTGAAAGAAGCAACAGTAAAGGAAATTTTCAAAAGATCATATGATATCCTCACTGCTATACTATGGGATCCCACTTCAGTCCTTGGAAATCTGACCAGGAACAGACTGAAAAGACACGTGCTAGCTGCTCCATACTGTGCAGAGGTCATGACTTGTCATGCAAGGAGTCACCTCTCCCTCTGCCTTAGTTTCCATGGCAAAGAACGAGAGCAATGCATCTCCACACCGTGAAGTTCAATGACAAAAATACTCAACAACTTTAAAAACTTTGAACGAGAAGTGTTTCAAAAACTCTAACAGACCAGATTTATAAACCTAGTGTGAAGCAGCTTAAAAATTGGAAAATTCAAACATGCAACTCTAAGAGTTACTTTACAGTCCTATCCAGAAGCCACGCCGCCACCACTGCTGCTCCACCGATGACTCTACCTGGCACATCCCCGCGTGCTCAGCACACGCTTTGCATTCCAGGTCTACAAGCAGCCCATCACCTCAGCCCTCAGCGCAGGGCCCGAGCTCCGCGTTACGGCTTCCCCATAACGTCCCTTACGGAGGCGTTCCGGGAGCGCCGGACCGCGGCATTTGGTACCAATGGCCGGGAGCCGCTTTGCTCAGCCCCCGCCCCTCCCGGGAGGCCTTACCTCGGAACGTCAGCCGGCCCCAGGCCCTGCCGTGGTCCATGCCCTGCAGTGAAGATCACGGAGGCTCAGGGCCGCAACGGCGCGGCTCCCCGCAGCCCCGCAGCCCCCCGCCCCGCGCCGTCGTTACCTCGGCCGTGTAGTCTGCGCGGACCTTGGTGATGACCCAGTAGCAGGGCTCATCGTGCGCCCACAGCCAGGACTTGCGGGTGACCACGCGGCCCACACCGAACAGCGGCAGGCGGCACAGCAGCGAGAACAGCCGCTGCTCGCGCCGGACGTCCTCCCAGGCCAGCACCGGCAGCCGCTTCTGCGTCAGCGGCCGTCTCATGGTCTCGTAGTCCAGAGCGAAGCGCTGTGAATCCCGCGGCCGCTCCTTCAGCGCTCGATACTCGCGCACCTTCTTGGCCATGGCGGCGATCGGGCGATACAGCTTCTTGCGGGCCATGGCGCCGACTGGAAGCCGCCTCAGGCCCCGCCCCCGGAAGTAGGACTGCCCCCGCTCCAGTCCACTGCCTCCCCCCGCAGCTTCCGGCGCTCCCCGGAAGTCGCCCCGGCTCCAGGCCCCGTCCCCGGAAGCAGGCCCCGCCCCGCCCGCAGGAAATCACCCACCGCGATGTTCCGCGGCGCCCTTTAGTCAGGCGTACAGACGCCAGCTTTTGTCAGCCAGCAGGCGGGAGCGATATGCGTAGGACAGGGAGCAGAGGAGGGGGGCACAGGATGGATGCAATAAAACTCAGCTTTAAGTGCCGTTAATGCCTTTAGAACATCCAATGCTGTCCTCACGTGCTGCATCTCCTGCAAGGAGCGCGGAGCTGGAACGGGGCAGACATGTCCGCTTAAATCCACAAATGCCACTTTGGAATGAGATACTCAGCCTCAGTCCACCCAGCAATGGAAGCGGCTTTAAGCCAAAAGAGGGGCAGTCAGGTCCCATGACGGATTTTCTCTGAAGGGCGGTGAGGCGCCGGCGCTCACAGAGCAGCAGCCGCCCCAACCCAGGCGGTACCCGAACGCGACGGGCGCCGCAGCGGCAGCCACACCCCGGGGGAGCGGCGCTGACAGCCCTCCCGCCCACGTGACCGCGTCTGGCCAATCAGCGCCGCCGCGGCCCTCGGCCCCGCGGGGGCGCCGTCCTGTCCCGGCAGGCCTTGCGCGGCGGCGGCGGTGTCGGTAAGATGGCGGCCGTGAGTCTGAGGCTCGGAGATCTGGTGTGGTGAGTGCGGTGCGGGCCGGCGGCGGGCCGGCGGGGCACGGCTCGGCTCGGCTCGGGCGTGCGGGCGGAGAAAGCGCCTTCTGCGGTGCCCGGGGCGAGCGGCGCCGAGGCTCCGCCCGGAGCGGCGCAGAGGCAGGCGGGCGGGGCGGCGGTGGGGCTGCGCCCGGTTCGGCCGAGCGCGGCGGCGGGGCCGGGCCGGGCCGGGCGGTGCCACCCCGGGGCCACGGAGAGACCGAGGCCTTGCGGCGGGGAGGGAGCGGTTGGGGACGGGTTCGGGAGGGCGGGCGCTGAGTTTCGCCGTTCCTCTTCACGCCGCCCCGGGGGATGGCGGTGGTGACGGCTGCCGGGCTCGGCGTCGAGGGGAGCGGGGCTCGGGGCGGAGCGGGGGAGCGGGACCGAGGGGCGGTCATTGGCTGGCTCGGCTGGAAATGCGGTCTCCTCTCGAGAGGAGCAAGAAGGAAAATAAGTAAGCGAGTGAGGCGCTGAACGAGTGCGTCAGCCAAGCAACACAATAACATGGGAAAGCACCTTTTTGTTTTTTTTGCAGGTTAGGATGTTCTCCTTGAAGCTCACAGAAGCTCCTTCCCTTTGTCACTCCAGTTTTACCTTCCAGTAGTCGGAGAGCTGTGGTTTTGTATTTCCCGATCGGGAGAACTGAAGGGATTCCTTCGAGGCCTGTAAGCACTGATCTCCAAGTGCTTGGAGAGGCTCTCTTGAGGCTCTGCTTCACCGGACAGGTTAGGGCTTCCTGTAGGGCTCACAAGAAATAGCTAAGCACCACCACACAGGTCTGTGCGTTTGTCTCAGGTAAAAAGAAAGGCGTGCTCCTGGCTGTGTGACAGCTGCAACTTCTCATCTGAGAAATGGACAGTGCTGTGAAGCTGTTTAAAAGTAAATAAAGCTTTCTTTCAGCACCATTTGCTTCAAACAGGCATTTGGGCAGTACAGTGCGCTTGGTGTTGGAATGCAGATCATCCTGCTTTAGTTTTGTACGTGACAGACTAGACAGCTACCATCCCTGGCACCATTGCAGAAGATCTATAGCAGTGAGACAGTAACACACAGAAAGCTTGAAGCGTCTTGTTCAGCACAGGGATGGAAGCGTGAGTTATGAGTTGTGAGCTTGGTTAAAGCTCTTGGCAGTAGCTCTGCCTGATCATCGCTACAGAATCTTCTGGGTAACATTCCCAACTCAGGAGGGGCTGGAATGCCTCTTGTTTGGAGTTTTTTGGTTAGGAGTTGGCAGGCTCTACAGATTCTCTCTTGCTTTCTTGCAAGGCACCAACCAAATGACTTCTGTGAGAGTACTGCAGTTTCTGTAGGTGGGAAGGGTAAGGTAGCAATAAAGCTGGCATGTTGTGATCTAAGGCCAATGTCTCTTCTATTCCTCTGTGGAAAAAATAGTTTTATTCAATTCCTGTAATTGAAACATGCACAAGTGTAAGAAGTAAACTTTTCTGCCTTTCTTCTGGCTCGTTTCTGTGCTTAGCTCACCACCACATGTGGTGACAAGCATCTGAAGAATGTGACAGTGGAACACCTAGTGCAGGGGTCCTGCCAGTTAGTGCATCCCTGTGAGAACTTCTAAGAATCTCAGCTGTCTGAGCTGCAAATCCATCCCTTCTGTGCTTACCAGCCTGCTCTGTCCTGATGGGTGTAACTTACCAACCTAATCTTTGGTTTGGTTGCCTGCATCGCTGCTTATCCCAGTTCCTTGTGAGAGAATATCCAATCTTACAAGAGCAATAAAAGCTGTAGCATCCAGTCTTCCAGGCAGTAGCTGTGCTGCTGCCGGCGTTCTTCTGACTTAAATTCTGATCGTGCAGCCAGTTCATGCAGGCTTTGAGGAGGCTCAGTTCAGGTGCAGGTATCGACCAGTAGCAGTGTGCTGAGTGCTCGCGCCTTGCCTCTCACAGTAGGTTTTGACTATCAGTTGTTTCTCTCAGTATGAAAAACATGGCGTAATAGAAAGAGGGAGAATTGGGATGCTGTGGGTTTGTGTTTTTTTTCCCCCCCCCCCCCATCTCTGTTCCTGCTGCCTAATTCTTCCATTTCTCCCTAGGGGGAAGCTGGGTCGGTACCCACCATGGCCAGGAAAGGTGAGTTGGGTTTTTTGTTGTTGTTTTCTTGGTGGTTTTGTTTTTCCCTCTGCACAGACAAACCTTTACCTGAAAGCTTTTCAGTTAAAGATTAGGATTAGTTTTTGCTTTACTTTTTTTTATATACCATCCACATGGATCTGAACTGTGAACCAATGGGGTTTTAATTGATGCAGAAGATCACCCTGTCACTGAGCTGTTAGCTCAGGTGTGATGAAAAGCTGCATCCAGCACTGGAACTGATTGTTTTCCCCAGACCAACCCCTGTCAGCTTCTAGGAAGCATTCCTCTTCCGTAGTTACTTGGTTAAAATAATAGAAATAAAGAATCTGCCTTCAAGATACTGTTTTAGAGCAGTGCTATTTAAGTAATAATTACAGATGTTGAGTGTGGTTGTTTTTATTTTCTGTGTTTTTTGCTGATGAAAGTCCAAAAAGATTTTAAAATGGCACTTTTTTATCATTTCCAATGAAGGACTTTGTTTTTATTTTTGGTGTATATACGAGGTGTGAGGGTGCTCACACAAAAGCACGCCGCAGAGGAACATGCAATTAATGCAGCTGATGGCCATAAGCGTTTGGTTTCACTCCTGTCTTTGGATCAGGTTAAGTCCAGGCTCCCCTGTGGTGTCACCTATGTAACAATGGCTGCTTTTCTCTTCAGCAGCACTTCACGCTTTACTCGCAGAGTAGTTTGCTTATTAAGAGCATAAAATATGAATCCTGAAGGTAGCAAAGAGGAACAAGTTCCCTTAAGTGCCATTTGGACTGATGAAGTTAGAGAGCTTCCTGACTTACCTGCTGGGAACAGCCTTGCTGGGGATTGGTGCCGATGTGTAACTGGCATTTGGGGTTTTGTTCACTCTGCTGCTCATATCTAAGGGTATGTATGAGAATACACAGTTAACTGTAACAGATTGAAGTTGTCTTCGTAGTTAGGATTAAAAATAACTAAAAGTCTGCAAAAATTATAATGCCAGGTAATGAAATCAGAGTGTGATCTTTCATTATGTACTTTAACTGTCACTTTTAATTGCCTTCAGATTGTTAATCCACCTAAAGATCTGAAGAAACCTCGTGGAAAAAAGTGCTTCTTTGTGAAGTTTTTTGGAACAGAAGATCAGTATGTACTGCTTGTTCTCATCCCATGAAAATACTGCTCCATGTAACACGGTTTCTTTTTCTTTTAATGGAAGAAAGGTTTCCCAACGCAGCAAAGCGTGGCTTTGTGAGAGTTTCATTGATCTACGAGCAAAGAAATCCATCTATCAGTGCATGCTGCAGCCACTTGTGGGTGTGTGAAGGCTGCGAAGACTTCTGTACTTGATACGTTGGGGTTTTAGTTGATGATGGGAAGTTGGGAAGTTCTTGGTAATCTGCCATTTTTAGGGGAGCAGGTGTGATGTGACTGGGTGATGTTTTGTCATGACGCTGTTTGAGCAAGGTGCAGCTAAGGGCATTCATGTACTGCCATGAAGAATAGCATGGCTTTGTGCTTGCCGCTCCTGATCAGAATGTATTTTCATGCCTGATGACTGGAAACGTTCTTGCTGTACCTTAGGAAGACTCTGCAGCATTGGACTTTTGTAGGCTCCCTTTTTGCACAGCTGAATTTGTTGATTCCAAACATACCTGCACAATGAAATTTACAATTCAGAGTAAAAAAACCTGAAAACCTGCCTTTTGTGAAGCTGGAAATTATTTTGCTGGTTTTCACTTTTCCTCTTTGTTGCTACGTGGCATTAAGTCACATAATAGGAGTCTTTAAGTCATGCAATCCTACAATCATTTTAGAAAACACCTTATTTTTAGTGGGAACAGAAGTAATGAATTGAGGCCAATTAATGAATGTTTCTTAAGGAAGCTGTTTTCAATTGAAAAGATGCTAAGCAAAAATAATTTTAAAATATTAGTTGTCCATTTCAAGGCCAGGCTGCATGTGGCTCTGGGCAGCCTGGGCTCTGGTTGGTGACCCTGCACACAGCAGGGGGTTGGAGCGGGATGAGCGCTGTGGGCCTTTGCAACCCAGGCCGTTCTATGATTCTGTGATTAAGAATTGAAATCTGTACTTGATGGAGCAGAAATGAGTGCTGCACACAAGTAGGAAGGTTTGCTGGATCTGTAGTAATGTAAGATAGGTGAATGTTGATTTGAAGTCATACAGTCATATATTGATGGTTTTTTTACTTATTAACTAACTCAAGCTCTCAAAGCTCTTTACAGAAAACTTCTTTACAGAAAGGGTAACAACCCCCAGGCTCCCCAGGGAGGTGGTTGAATCACCATCCCTGAGTGTGTTTAAAAGCCACTGGGATGTGGTGCTCAGGGGTGTGATTTAGGAGTGGGCTGTTAGTGCGAGGCTGTATGGTTGGGTTGTGGCTGGACTCGATGATCTTGAAGGTCTTTTCCAACCTGAACAATTCTTTGAACCTAAGTTGAGGAAATTGTTTCTATCCTGTTAGCTTACTCTTGATTCTTGCATGTTGTGTTTTTGGATCAACCACAGGGATGTTCTGCATTAAGAAAAGTTTGGAGAAAGCGGCTGTACGTCTTAAGGTTGTGTCACTGAGATGAGCAGTTTGGTTGCAGGTGAAGAGTTCAGATACAAGCAGCTGGGGTTTACTCTGTGTTTCTAGATTCTTGTTGCTGCTTGTGGGATTTAATCAGTTCCTGCTCCATGATTACTGCTTGCTTTGACTTGCGTACCCTGTCTGAAAATTGATTACAAATAAATACTGTCTTTTGCTGCCCCTAAAATAATGTTTTTAGACAGGAGAGATAGAATCTTGTGTACCTGGGGTTATGCTGGTGTTAGAACCATGAGAAAATCCTTATCTTTGAGCAGAGTCACACAGACTTTAAATCGTTTCACTTAAAATGTCGATGTTGGGGGGAAAATTCCTTTTATTTTGTGTAAGTAAACTAATGTGTTTTACAATACTTTTTTTTAAGGTCTATGTAAACAGGGGGTGGAAATACCAAACTGACAAAAAATCACTACGTAATGAGCAGAATTAGAAATGGGAGGATGCAGAGCTCCTGTCACTGGCTGTAGCCCATGGTCTGATGAGCACACAGGCTTGTGCTGGTATTCCTGTTTTCCTGCATTTACATCTTTCTGCCCTTCCAAAGTTTGGAAGGTGATACTAACGTAGCATTGATCAAATTTCATGGATCTTCTGTCAGTGCCTTGCTGTGCCAAGGTTTAACAGGTGGCTGTTTGGGCACGAGCCCTTCACTCTTTGTCACCTTACAGGTGAAGGCAGTGCTTGGTGGTGGGTAGAGTCACTGGCTGGGTTACCAGCCAGTTTGTCAGTGATAGGTAATCTCAGAGCATGGATGGTCTGTTTTCTTCTGAGGAATTCCGAAACGCCACCATTTCAGGCTGGGGAAAGGCTCTTTCCTTCTGACTAGCATGGTTCCAGTCTCCCCTACCAAAGATTAAGGAGAAAGCTGCTTAACAGTGAGAACTGATTTGCAGCGTGACTGCACATGTGAGCAGAGTGGTTGAGTGAATGAAAATGTTCTGTTTGGCAGTGCTTTTGCTGCAGTGTATAGATAGGCACTGGTTATTTTTGAAATCCTGAGTGATTTGGGGTACAACTGTCAAGAAAATGCACTGCTTTAGCTGTAACCTTGGCCGTGGTACGTGCATGAGGTGTACATTCTAATTTTACTGGGCTCAGTTTAGTGGTGAAAGGAATACGTTACCTGGAAGGCTCTGTGCAGCTGTGGTGAGAGACACAAAAAGGAGAGTAGAGGGCAGTCAGACTGCTCTGTAAGTGTGGGCTTTTGAGAGTTCCTGCTGAGCTCGGAGTTCTGTGTTTGCTCGGTTGGTACAGTTGCTCTGTTGCTTTCAGGCTGGTAGATTTTCTAGAAGAGAACTATTTTTACCCATGGAAAAGGAATTTGTGTTTTGGTTTCAAGTGTGACACGTGCTCCTGTTACTGTATGGCAGAGCAGGCCAGCTGGGTGTTCACAGCAGTAACGTAATGTCCGTGTCCTATTCTGACTAACTTCCTTCGTTGTGGTGCACAACGCTCATGAAATGCCTCTATCCACTTACTCTCCAATAGTGAGATTTTCTGAGTCTGTCTGGGACTTACCTTCCTGAGTATCTGTCCTCAGGCTGACTTCACATTAAAATGATTCTTCATCCAAAATCGATAACAGCTGGTATTTCCAGCCCACAGAAGTGACAAGTGTGCAACAACATTCAGTTACTGGAATTTAAACCTTCCTAAGTTGCAATGGAACTTTGACCTCTTATCAGCATTTCTAGCTGTACTTCTTAGTCTGGAAAATAAAAGGGGCTTTTCCAAGCTACAGTCTTGTCACATGAAATATTGGTTCAGCATTCTAGTAATCGAGGGCAGCGGTGTAAGGACTTAGAAGTTGGTATGCGTGCTTCTTTCTTGCTGTTAGTTGGTAGGATGACCAGGCTGGCAGGCTCGTAGTCTGCTAATGTTTCGTAAATTCTCAGTGCATTCCGTCCAGGTGCAAATATTCTTAGGTTTCATGGCCTGTTTGGAAACCGTTTGACCTTTTCTAAGCTAACTACTTAACTGGAAGCAGCAGGAAGTCTTGCAGGCTGTGGGCGCACACACGCACACACACACACACTCACGCTGTAGAAATGCTGTGATAGCTGTGTAGTCTTGTAAGTCATGTATCAGAGTCTTAATAGGAAACTGGAGCAGCCCACTCTTATCAGAGCACCTTTTTGAAGCATCAGTACAAAAGTAAACAGTCTCACTAGAAGTGCTGGGGTAAGGGGTCACTTCCTGTCTGTTACATCAAAGAAAAATGGGAGGAAGCTTGCAGTCCAAGGTAAATAGAGTCATCTGTAGCCTATTTGCGTTAGGCCCAACAACTTCAGCACAGACTTCTGTCTTCCCATCCTCCATATGCTGCTGTGATGCCAACACGTTTGCTCTTACGCCACTGTTCTCTCTGTCTTTTTAGGGAGAGATAAATTATTGGATGTAGTCTTTACAAAGCATTCTTTGAGATCCTGACATCAAGAAGACACTTGGAGTTTGTCAGGTGTTGGATGTGACGCTTTGGGAATCTAAGAGCCAGAGGTTATCATAGAATCATAGAATGGTTTGGGTTGGAAGGGACCTTTCAGACCATCTCATCCCAACCCCCTGCTGCAGGCAGGGACACCTCCCATAGCCCAGGTTGCTCACAGCCCCGTCCAGCCTTGCCTCCCAGCAGTGCTTGCAGGCAGGGGGCATCTACAGCCTCACCGGGCAGCCTGTGCCAGTCTCTCACCACATTCAAAGTAAATAATTTCTTCCTAACATCCAGTCTAAATCTCCCCTCTTCCAGTTTAAAACCATTTCCCCTTGTCCTGTTGCTACCTGCCCTTACAACAATTCTTTCCTCAGCTTTCCTGTAGGCACCTTCAGGTCTGGGAAGGACTATAAGTTCTCCCCGGAGCCTTCTCTTCTCCAGGCTGAGCAGCCCCAGCTCTCTCAGTCTGTCTTTGTAGGGGAGGTGCTCCATCCTCTGATCATCTTTGTGCTCTCCTCTGGACCTGCTCCAGCAGCTCCATGTCTTTGTTTTGGGAGCTCCAGAATTGGACACAGTACTCCAGGTGGGGTCTCACAATATCAGAGGGGCAGAGTCACCTCCTTTGTCCGGCTGGTCACACTTCTCTTGATGCAGCCCAGGGTATGTTTGGCATTTTGGGCTGCAGGCACACATTGCCAGCTCACGTTGAGTCTTTCATCCTCTGACACCCCCAAGTCTTTCTCCTCAGGGCTGCTCTCAAGCCGTTCTCCACTATAGGCTGGGCAAACAGAGGGTTAGTTTGCTGCTGTTTTCAGCTGGCATAGCCCATACAGAGCTACGTGTTGCTCTAGGCAGGCTGCTGTGTGCCAGAGCCAGCTGGACTGTTGTTAGACATCTCTCAGCAGAGTGCCATAACTGAACATTACTGTAGTCAGAACTTTTTGGCCCTTTGCTGCTGGTATCTCTGAAGGTCTGCTGTACATTTTTCATTATTACACACTTTTCTCAGCATTGGCCTGCTGCTTGTTCTTTTGCTAAATGCTCCTTCCTTTCAGTTGTATGATTTAATGTAAATGAGATCATTTTTGTGCTCCTTTTAAGTTTCCTTTAAAAACTGGATGTGATAAATCAGAGAGCTCAGCTGTGTGATTTTACTCGTCATGATGCCAGTTCTGATGAGAAAGGGCAGCATTCCATTTTCATGTCACAAAATCCATCTTGATTTTCTTCATCTGGCTTCTTGTGTGCTAGCTAACACTGGCTACTTCCAAACCCAGGCTGTTCTCTTGTGATTTTTGTAGCTGGCTGTGTTAGCACTTAGTGTGGGCCTCTCAACTGGCACAGCGTAAGCTTTGCAAACTTTCCCATGCTCCAGTAAGTAAAAGAAATTTGGAGGTAGTGCCACCATTGTGCAGAGCTAACTGTAAGTTCTGCCAAATGTGGGTACATGGGGAACTTCTGCCACTTCCATCTCTCCAATTGTTCAGGCTGTCTTTAGGAAGTGGTGTCTTCAGACTGGAAAATGGCTAAAAGCAGCATGCTTTCAGGCCTTGTTACCTGTACTGAATCTGTTCCCTCTTTCTTTCTTCTATGCCACCATTCTCCATGCTGCTCTTGGTCACATTCACACTTAGCTCTGCTTCACCGTGAACAATTTTAAGTTTTGTTTGTTGTTCATGACTAGAATGTGGATTTTTATAAGGGTTTTTCTAGGAATGCTATTTTGGAAGGGATGAGAAAGGGCATGGAGAAATTAGCAGAGAAGACCATTACCAAAATGTAGATTTTTAACACCTTTTTCACTTTGTATTTAACCCATTCTTTCTGAGTATTGGATGACTGTGCCACAGTATGAATACAGTCTCATCTTAAAATGTGACAGCTTTAGTGATGTGATGTCACTGACGTTTTCCTTTTTTAGGATGTTCATTCATTGCTGAGTTGTAGTTCCTTTTATATGTTGCATCCTGGAGACCTCTTCTATAAATAATAGCTGTGAGGTCATTGCTTAACAAAAACAAGAGATCCTTTGCAGAAACGTGAATGAATATGCTTGGTGGAGAATGGTTTAGTTTTCAGGTGTCTGAAACACACAAATGCTTTATGGATGGACATGCAGTGTCAGAAGACTCATTGTACCTTGCAGAAGGGCCTCCAAGTAGGTGGCACACCAAGGATAAACTGGAAGAGGCCCCTTCTGTTTATCTTCCTGTGAGGCAGCACTGAAGGCTGTTTCTTACTTGTGAGTTTGCCTCTGAGATCTTGGGTGATTGCAAGTGCTGAAATGCACCTTGTAAGCCAGGGAGCAGAGAGCTTTGTGCTTCAGGCTTTCTCCATTCCAGTGGAAAAAGTAATGGGGGGAAAAAAAAGTAATAAGCTTGTGCAGTGGAAAGGAGTAGTGTGTGCAGATAGAAACATAAGAGAATGTCTTGGAAGAAGAGATGCTTCCTATTCTGTAATTCGAATCCGGGAACAACATTTCACGTGCCTTCTTACAGCATACTGGCAAATTTTATTTCCTTTGTATACACATGGGATGACTTAGTGTGGGTTGATGTTGCGTAGTACCCAGGTATGCTTTGTCCCTGAGAGTCTCAGAAAAGGCCTTTGCATCTCAGTGGATGTTAGGATATGTCACTGTGAAGCTCGGGCACGTAGGAGGAGTTCCCTGAGTAGCTGCTGACTGCAGACTCTAGTCTGAAAACAACAATTTGACTTTCTATAGCATGTTAAGTCAGTTATTACGAAGATGATGTAAACTAAGCAGAAAGATTCAGCTTGGTGTGCAAGAGAATACTGAGTTCTGCTTCCAGGCAATGACAGAATTGTGTTGTAGGCTGTATGTCACTGTGGGAAGGATGCTGCTACTTCTGCAGTCAACTTCATCAGGGGACCTTACCCCTCCCCACATGGGACACAAAAAGTTTCAGTCTATCTTCAGCGAGCTGATTTCTAACTGGAAATGGTGGTTACTAGAGCACAGTGTGTTTGAGCAAGGGATTGATGACTTTTAACAGCACTGTGAACGGGTTAATACTACCAAATATGGTGGCATGTGATTGTGGATGTTCCTCCTGGTGGTACAGGAGAGGTCACTGGTCAGCCTTTGTTCTGAACAGGTACCCTTGATCACATCTAAGGGCTGGTCTGCTGATAGAGTGTCAGTAGTGCTTAGAGGGGAGTAATGCTAGCAGAATGTGATGTGTAATGTGAGGGAGAAACCAAGTGAAAGTGCCAGAAAAAAGTTCTCAGTGAATGCAGGCGTTGCAGTCCTTCATGCTGTGGAAAGCTTGTCGTTGATTGCTCTGGACAAGAAATGTGTCACTATTTCTAGGAGTTGGGTGGTTGAGGAAGCTGCTGTTGGAGAATATAACTGATTTTTTTTTTTTTTTTTTTTTCAAGTGCTTGGATCAAGGTGGAACAGCTGAAGCCTTATCACCTGCACAAAGAAGAAATGATAAAGATTAACAAGGGTAAGCGCTTCCAGCAAGCCGTGGATGCCGTGGAGGAGTTTCTTAGAAAAACCAAAGGCAAGGACCAGGTGAGTGAGTGGCTTCTTCTTTACCGTGTGCATAAAAACAAGTCTTCAAGTGAATGATGGTGAAACACGTTTTTATTTGAAAGGAGTTGATTATTTCTGGCAATTTGTTGGGGAGGATTTTGTTTTCATTTTTGTCTTTTCTTTTTCCCCCCAATTTCAAATTGTTATTGTTTCCTAACCTCTTCTCTTCCCCGTTCAGTCTTGTCTGATGACGGGTGAAAGACTTGTTACACTGATGGAGACACAGAAGAGGCTAATTGATCTGCTTATGATGAATTTATAAATCAGTCTTAACCTTGGATGTGGATGGTAGTACCAATCTTACTGTTAGTGGAAGTGCATACGTGTGCATGCACTCCCACTGGGTCTTCAGATGTCCTGTGCTGCTACTCAGTGACTCAAAGTGAGTGTTTTTACAGGTCAGCTAACAAGGAACTTCACTCACCAACTTCAGGGGGCTAGCAGTCTAGTTTTCATGTTCCCATGCTGTTGGTTTGCCTGATAGTAAACAGCACGGGGTCCTTCGCATCCTTGGTTTTGCATGAAAGTCATTCTAGCTCTTCTCTTCTTTCCTTACTGTCTTCTATTCTGTAATCTCTCAGGCATCTTCCCATAACTCCAGTGAAGAGAAGAATCGGCGTAATTCCAGCGAAGAAAGAGGCAAGCAATCTGCTGGCGAAGAGAAACGCAAAGCCAGTTTGTCCGAAGGGAAGTTGAAGAAGGGCACAGGGGAAGGAAAAAAGAGGGTCTCTTCTGTATCGTCAGAGAGAGGATCAAAGTCACCTTTGAAAAGAGCCCAGGATCAGAGCCCCCGAAAGCGGGGGCGTCCACCCAAGGATGAGAAGGTTTGTGTTGTGCATGTCCGCCAGTGCCCTCTGTGGACTTTGCAGGTGGACTTAGGGATGACTGGCACCTTAACTAACAGGCCAGTGTGAAGAGTATCAGTTCAGTACCAGATTTTTTTTTTTTTTTTAAGCTCTTCCATGTTGCTTCTTCTGAACCAGCTGGCTGTCGGATACCTTTGACAAGCACGTTGTTGATTCTTCACGTGCATTTTTAGCAGTTAGTTGCTTTGAGTGGCTCTGGTCATCTCTCTGAGAGGGCTTTGAGAGCTGTCTCATGAGACTCCACCTTCCATCTTACCACCCCTCAAATTCAGTTGATGCAGGAAGGATTAGTGAGGAGGTGTGGCTCTTCATCTGATTTCCGACTTTTCCCTTCCCATCTCATCTGCTTTGTGTGATCAAGCGATTTATAGTCTCTTAACTTCACCCTCCATGCTTACTGAGGGTGGGATGTTCTTAAGGGCTAAGGTGTGAAGAAGAAATTTGTGTAGCGTGGGAATAATGCACCAGAAGAACTAGTTGTATTCATTTCCATTTCTGTGCTATGGAATATGTTTCCATTCTCCATTATAAAGGTCCAGCACTGGAGCATCATTATTTTATCCTCGTTACTTCCCTTGTTTACTTCTGAGTGTCATGACAGAAGCAGTAGCCAGCAATATTTTTGTCTACTGTCATGCAGAGTACTCATCTTTATTTATTGTGGAGCTCCCTGTTGTGGTCCAGATCTTTCTTGTCCAGATGGATAGAAATTTCAGTGGATTACTACAATGCACGTTCTTCACTGGAGACTACACCTGAAGACTGTTGGGAGGCTTCAGCTGATGCTACAGCAGTGTGCTTGCTCACCGCTGCTTCAAAGGGACTGTGCTGCTCTGTGCCTCGCAGCCTTTGCTTTCAGTGTTTCAGGATCCAGTTCAAAATAGTTGGTTTCCATCTCCTGAACTGTTACAGGATTGGCCTTAACAGGTTCAACAGCAAACTCTTGATGCCTTGGTGGTGAAAATGAAGCTGGTCGTAAGAGATGCTGGCTTTTTTTTTTTTTTTTTTTTTTTTTAAGCCAGTTTCTGTTAAATCACATCATGTGAGCCCATCAGTTTCTCCTTTTGAGGGAATTGGAAGAAGGGGAAGTTGGATGCATGCAGGTGAATTACTGTTAATTGTAAATCTTTTGACTTGACTGCAGAAGAACACTTTATGAGCACCTTAGCTTACCCTTCTGAGATGTTGCTATAATCACATCCTATCTTTGAATGTATCTGTTATGATGAAGCCCTGGACCATTTTTTTTCCCTAACATAAAATGCTTTTTTGTCTTCGAGGTAAATTCAGTCCAAACTAATCAAAATGAATGGTGGGGGAATTCCAGTAGTGCTGGCACACTGCATGCTTAGTTTTTATTCTGTGAGCTGCCTTGGGGTAATAGAGAGAGCTTTGAGTGACTGAATTATGGCGCTAGAAACTTTTACTGGGAAACTGCAAGTGGAGTGGCTTCCATCAGCTTGCCACAAAGAGATTGCCAGCAAGGGGATGAAAGCCTTGCTGCAGACTGGAAGTAAGCTGGTTGGTGTAGGAAAGTAACTGTGCAAGTTTTGAAGGGCAGTGTACTGATAATTAGAGGAATCGCTGTGAAGTTCCAGCAGCACTGCCACAACGCTTTTTCAGTCCATGACACAAATTTGAAACCATACATTCTGCTTACCTGGGTCTCATGACTTCCCAGAATTATTAGTGCTAGGGGAAAGAAAATGTTTGTCCCTGTTCTGAGTTACTGCAGTGTTGGTATTTGGGATGTATTTTTTCTTTTTTTGGCTCATTTGCTTTGTTCAGTCACAGTTCAGCTACCTTTCCAAGCACTCAAGATGCATAAAATTCAAGGATCCAGTTTTTACTGAGGTGTGGTCTGTCTAGAAATGTCCTGTAGGCATACATGTTCATTCAAATACTCTCATTTTCAAGTTTATGTGGATATTTTCAAAGGACCAATGTGACTACTTATGTATCAGAGCAGATTTTGTCCTTGCTTTGCCAGTTGAAGCAGCTGTGTGGTCTTCAAAAAGAGAATTCTAGAGTACAGTGGCACTTTAAGGTTAGAGGCTGATGTCTAAGTTGTCCTTGCTATCAGATGAAACGTTTGTATCAGTGTCAGTTACCTCCAGCAGCCTTGTTCTTCCTTGCTTTGTAAACAGCACTCATCTCTGGTGGTTCTTTGTGGACACTGAGGCACACTGTGCATTTGCAGGAAGTGCATTTCATTTCTGAATCTTCATCTCAGGAAGGTTACACAATATATAGAAGCCCTGCATGTTCTCTTCATAAATCATAAAGACCTATGTTTTAATCTTTACCTGTGGAAATAAGGATGAACAGATCAAAATTTAACAACAGTAAAATAATGGTGCTTTAAGTGTCATCGTGACGTGTTAAGGGATGGGAACAGTCCATGTATGATTTCCAGTTTCATGCATTCTGGAAACTACAGCAGGTGTGGCTGTATGAGGTGCACACTTAGAAGGTTTTCCTGCTAACAGGTAGGCTGCTGCCTTTTTTTTTTTTAACAACAGTGGAGGATGAGGAACAGCTCAAACCTTGTCTGACTGCAGTGATGTTCTTTACCCATTTGTTCAGATTTTTGCATCCACCAGAGGGAAATGCTGGATCAAGTGTGTTCATTTGTTTCTCTGCTCATTGCATGATTACACAAGTGTGATAATTCCTGTTACAGCTTCTGGAAAAACCATTCTTCGTATGTAATGTTGAATTTTGTTGTTGACAGTTCTTGTTTTTTTTGTTCTTGTTTTTTTTTTCCACTTTGCATCACCTGTGTTGATAATACACCTCGTGCTTGAAATATGACCACTTGTGGAAAGGCATGCATAGTGCTTTTCAAAACTGTGTGTGTGCTCTTGCAATCATTTTGCTGTTACCAGCCACTTAGTCAGTTTGTAAGCTCTTTCCTGATCTCCTTTGTATCTTCTCAGGATCTCACAATTCCAGAGTCAAGTACAGTAAAAAGAGTGATGACTGGAACAGTGGCTGGATTTAAATGGCCACCAAGCGTCAGTGAGGTGAGAAACCCTGGGCTGGCTTGTACAGCATGGTTGTGCAAACTTAGTTCCTAGCTGAAGATGATGTAGAACCTTTTGTTTCCAATTTGAAATGGTGGAGTTCTCTCTTCTGCTTAAGGTGCTTTCTTTGTCATTCTGTGGTATAACAAAGCTGGGCAATACCTTTGGGCAGCTAGGAAGTATGTTGGAAAGTGAGATTGTTGTCCTTATGGAGCAGTCTGCAAATTCACACCTAACTGTGCTACATGTTTTTGCACTTCTGATTTCAAAAATATTTCTGTGACTGGCTTTGCAGAACTGGAAGAGAAGACTTGGATAGGCTCTCCGTGTCTGCATAATGTGATATTGGATGGTTTACTTCAGTTTTCTTCATAATCAGCTTTCATTTTGTACTTAAATAATTAAATGATCAAGCAGAGTAAGAAGAGTGCAACTCTAGGCTAGTGCTTAGAGTGTTCATTGGAGAGATGAATGCTCCAGCTGCCCATCACGTGACTGCTAAGATTAATGTTCAGCCACTACCCACCATGAGTATGAGAATTCATTGGAAGCTGGAAAGTGTTTTTATTTCATTAGGAGAAGGAGGTGGGATCTGGGACTACAGATAAGGAGAGGCTACTTCTTCCCTTGTTAATCCTGCTGATAGTTTTGTTTTGATTTTCCTGCAGAAATTGAGAAATAAGGGATTTGACTTGAATGGCTTTGCTTTTGCAAATGAAACACAACGTAAACTGCTATATTGAAACAAACTGCTTGGTCCAGCTGTCATGCATTAAATATTTCCCACCTGAAGTTATTACTGTGCTGCTTGGGAGAACAGGGAATAGTGATGTGGTTGCTCAGTGATGCTCTGGGAATGTTTCTGAGCCTGTACTTTTTCTCTGTAGCCTGTGAAGGACAGTGACCCACACTTTCATCACTTCCTGCTGAGCCAGACAGAGAAGGTGAGGACTGGGCAGACAGGATAATTCTGCTGATCGCTCTAGCTTGGCATCCTGTCCTTTGCTGGGATGAAGGTCTAAATACAAGGAGATACATAACCAGCTCTGAAACTGCATTCCTTGGGGCCTAGTAGCAATGAGACTCTCATGTGCTATCTGACCATTTGGTTACTTCCTGGCATTTAGGTTTAAGGTGATTTGGCAGTGAGGATAACAAATAGTTCTAGATATCAAAGATGACCTGGCACCAGGATTCAGCAGACTTGTTCTGTTAAATTCTGCAGATTAAATATGAGGGCTAGAAGGTGATGTTTTACTAATTGCAGCCCTGTTCTTTGTTTGACGGTTATCCGTCCAATTTCTTCATCTGTATGAATTTGTTAATTAACTGAATATGGCAAGGAAACTGTCCCTGACTAGAAAAGCTCCATGTAAAATGTAGTCAACTTTAGAGTCAGAAACCATGCAGGATTTTATATTCAGCCTGTGAATGTCAGGAGGAAAACAAAATATCAAATTGAATGAAAAACAGTTCATATCCGGCTGAGGATCCGTGCAAAGACAGATTAATAGCAGCTCAGAATAAGCAGCCTGAGCAGGAGCAGCCTTCACCACACTGTTGTAAGCCACGTGCTGCCTTAGGTTAACAAAAACGCTTTGCCTCAGCAGCTCCAGTGACATAATGAGCACCGCTATGGTGCTCTGTAGCAGGCTGTAGAGATCTGTGTTTCAGATGTGAGAGTGGGGATATGCTGTATCCTCATCACTGGAGTGCCTGCCATGTGAGTTACAGAAAGGATTTTGTAGTCCCTGCATCAGAAAACAGTCTGAATTGTTGGAGTAGGGTAGGAAGGGAGGAACTTGGTATGTTACAATAGGGTTTTATTTTCTCTGGTTGAGGGAAGCCTGAGAGCTTTCCTGTGCTGCAGATGGTGTGTGGGTGAGCTGCCTGGTTTCTTTGTAGCGAGGATACGGTCTGTTTGCTCAGCAGAGCAGATCAGCACTGTCCTTCCCCTGAGTGCTTTGTTTCATCCATACAGCCAGCTGTCTGCTATCAAGCCATCACAAAGAAGCTGAAGGTTTGTGAAGAGGTGAGACAGATGTTTGCTTTGATGGATTTTCTGTATTATCACGAAGACTGGCAGTTCCTCCAGAGCTGTATGGTCCTTTTTTTTCTTTCTTCAGGAAACAGGATCCACCTCCATCCAGGCAGCAGACAGCACGGCAGTCAATGGCAGTATCACACCCACAGACAAAAAGTAAGATCTCCAACGCACTTCAGCCATTTCCCTTCTTTTTCTCCTTTCCATCTCATACATGCAGCCATTATCCAGCTTGTCACTGAGAATAAATAAACCTAACATTTCTCTCTAGAGATCTCCTCTGTCCTTGTGTGAAACACTCATTTGGGTGGAGGTGGGAGGGAGGCAGCTAAAAGCAAAACAGGAGTTTAGAACAAGGTCTGCCTTGGATGTACTTGCATCTCGGTGCTCTCCTGCAGTTGCCCTTTTCCTGCAGGGCACGTTGCAGAACATGAAGAAGCAGTCTTTCTGAATGCCATGTGGGGCAGGATGATAAAAGGATATCTTTCTCCAGTGGTGCATGGCAGTTGACTAGGGCCGTGTTATTGCTGCCCTGAGCGCGTAGAAGGCGAGCGGAAGAGGGAGGCTCCCAGCACAGGAGCTTTGCTATGCAGCACGTGAGCTTTCTGGTTTCTTCTAACGTCCCCATTCTCCTTTCTGGAGTGAGACGAGCCTCACTCGAGCTTCCTGTTTCACTCTGTAACTTCCGCTGTGTTCAAATTGCACTCAGGCCTTGCTCTTTGCTGTTTGCCGTTGGGTCATTTCTCATGGGATATCAATTCTCAGCTGTACTCAGGGGGAACCAAAATAACGATGAAGCTGTTCAGGTAAAATAGTCTCTGAGGAAAGCATGGCACAGAGCTGGGTTGGGAGAGGGAGAGAGAGAAGGTCTGTTTCAGAGCTTTGTAAATAGATGGACATTAAGCTGTTGAAGGAGCCTGTGGTGACTCGTGATCTGTCTGAATTAGTCTGCTCTAACAAAAATAATGGCTGGGAGAGTAGAGGTGACTTGAGAAAGCCATAGTGCAATGTAGCATGGCTAGTTATGAAGAATTACCTTTTGGGGATTGTGAGGCTGAGGTTACATCAGACATGTAAGTGAACGATTCAGAAATTCCTACTGAGATTGTAGCTGGGTATGAAGCTTGCTGCAGCAGAGGCTGCCAGAGAGTTCCAATTACAGGTAATTATGGAGATGAAACTTGTTAGTTTTGTTGTCTTTTTCTTGAAATGAGGGGAGCAAAGTTCTCCCCATCTTAGGAGAGGGAAGGCAGCAGTTACCTGGGATTATTCTCATGTTGACCTGTACAGGACTACTACTATTTTTTTTGTTGAATTGCAGCTGTGGAGAGGTGTTAGGCCTTTGGTCTGTGTGTGATGCATAGTACAGTAGTTCTTTCTGAGTTTTACTGAAGTAAAAGTAGTAATGTATCATTCAGTAGTATAAATAAGTCATTGTATGCATGACTTGGTTCAAAAATCAGAAAGCAAATTAGAGAAGCACCTGCTGATGTGCAGTTGACCTCTTTTTCTTCAGTACAGCAATGGCTAGTAACGGAAAGTACAAGAGCAGCAAATTTAATCAAAAGAAAACTAATGAAGAACCAACAGCCCCTCAACCTTTAGCATTCAGCTACTTTTCTGAAGTAGACTTAAGTCTTTCTAGAGGAAATTGTTGGCGATGCTTAGTATGCAAAACAAACACTGGCTTGCTGTTAAAGCACAGTGTCTTCCCAATTTGGAAGTCCTGTTCTGGCTGTGGCTGTGTTGTAGTCTGGTTTTTTCTGGTTGTGTTCCAGGTTTTGCTCTTGATCGCTTCCAGGATCAAGGGAAGCTGACAACAATTTCTTATCTGTTACATAATCCCTTCCTTGCATTAATGCTTCTCCCTTCCCTTTAGGATAGGATTTCTGGGACTTGGTCTGATGGGAAGTGGCATCGTCTCCAACTTACTGAAGATGGGTCATACTGTCACTGTCTGGAACCGGACTGCTGAGAAGGTAGGCATGTACCTTAGATATAGACAGTACTTTCCTTTTTTTAAACATGTTCCTACTACCTCTGATCACCAATCGCTGGTGCCTGGGAGAGGATGCTCAAGAAACACGGGTATGTTTGCCACCTTGTTTTATTATTATTTCCTGAGTGCTTGTGGCCACTTCATACTAGAAGCTGTGAATGGTTCCTACCGTGTTGCCGTTTTGATGTTAGAAGTTGCAGCTTTGTGTCCCTGTTGAGGACTGCAACATAAAGTTCTCCCTGGGCATATTCCTGATTCAGGTAGCTAAGTAATTGTGTTTTGGAGCTTGACAAAAGAACCATATGCTGAGAAGTTGAGCCCAGGAGTGGTGTGGTGAGATTCTCCTCTTGACCACAGCTTCATCTACACGTCCATTATGCTGTTTGCAGTGGCTGAAGATTGTGTGGCAAACATGCTGTGTCATGACATGAGACCAGGTTAAGAATATTCCTTTTCAGTGTTGAAATGGAGCTAAATGGCTACACAGTTGTGTTCTAGCAACTGTAGTGGAGGAGAAAACATGCACGTGTCAACTGTATTGTAAAATAGCAAAGGGTTTTTTAAGGATGTTTTCTAACTACAAAACAAGGGGTAGGGTGGGAAGGAACTAAGAATTTGAAACAGCAGCCCTTTAAAGCCTGTGTCAGTCTCAGCTGCGCATATCCTGTTTACTGTTCAGCAACTGGTTCTGTTTACCAGTTCTTTTGCTCTCTCTCCTAAAAACTGCAACATTCAATCTCTTACAGTTTATCACCTAAGCCTTCTCTCTTGTGCATTTGTTTTGAAGTTCTTCTCTTGAGGGTTCAGGAAAGCTGCAGAGGAGCCCCTTGGGTGTAGGAGATGAGCCAACAAAACCCAACCTGAATTTACTGAATAATTAACACACTTGACTCATGCTGAGTCTGGCAGTAAAGTTTGTTTCATCAAAATGCTAGGGAACCCATTTGGTTTGTACTTAATTTTACTTACGTTTCAATTTGTGACTTTTGCAGTGTGATTTGTTCATCCAGGAAGGGGCACGGCTGGGAAGAACCCCTGCTGAAGTTGTCTCCACCTGTGACATCACCTTTGCCTGTGTATCAGATCCAAAAGCAGCAAAGGATGTAAGGATTAGCTCTTGTTCTTCCTCCACCGCTGAGTGCTAGTTCTGATTCCTACTGGTGAAGGTAGCCTGGGTTATTGCAGGTGCTGGGCAGGACAAATAAGTCACATTGTTTCCCAACAAAGTCATACTTACCTCCCTCCCTTTTACTGGCAGAAAGATAATCCATGGGAGTTGGGTTTTGATATCGTTTTAGAAGACTGCCACTGCAGTGCCAGGCTTTCTTGGACTTGGAGGGTTTGAGTTTCTTTGCAGACACCCTATTGCTTTACCGCTCTTCTGTTCCTCACAGCTGGTGCTTGGTCCGAGTGGAGTGTTGCAGGGCATTCGACCAGGGAAGTGCTATGTGGATATGTCCACTGTGGATGCAGATACAGTCACAGAATTGGCCCAGGTAATCAGCTGGTCCTACAACACTTGTGACTCAGCAGCATTACTGCAATACTTGTTTCAGGCTTTAAGCTATTGATGATACAGATGTTTTGTAAGATTTCTTGACTTCTTCTAGAGGAGACTCAAGTCTCAAGCAGGTGAGACAGAATGAACTGTCACATCTTGACCAGTGAACAGAGCTGGATAAGATGTACTCTATGACAGCAGCAAAGCCTCTGGAGTTGTCAGGGCTGTCAGGTGGCACCAATGTGAACTGCCTGCTGAGTTTTTAACCCTTTGGAAGTATTTACTTAGTATAGATTTGGTACAGATTTGGTATTTTGTAGCAAACTGGAGGAGGAATGCAGTCTGGATGTGTAAGTGTCCTTAAACTGATCATAATCTTATTTTAAGTGCCTCGATTATGGGGAAAAAGTGCCTTAATATTTCACTCTAAAAATTTTTGAAGGGAGGATTGACGGAGAAGTGTTTTGATTTACTTCTGGCATGGCATTTTTTATTTCTTCCTTGACGTCTTGATGATTATCCTCAGCCCTTAAATGAGTGTGTTTTATTGCAGAAAGAAGGGGAGATAGCATTGGTCAAGTTTTAAGCAGAGATGCTGTAGTAATGCATAACACAGGAATTTGGAAAGTGCATAATCACACACATTAGTAAATGTCTGGCCGAGGGGTTCTGTCAGAGGCCTTTCATCTTTGGGGAAGAGGGGGTTAAATACAAAGCAAATAATCTGAGAGTGCTATGCTGTACACGAAGCACTGTTTCTTGGCCATTACAGGATGCCATGGCAGAAGCACATAACCTCAGCTGCTGAAAATATTCACCATTAAGAAGTGTTGCTGAGAATGAAGGCAACTTTTGTGCTCAGGCACACCTTTCAGTGTCATGCATCATGCTAGATGTATTGCAGTGCTTCCCTCTCCTGTTTTTGTGTCTAAGCTGTTTGTGCTTTAAAATTCTGTCCTCAGACAGTGCTCAATGCCTGCTGTTTGTGCACTGCTAACCAGAGATACTATTTTTCCAGGTGATAGTGTCCCGGGGTGGTCGCTTTTTGGAAGCACCAGTCTCAGGAAATCAGCAGCTATCAAATGATGGGATGCTTGTGATCCTGGCAGCTGGTGACAGGGGTTTATATGAGGACTGCAGTAGCTGTTTCCAAGCGATGGGGAAGACCTCTTTTTTTCTAGGTAACTGAAACACCGAGGGCCTGATAGCAGATTCTTAGTCAGTGCAAGGACTGGGATATTCAGGAGGGAGTCTGAGAGGCATATGTATCATCTCTGTAGGCTGCTGATAAGAGGGACTGGCTGCTTTCTGTCTCCACAGGCAGCATGGGAAACCAGCCCGCTCCTCTGGAATTCTGCCAGCTTCAGAGCCTTCAGACTAAGTTTTCTTTTTTGAACATTGTCTCATTTTGGAGAATCTGTGGTGCTTTTTATTTTTAAATGATACTTTAATTTCTCCCGTTGTTCAAGTGCATGGGAAACAGCTAAGTTTTCCAGAGCCTGTAAGGAGAAGGTGTAAAGTGTTTGGGATCAGTATGGAAAGTGTAGTAGTGTTAACACTGCGTGGGGTGGGGGAGCAAGGCTGCTGCATCTGTTCTGGAGGAATGTTCAGTGCTGTGTTTTGTTCCAGGTGAAGTAGGCAATGCTGCCAAGATGATGCTGATTGTGAACATGGTCCAAGGCAGCTTCATGGCTACAATAGCAGAAGGACTGACTTTGGCTCAAGTGACTGGTCAGTCCCAACAGACCCTTCTGGATATCCTCAATCAGGGACAACTTGCCAGCATTTTCCTGGACCAGAAGTGCCAAAGTAAAGTTCTCTTTGTTGTTTTATTATAGGATGTTTGTCACAGTCTGTCAGTTTCAGTTAATGATGGAAAGAAGGAAGTCATCCCAGCTTCATCAGCCTAGGGTTCTGAGTGCTTTAAGCATTCTGAAAATGAAGAGCTGAGTTTTATTCATTAACCTTTATAGACAGAAGCTCTGAGATTACATCTCATGCTGTGCGTTGTCTACAGCCTGCTCAGGTCTTGAGTTGACAGTGATGATTTCATTGGGATGGGGTAATAAGTGAAATGGAGGGCAAGCTGCTTAGAAATCTGAGCTCACTTTGTCAGTGGGCAGAAGTGATATTATCTGCTGTGGTGGGATGAGGATACAAAGCAGAGAAAAAGAGCTAAAAGCAGTGTTCCTGGTGATCACCATGGTAAAGGGAAGTTAGGTGTTGAATTGCATGACCTTGCAGTGTGATAGGCTTGATTTACTTTTGTCATGCTTATTTTTTGCTTGCATTCCTCTCAACAGATATCTTGCAAGGAAACTTTAAACCTGATTTTTACCTGAAATACATACAGAAGGATCTTAGATTAGCTATTGCACTGGGTGATTCTGTCAACCATCCAACTCCTATGGCAGCTGCTGCCAACGAGGTGAGTGCTGTTACTCAGTGTTTGTTCAGTAGGCGGAGTTAGAGCTGTTTGTCACCAAGGGACAAAATCTGAGAGTTATGTGCTGTCTGAGAGAAAGGAACAACAATTGAAGTATATTCTGAGTGGGATGGAATTTAATTTCATTTGATGGTAGAAGCTCTTAAAGTGTTACATCAGTGAAAACAGACGACCTAAAGAAAACCTGGAGTGTTCTGATCTTGTCCTGCTGTATTTACTTGAAGCACTGTGCAGTTTTCTGGTTTGTAGTGATCAGGAAAGCAATTTTTCTGCTAGGGAAAGGCTTTCTGTGAGAGCAGGCACTGATCCTTTTTTATTTCTCTTCTGTAGGTCTATAAACGAGCAAAAGCGTTGGACCAATCAGACAACGACATGTCTGCAGTGTACAGGGCCTACATCCACTAGGCTGCACCATTCTTACTGTTAATACTATGATTATTGATTAATATTATTATGATACTGGGTTTTAACTCTGGACCAGTCCATCTCTGTCTCTCCATTTCCTTTTATACACAGACTTTGAGATCTGCCATGGAGGCAGCTGCTGCGGTCAGCCTTCCCCTGGTGGCAGAAGGGGGGGAGGAGGGGGCTCGGATTGTTGCAGTCTAATTAGAAAATCCATGCCATGCACTGACAGTCATGGAACAGAACAGTGGCGGCTTGTTCAGAAGCTCTGAGGCAACTCTGCCAGAAATCTGCTGCTTGGCTGCTTTTATTTTCTTCTTTGTATGCTTGTCCAAGATGCTGTTTCTAACGATCCCCTTTCTCCTTTGCTGTGGAATAATGCGTGTGTTGGACTTTTTGCATCAAGGGGAACAGGTGACTACATCCCATCTACCTGTGAATATCTGTAAAGTCCTTGGTCCCAAGTAAGGTGAGGAGCATTCCTGTTTGTCACCCACTGTTTGAGAACAAAGCACCTCCCGTGGAGGAGAATGACAGTTCCAGAAGGTAATGGGGTTGCATGCAACACTGTCTTGATTCTGTTTCTTTTTAAACTTCCACCTCCCCAGCACCTTGATGGAGGAATTCCTCATATTGTTGAGAACAGATTGCATCCAAGTCTTCCCCTGTACAGACAACTCTAGCATAGGGAACACAAACCTTACTGAAAATGAGAGAATACCAGTGTAGGTAAGTGTGGCCTCCTAAAAGGCTAATGGCAGCTGTCCACCCCACAAACAGCATGGGAGCTTCACACAGATTTGCATAAAAGCTGCAAGAGAAACATTCAGCTTAAAACTTAGCCAGAGGTGTTTAATTTGGTGAAGGAACAAACTTTAGGGGGTTGCTCCTGGCCTTAGTTTGTGTTGCTTTACTATTTGCTTTCTTTTTTTTACCCTAGAGTCAATAATTACAAAGGCGTCTTGGATTGTAGCAGAGTCACAAGCAGAGTGATGAGTCTGAAAGGTGTGAGGGGAATGATCATGGTGCCAAGAGATGGATGCTCCTGAGCTCCTTCCCGTGCTATCTCTGGCCTTTTCATGGTCATTTTATCTGTTAATCTGATTGCCCATCTTCAAAGGTGGGGGATAATTACCTACCTCACAGGGATATTTTGTGTAATGATTAGTGATCTTTATACGTGTCAAACTTTCCACAAGTATTCTTAGTGTTACTACTGTGAGTACAGCACTAGCACAGCATGAGAATATTCCCTGTACTTGTGACTCTGCTTGTGGCCAGGTACCAACTTCTAGGAAGACTGGTGGATATAATGGGAGGCTAATACTGCTGCTGAGCTGTAGTCTAAACATGTGGGACTTGAACTGCAGAGGCCAAAGCTGAAGAGCAGAGATGATCTCCGTTGGTAGCAGAGCAACCCAGAGTCCAAAGGATGCCTGTCTGTAAAAAAAATGCACAGCGCGTGTTTATTTTTAACCTCTCAGTGTTAGCCTTTTAGGAGGATTCTTCCATTTTAGATTTGAGAGTTAGTAAAATGCCAGTAAGAAATGTTATTAGTCAAAGTCGCTGCACAGTGGCACAATCTCCTCCCTTCGACTGGGATTCTGAAAGGAAAGGAAGCAAATTAAAGTTAGACCATGCTGCTCTAAATCCTTGAGGTCTGCCCCTCTCACCATCTTATTTTTCTAGGAACTTAATGGCTATTTATGGAAGTTCTCCTGTGGCTTAGGATTTCTTACCAATCCTGCTATCTGCAGCAAGTGTATATGGTTCAGGGGCACCTTGTTAAGAAACAGAGGAAGTTATCAGGTTCTTTGTTGTGAGATGTGACATCTAACATCTAATGCTATAAATGTTACTTGGGTGAATATTTCTCCTACTGCAGTCACTGTTACACGTGGGCTAATACTGTGTTACGCATTGTGTCCTGTGGCAAACATCTAGTAATAGATCTGTTAGGCATTTCTTTGCCCATTTGTCAGTGGTATCTCTGAGCAGTATTAGTTATGCATACATGTTTCTGTGGCAATACAGCTGTCATCCTGCATGTAGATATTCATATTAAAGGCACATATAAATACCCAGGAAAAGCGCCCATCGGCCTGCTTCCGACCTTTACACATTTCCCATCTCACAGAGCTGTTAGCATCAGCAGACCTTGATTAAAAACACTGCAGTTAGGAAATCACGTATTCAGGGCATCTGCGGATAACTGTGTTTTGTGGGCAGGGGATAAGCCCACGTGTCTTGCAGCTTAAGGTGTGTTTGGGAAATAAGGGAATGGGAGGTGCTGTCCCAGACCCATTGAGCACAGAACTGTTGCAGGTCAGTGCAGCAGTCTCTTGGAGTATATTGAAGAATGGGTCGGAGTGGGTGTCATCAAGGAGGGGGTGTTATCATCTCTTTTTACTCCACGGTGCTTCTGCTAACTGGGAATGCAAGAGGAGCTCTCAAGTCTCACGACGTGCATTGCAAAGTGAATTCAGAGAGCCATACGTGTGAGAGGGATCCCAAGGCGCCTCGGAGCTGCAGGTCTCATTTCCCAGAAATGCTGCCTTTCTCAGAGCAGAGGTGGTTCTTCCTGCGGGTGCTGCCAGCTGTTCCTGCAGCCTCTGGCTGCCTTTGTGGTGGGGAGGCGGGCACAGGCTCTGCATGGGGCAGGGAGCTTGGGAGTGGATGCAGAGAAAGGAAGAGGGGTTAAATGGTGGAAAGTGGGCTGTTGGCAGATGCTGCGTGAGGCTGACCGTCAGCTTCGCTTGGGTTCTTTTATTTATGTCTGTCGCCTCCGAAGGTGGGTCTTGCTCTGTTCCTAGGCCTGAGGTCCGGGGAGGGGGGAGCTGTGGATTGAGAGATGCTCTGATAAAACTGGCTAGTCAGTGTTGTCTTAATATTGTTGACAATTCTGTAAAGTTCCTTTTTACGATGATTTGTTTTAGCAAATTGCGTTTTTTTGACTCCCTCCTTTTTAAAGAGACAATGTGACACTTGTGAGAAGCTTGTAAGAAAAGCAGTTTCTTTTCTTCTCAATGATAGATCCTATCGTTAATTAAGGTTGTGAATTTTTATTTTTTGCCTTGTTTTTAATTAACATTTGTCATTCAGAATAGGATGTGTGAAGATGTTTAAATGGCAAATCAAAAAGATTTTTTGTGCAATTAACAAAGCTACTGGCAAAAAGAATAAAACCTTTCTTGGTAACACGACGTTGTTGTAGCCGTTTCTGCAGGCTATCTCACTGCTACGTCAGCGCTGAAGGAGAGGAAGCGCTGGCCCCGTCCGTAATGCTGTGAGGCGGCTGCAGGACAGCAGAGCCCTGCAGGCGCCATGGCCCCGCCCCGCCCTTCTTCCCGCGTCACCGCCGCGCCTCAGTCCAGCGGAGGGCGGGACTAGGAGAGGGACGGCAGCCAATAAGAGAGGAAAGGAGCTGGGCGCGTGATGGCAGCCAATAGGGGAGGGAGAAAGCGATGTTCCTTGCGGGGCGATAGCCAATAGGGAGTGTGGGGCGGAAGTGGACGCTGATCGACAGCCAATAGAGCGTGGCGTGGGCAGGGCTGGAGGCGGGATAGACAGCCAATGGGGGAGATTGGGGCGGGGCTGGTGGTAGGATGGCGGCGGCCATGGTGAGCTCGGCGGAGCGAGCGGTGCTGGTGAGTGCGGGCGGGGGCTCGAAGCCGCCGTGATTGCCGAATGCACCGGCGGCGGGGCGGCACTACGGGTGAAGCCGCGGGGCTTCGTCCCTTCCCGTCCTGCCCCGGCGGCGCCCCCTTCGAAGCGCTTTAACGGGGCCGAGCTGCCCCTGGGCGGGCGCGGTACAATCCAGTGTGAGAGCCGCTGCCGTGCGCGTGTCCGAGCTGCCGGGGTGGCTGCTGGGCGTCCCTGCCCTCGAGGACCCCGAGGACAGAGGTCGCTGCAGAGGCGGAGGTGCCCGCTCCGGCGGCACGGAGTCCTGAGTCCGTTGTGCCCCTGTGTTATCGCTGCACTCCTTGATAAAGAGTCCCTCTCAGCTTTCTTTTAGGCCTCCTTTAGGCACAGGAAAGCTCCATGGAGCGTTCTCCAGGCTGGACGGCCCCAAATCTTTCAGCCTGCCCGTATCGTGTAACGGCCATAGGATGAGAGGGAGCGGTCACGGGTTGCACCAGGGGGAGTTCAGGTTGGAGAACAGGCAGAGCTTCTCAGAAGGGGTGCTGAGGCACTGCGACCGGCTGCACGGGGAGCTGGGGGTCACTGCAGTCACCGTGCATGGAGGTGTTGAAGAACTGGGGATGTGGCAGTGACTGACACGGTGTGCAGTGTTGGTGGATGGTGGGACAGGATGAGCTTGGAGGTCTTTCCTGACCTTGATTCTGTGATTCTTAGTGGTGTGATTATTGGTGCAGTGATTTGTGCAAATTCTGTTTTATTAAAGTCAGGGCAGGAATGTGGAGAATTGACTTGTCTGGGATGGAGCAGAGAACAAGGCCACAAGGCCTCTGAACACATCCAGCAGAAAAATGATCTTCTCCTAATAACGTGATGCAAAGATAACACACGTTGCATTCTATTTACAGCTTAAATCATTTTCTTATGTCAGTTACATTTATTTCTAGTGTTTGGCAAATAGTTCTAATGCTTCTGCTGCTGTCTTTCCGCAATGTAGGAAGAAGAGTTTAAATGGCTGTTACAGGAAGAGGTCCATGCTGTTTTGAAACAGCTGCAGGATATTTTGAAGGTAAGGGCAATGTGTTTCATGCACCTCTGTGCTGAGAGTTTGCTTGTTTGCTGTTTGCTGTTTGCTGGGAGGAGAAATCTCAGTAGGGAGTGTACAGAAGGAGCCATCAACTGTTTGTTGTGCTGTCCCAAGGGTTTGCCAGCTGTCTGGTTTTGAACACTTGCAGTGAAGCTGTGCTCTCTGAGGATGTTCCATTCTTGACATGGAGCATCCTCCATGCTCCATGCTCTGGAAGGACGTGTGGAAGCAGCCAGGTGTGTGTCCCAGGCTATTTTTGGGGCATGAATGTTTTCAGAACAGAGAATCTGAATCTTCCAAGAAATCTGCCATGTGAGGGCAGGAAGCAGTACGCTTACCTTCAGCTAGCAGGCTACTGCTCATGCAGTAACTTGCACGCATGCCCTCCCCCCCCCCATTTGAGCCCACTTTTCCCCCAACATACCACTTCTCTGCATCACCTGCTCAGGTGGGGGTAGTGGGTGGTGCAAGAGCAGGGACAAATATGAGGGGATGATGGGAGGAAGATGCCCAAGGAGGAAGGATTGTAGCTCTGACGTGGCATATGGCCCAATAGGGGTGAAGATGACCTCCAGTTTCTGTATATATTGTACTGCTTTTGAAGAATGTCTTAGTTTTAAAGATGAGGTATGGCTGCAGGACAGTCAGTGGCCAGTATAACCAGTCAGAAGGGCTGATCCTTGGGGGTGCTGTGGGAGAGCCCTGCAGGCATGACTGTGAAGCTGCATGAAGTGGCTCTCTGACAGTGGACAGCTCTGCTCTGTTGTGACTCTGGGGTGAGCCGTGGCATGCTGGTGCCCATACAAGAGTCAGGGGATGGCTCTGTTCTCTTGTGATCACTGGGCAGGGTGCTGGAGGCTCACAGAAGTGACTGCACGGCTCCAGGCCTCTTGTTGGCATTGTTCTGCCTCTCCCTGTGCCCAGGCTGAGGCGTGCCAGGCCTGGGGGCTCCAGCACTCACTGCTCTCTCTCTGGGGCAGGAGGCCTCCCACAGGTTCGCCCTGCCAGCGGGGGGCTCGGAAGGAGCAGCCAAGCAGGAGAGCTTCGTGCTGAGTGTGGCAGGGTAAGTGGTGTTGCTGCTGGGGCCGTGATTCCCCCCTTGTGGGGCCATTTTCTGTGCTTTGGTGGTGAAGGAATGCTGCCTCTCAGATGTCTTTGGGAACGGTTCCCGTGGCACTGCTGAAGTAAAGGGGCCTCATTCCATATGGGATTTTGCCTTATGGAAAAACAAATTCTTACGGCAGGTTACTTTAGCAGTTTGTCTGTGTTCATGTTTCAGAGGCTGTTTTGACTGGACTTTTGCAGCTTCTTACTGTCTCTGTAATACAGTCATTGATCCCTGACCACGTGCTGGTGTACTGCATCTGTGCACTGCTGTCAGCAGTTCTTGCCAAGGGACATTTGATTCTGGGATCTGTGAGCTTAACCTACAAGACCTGCTCTGACTCTGACCTTGGATAAATCTTAAGCATTGTTGTAATCTCCCTAAGATAACAATGCTAAATCTCCTTGACACAGAACAAACAGAGCTTTGTATGTGGTCCTTCAGGAGTGTAGTTCTGAAATAGCTGTCCATTTTTTGATCTACAGCATAGTCCTCTGTCTGAATGTCTGTGCCTTGGCAGGGTTACAAGCCATGGGCATAGCAGAGTGCCTTGCTGCTTAGAGGCAGCATAGCGAGCGCCAAAGAAGGGTGCAGCATTCCTGTCTTGTTTTTGAAAATCACAATCTTCAAATCTTACAGCATTAAAATGAGCCTAGCTTTTATTCCTCGTTTTTCCAAGGTGGATCTTAAAAAGTGCAAATCTGAAGCACCTTACTATGTAAGGTATGGAGAAAGTGAGTTTTACAGCCCAGGCACCTCAACCCTCCCCCACTGTTTGCTGGGGGTGTGAGCCATCTTGCAGGACCTTTGAACGGGCATGGGGTATGCTTTTTTTGTTTGTAACAGCAGCCAAAGTGTTGATAGGTGACACATGAAATAAACCCTGTTTGGAACAGAACGTGATGTTTTAGGTAGGGCAGGCAGGGTGTGGTGGTGCACAGTGTATGGCAGAACACCAAGAACTAGGGATTTGGATGTGTTTGTAGAGTCCACCTGACCCCCAGAGGGAGGGGAGCATGGCTGGCTGCATGGCCTGGGGAGGAACAGTGCTTGCTGGCAGTGTGTGTGGGTGTCTGTTGTCTCCTATGACCTGTGTTACCCAGATTTTCTTCTCATTCTTTTCATTTCAGCATGGACCAGGTAAAAGGTGTGTTGACACTGCAAGGAGATGCCTTGTGTCAAGCTGTAAGTATATCTGTACTTTGTACCATAAAGAGATGTGAGAGAGGTCTTCGTTGCTATGCTTTAAAAGTGATCAATAAGTATTTCTTGTCTTCCTTAATAGGCCTTAAATCCTTAACGTTTCAAGGACTGTTGAAATTTTTCAAGATCCAGCATTTTGAGCGCTCCCCCTCCATGGCATACCACTGCACTCTTGATGCCATTTGAACTGGCAGTGGATAAGAGATGTCTTTGGTTGTAGTTTAGACCATATAGACCCTTAGACTTGGACTTTTTGCAAAAGTTTTACCTCTTTGGCTTCAAGAAAGAAGCATAATTGATGGAGGTTATGTTGGTAGTCATACCAGCTGGCACTAAAATTCCTATGGTGCACTCAGCTTTTATGGGGATTCTCTGCCTTTACTACTTGCATTGTTGTAATTCCAAGCTCTCTTGAGAGAAAACTTTGGGGATGAGATGGTGCTTCCTGCCTGGTTCTTGATATGCTGAATTCCCTTCAGCTTATCTGTGGTTTTAACATCTTCTTGGAAAAGGACTGATGTTCTGACCATGGTGGAATGGCTTTTAGCAGCTTGCCAAGATGGTGTGAGAGGCAGAATGGATTGGCAGCCTCTATGTTCTGCAGGTGGGGATTGCTTGCTCTGATGTGTTGGCTTCTTTCTTCAAGGACCTTAATTTGAAAATGCCCAGAAGTAATCAGCTCCTGCATTTTGCATTCCGGGAAGACAAGCAGTGGAAACTGCAGCAGGTACTGTTCACTTTGTAAGTTTACCCCTCTGCAGCATCTGCTGCCTCATTTCTTTCAGTAAGGACTATTCCATCCTAAGTTGTGGTAAAAGCTAAGGGAGGAAACATACGTTTAAATTGAATGATGGTGCTAGGAAAGCAAGAAGTGAATTCTGCTTGTTCCTGAAACACCACCAATCTGAAGGCTGTTTATATAGAGCTCATAATCCTTTAAAAGGAGTGTTTAGAGTGTATGTGCAGCATGTAACTGGATCTAAAGGCCAGGCAAGCAGGACAGAGAGCAGCTTCAAAGGTTTTGAGCTGGTTCAGTCACTTGCTTTCAGTGTCTTACAGAAGCACTTTTTAATGCTAAGAACAGCTGTCGCTGCACTGTGCCCTTGTAGCATAGCTGAGTTCCCTCAGTTAAGGATTTCAGTACTGAATCTCTTACCCCATTTTACTGAGAGATACTTGATTTCAGAACCTCATCTAGAGCCTGGTCTTGAAAGTGTGGTTTCCCACAGTTGTCATAGCTGAAGGTTGAAGAAGGATGTATGCTGTGTACCTTCCTGTGCCATGGCTTGGATGTTTCTACATGGTTGGTGTATTTGGTCCTGGAGTGCAGTTTGCAATGACTGTTTGGGCAACAGCATGAAATCTTTATAAAAATGTAGAAAATTGTGTGCTCGAGTTGTTGATGCTGAATTGAGCTGTGCTTTGCTTTGTGTTTCAGCCAGTCAGGATTGTAGATAAACTGTGCTTTACACGAAGCTTTGGTGCTAACACTCTGCAGTCTGTCCTGTTCTGTGGCTGTCTTTGAGATGGGCTTCTGCCAGCTGACAGCTTTATTCACTTGGAAAAATTATGCTGAACTGTTGTTAAGATGTGGAATGTGGATGTGGAATGCTTCAGTGTAGAAGCATTTACTGTAATTATTTGGAGATCTTTGTCCTGTCTGGGCTAAAATTGAGGATCTTGAAGTGTTGTATTTCCCTTAGCATGTGGTGCCAGTTGGAGTCTTGTTTTTCTGTGCAAAGTGGGGTAAAGCCATGGGTAAGAAATAGCAGCTTAGGTCTGGTTTTGAGGAACACAAGCACATGCACAGAACTTGACTAGAAATGAGAGCAAAATCAAGGGGAAATAGAAATAAAGCAAGTCCCTGTGATGGCATTATTGGTATTGCTGAGTTTGTTGGTGCTGCCAGGAGCTGTGTTGTTTGCACAGAAGCACTTGAGAGACGCAAAGGCTGGAAGTGGTGGCGTTCTAGAGATGTCATAGTTCAAATGCCTACAGAATCTCTGTACAAACTGTCAGTGGATTTTATAATATTACCTTTCTGTAACCTCCAATGCTTTGTGCTACTTAAGAGCAAGACTCTGATCCGTGAGCCCAGGATAAGGAGGAACCAGTGCCTGGATCTACACCAGGGAGGCCTCTACAAATTTGAGCTTGCAACTGGTGGTACTGAGGAGTAGCACAGATGTATCAAGCAACAAATATCCCAAACTTATTTCATCTATCTCCCAGCAGCCACATTTTCATGCGGACTTGTCTGCTTTCATTTCATTTATTGTTCCTTCTGAGTTACCCGTCAGTTCTTTTGTGCTCTCTGGAACTAAATACAAATCACTTTTTCCCGGAACTGTATTCCTCCTCCTCTGGTTTGTCTTTGCACCCATGAAAACACTGGGGTACACCTACTGAGCTTGCTCTGATAGTTGTCTCCCAGCTGCAAGCAGTGCAGTGAGTCTCTGCAGTGAGAGAAATTTGGGCTAGCTGTCTCCTGTGTTTGGTTAAGTTCCACACAAGCAGCGCAATGGCATTTTCTTGAGGCTGGAAATAACCTTCAGCCCCCAGTGACTACAGGGCATGTGTCATTTGTTTTAGCTCTAAGGAAGAAATCATTATTCGTGATGGTAGACTGAACTACCATATGCTGTCAGCAGTGAGAATTCGTGCTTGAATGGTTGTGATCAGAGTGTCTGATGTCACTCTTCCTTTGGGACAGCAGCAGTATTTTTACTGAGAGTTCATGGTGTAGCTATTACACTGTTTAATATGTCCAGTGAACAATATAGTAATGTATCTGGACAGCAATGGCAGATTTGTGTTGGCAAGTATCTGGTAGTAACAGGAAAATGGCCTTAACATGTAAGAAGTCACCATTTTCTTAGATGACTCCCAATGAGATGGGGAAATGTGTTTTCTTTTGTATATTACAGAGAGTGCTTCTTTAATGCTGCTACATTTGTACCCTTGCAGATCCAGGATGCTAGAAACCATGTTAACCAAGCAATTTACCTGCTTATGAACAGAGATGTAAACTACCACTTCAAGACAGGCTCAGAGGTTCTCAAGGTGAGGAGAAAAGCACTCCAGCTGAGTTGGAGTGTGCATGTTTCTCATGTTTCTTTCCTCTGTTTGCTTTTTTTTTCGGTGGGAGGGGGGGAATCTTACTGCACATTACTGTCTTGTCTCTTCATACTGGAAGTGTCAAGGAGTGTCTGTGTGACCTCATTTGATATGAATCTATTACCAGTCTAGCATCAGTAACGAGGTTATAAGTCACACTGAATGCTGATCTGAGCAGTCAGTGCCTGTTGCACAGCAGTGGTGTTGTGAGAGAGCCTCTCTTGGGTGATGTAATTATCACAGAATCACAGTTCTTGGATGGGACTTCTGGAGATCTCCCAGTCCCCATCTAAAACATGTTCTCTACAGCAGGTTGCACAGGAAAGTGTCCAGGTGGGTTTTGAATATTAGAATATCTCCAGAGAAGGAGACTCCATGGCATCTTTGGATAATTTGTTTCAGGGCTGTGTTATCCTCTAAAGAAGTAGATCAGTCATGCTTTTCCCTGTCGGTCAGTGCTCTTGAGGAGAGGAGAAGAAACAATGCAGTTGTAGCAAATAAAAGGGAACAGGATTTACAGATGGTTTGAAAATGGCTTCTCCAGTTGCTGCTAGTGATACCTGTGTGATACAGACCAGCTGCTGTGTGGGATACAGCCCAGCCTGGACATGCTCTCTGGACCAGAGGTTGGGCTTCACTCAGTAGAACTCAGAACAGTATCAAACATTTCAGCTGAATTTCTTTAGTTGCCATATGTATGCACAAGGGCTGCTGATAGGGAAGATACAGTTTTATTATCAATATCCTTTTTAATTTTGATGGAAGGAGAGGGGAGAAATTAGTCAAGATTTTAAATACCTTCATTTTAGCAGCTGTAACCTTGCAACAGACAAATGTTGCTTCCCACTTCCCTGAAAAAGGAAGTCTGCCTGAACAGAGTCTTTCTTGCCACTTTCGTAGCATTGAATTTATCCTGGATATCTAACCTAGATCTACCCGCCTTTAGTTTAAAGCCATTACCCTTTGTGCTATTGCTGCACTCCTTGATAAAGAGTTCCTCTCCAGCTTTCTTCTAGGCCTCCTTTAGGCACAGGGAAGCTGCTATATGGGCTCCCTGGAGCGTTCTCTAGGCTGAACAGCCTCAATTCTCTCAGCCTGCCTTCACTGAAGAGGTGCTCCAGCCCTCTGAGCTTCTTCCTATGGACCAGATCCATATTCTTCTTTGGGTGCCCCAGAGCACCAGCTCAAGTTCCATTTTTTTGTCTACCAATAATGCCAGGCCCTTCTCCACAGGATTGCTCTCAGTGCACTCCTTGCCTAGTCTGCATTCCTGTTTGGGATTGCTCTGACCTGGGTTCAGGACTTTGCATTTTGTCTTGTGTCACCTCAGTCAAGACAAGGAGGGGTAGAACAAGTTTTCTTTCTTTGTTGTTCTTGTATACTTGTTAGTTTTCACAACTCTAGCCAAGTTCTCCTCCAGCTGTGCATTGCCTTTCCTGATCTCCTCCCAGCACTTATGCATCTTTGAGCATGGTGCTGTATCACTGTATGAGTCTTGCTTTACGATTTCAACCATTGCCAAAACCTCGTATTTGTTGCTGATTGATTGGTATTTGTGAGGAAATGGGAATTGTCATCCTGTTGCCATGAGTTTATAAGAGACCACAACATCTCCTTTTCCAGCAGCCTGTATCCAGTCACATTCTTTTGTCTGCTAGTCCTTGTGGGAGCCACATCTTCCCAAGTCCCTGAATTCTGAGTGGAAGAGGGTGGTTGTAACACTGGCAGAATCCTACAGCCTTTTGCAGCACGTTCTCAAGAGCAGTTCATGGCTTTCCACTCAGCACTGTACTGTCATTTTCCAGCTTATGGATGCTGTGATGTTACAGCTCTCAAGAGCACGGAATCGACTCACCACTCCAGCCACTCTGACTCTACCAGAAATTGCCTCCAGTGGTCTCACAGTAAGTATGTGGTAGTCTAAATCTTCGGTAGTCTAAATACTTTGGTAGTGTGCAGTGGTCAGGATATTGTGCTGCATTTTGGTGGGAATGAATTTCTGAAGCCTCTCCTGGGAAGGGAGAGAAAGGGGGAGAGAGAAAGTAAGTGCAAACCCTGAGCTCTTAATTCTTGTCTGTTCTGTATCCCTTGGGGTGTGAGGACTCTGGTTGTCAGGGAGAAGTTGTGTTCCCTGTCCAGGAAGGTTGTCCAGGGATGATTTCTTCTTATGAATACTATTCCATCCGCTTTTGGCATCAGCACTCATGCCCACACCATCTGACCAACTGCAGCAGGAGGAGCAGCCATTACATGCATGCTGCTCAGTCTGTTTCTTGTGTCACATCCCACACTATGGGCTGCTTGCTGTACAGCTTAGAAAAGGTAGTGATTTTGTAGCATTAGAAATAATGGACTGTTCACTGATTAAAAAAACAACTTATTTTCTCACTAGAAAATGTTCAGCCCTGCTCTTCCTCCAGACATCCTTGTGAATTTCTATATAAACCTGAATAAGCTGTGCCTGACTGTCTACCAACTCCACGTGCTACAGCCCAGCACGACCAAGGTGATGTCTGCCATTTCTTGAGCCTTTTTTATTTACCTCTCCTTCCCTCCTACTGTGAGGAGATCACACTGTTACAGAGTGCACTGTTACAAGCATAAGATAATGTATAAATCGTGGTGACTGGTATTGTGTCTGTATGTAGGTCTACTACAGCCAAAACACTGGCTCTAAACCTAGCTCATGGCATGACTCTTTAGCCAAGAGGAAAATAACAGTGCTCTGGAGAAAGTCATAATTATTTTTGCCAGTGTTTTATCTTGCAATATAGTTGGATAATTTTTACATAGTTCTAGAAGGGCATAGCTTTGTATTACATTTTATACTGAAGTCACATCTTAGGTTTTCTGAATGGGGTTTTGGTGGTTACTTTTCTGCTTTACATAGTACACTTGGGTCAGCTTGATGTCCCATAAAAACAGAATTAAACTCTTACAGTTAATGAAATATAGTCCCTCCGTAAGGATATTTTTCCTAAAATCAGTTTTCTGCTCTTCTACTAGATATTCTGTTCAGTGGGAACTTATTCTATGATTGTATAATCTGGAGCTAAATTGGACTCAGCCACTGTGTAGAATGTTCTTCTGAAGGAGCAAAATGGGATCAAATGGCATGGATTCAATATGAACAAAGTATTCAGATGTATACAGCAGCTGTTTTTTTTGTCAAGCTACTAATTTGCACATCTTCAAAGTATTTTACTGCCTCAAAATCCTAATTGCCTTTGCCTTCTCTTAGAACTTCAAGCCTGCTGGAGGATCCATCCTGCACAACCCTGGAGCCATGTTGTAAGTACAGTCGCTACAAGGCTGTGTAACAGTGATAGGAGGATGCAGAGGGTAAGGTCCAAATGGATCAGATGCTCTCATCGGATTGTGTAAATGGAAAAACTAAACTGAGCAATTTGCTGTGGCTGTACCTGTAATTGCACAGCTACCTGCGACAGTGTTTCTTTAATGACTGTGAGAAAGGCTTTTTGGGATTCAGCTCACCCACAGAATGTCACGAGTTTGGCAAGAGATTGGAGTCATTAGCCACCAGAACATCAGACTGTTGGTATGGCCTCCTGCATTACCTGCAGTGCTCCTCTCTGGAAAGTGATAATGTTTCTACCTGAACCCTATTGAATTGTGCTAAATTCTGAGTCCTGCTGGAGGTAGACTGAGAGTTTGTGTTCTGTAACTTTGCCAGGTGCTGTTTTAAATGAAGAGGTCATTCTGACTCCTTCTGTGAGAATGGAGGACAGTTTTGTGTTCTGTGCTGCTGTGTGTGAAGCTGTGCTCTTCTTTTACCCTATCCAGTGAGTTCGGCAACCAGCGGTATGAAGTCAGCCATGTCCATAAAATGGAGTCCGTTGTCCCATGGTTAAATGATGCCCTTGTCTTCTTCACAGTTTCACTGCAGCTTTGCCAGCAACTGAAGGACAAGGTAATGGCCTTAGAGAAGGAGCTTTGTTTTATAACTCTGAATTTCGAGGGAACCTCAGATATCCTAAAAATCTGACGAGATATTTTGTACAGCTGGTACACAGACTGAAAACAAGCAGTGAGTCAGCGCTCTGGAGCCTAGGAGCTGGCTGTCGCTGGCGAGCAGACAGCCATCTGGGGGGAATGTAGCGTGGCAGATGTTTGCTGAGCTAGATGGAAAGGAACAGGTCAAAGTTTTTGTGCTAGTCGTGAGGTGGATGTTAAGAAATGCCAGTGTCCTGGGGAGGAGATGTGGAGACCTATCCAGCAAGCTGGTTCACTTTCAGCTCTGCAACTGACCTGGCTGCTACCTTGGCAAATAACAGTGTGCTCTAAGCCTCTTCAGTGACAACAGCAGCAAATCTGTCTTTCTGCAGCACAGTGCTAGATAATACTGTAAAACTCAATCTTTTCACACTTATCGTAAGCTCATTCTTCTAAGGTCGAGAGATTCCAGGAGCTTAACTGCTTTCTCTCTTGCTTTCCAGATTTCAGTTTTCTCCAGTTACTGGAACTACAAGCCATATTAATTCCCTGTGGACCTTCCGAACCCTTAAAACACTTCCAGTGTCTCCCTGTTTGTTTTCTGTGTGCCACTTGAGTCCAGGTCAGCCTGTGAGGAGTGCTGTGATTCGCTTACCTCATGGTCCTCTTCAGGGTAGGGTCAATGGACCTGGAGGCACATGTCTGGTAGCCTTGTCTGGGAATAATGCATGAGCAGGGCACCAAGCAATACTGTGTGGTTGGTGGGAGCTTCCACCTGTCTTCATTGTGTGGTTTATGCTTTGCCAACCTCTGACAAACATCAGTCCCTTACAAGGGATGGGGAGCTGTGGATCAACCACGTTCAGTAACAGTATTTGCACACAGTGCTATCACTAACTGCTGGACTGTGAGCTGGTTGGGAAGGGGTGAAATTAGACTCATCTAACACACCACAAAAAGTGCATGGCATGTTGGTCCAGCTGCAGTTATGACTAGTTCAGCTTTTCTCTCCAATCTGTTCTGGCCATACCCGTGTTACTGATTCCCCTTTGAAGATATTGTTACTTGCTACTATTTGAGCTTTTTTTCCTTGGCATCAATGTGATCATCTGTATTATTTATTTTTCCTAAACCCCAGTCCAGCCACTTGGTTTTTTTCCAGGTGTGGTATCTCATTTTCATTGCCAGCTTTTGGAGCTGCCTTGGTACCTTGAACACAGCTGTGCAGTCTCACATCCTGTCATTAAACTCAAAGTGAGTACCACGTTGTTACTATGATTTGCTGCCTATTTATGATTGCTACATTATGTAACTCAGCCATCTAACCATTGGTAACTGTGAAATAAAGATCCTCAGACATACCATGCTCCTGTGGGTTGTCTTTGCTGCGAACAAAGATTGCCAAAGGTTCTGTGCTCTTTTTCAAGTGAGTGCTTTAGTTGTGCATGCTGTATTACTGCCTGGAGAATGGAGCCTAAGAGCCTATAGTTCTTAGCCAGTGCCATCTGACCTGAGTGTTATTTAAAGCCCTTCTCCAAACTTCCCTTGACAGTCATGTTTTGAAGTGGCTGTATGTACTGTGACTGCATTGAGTTGGCTCTTGAAGCTGACTGGCTATGTTGGAGAAGCATTGCCTGTCTCCTGCTTGGCAGCTACTCACCCTGTCCAGCCTGTGTTTCTGATGGGTTTCATCACTGGAGGACCTTACCCAGGAGCCTAGATGTGTGCTGAGGTAAGCAGAGCAGGCTATGGTACATCAGGGCCATTGAAGGCTGTCTTGACAGGATGCAGGATTTTGTTCCTTTCCAAGTGGTATCAAGCTCTCTGCTCTAAAAGGAGAGATCACAGAATGGCTAAGGTTGAAAGGGAATGTAGGCGATCTGGTCCAACTCTCCTGCTCAAGCAAAGCCACGTAGAGTCAGTTGCTCAGATGGTTTATGAGCAACTCCGAGAATGGAGACTAGAGATAAGTCACTTTGATCTTTTTTTCTTCTCTTTGGATCTCTGCTCTGGGCGTATGTGTTCTCTCCCTTTTGTCTGTAAGCTCCCTTTCTGTTCCATAATGAGACCCTTGGGATCCTGGAGTGAGTTTGTGCCCCTTGTCTGAGGACTTGGCACCAGGGCTGTGCTTTGCCTAACATGTTAATATTGCAGGTTGCAGGCATTAGCACTTCCTATACATGAATATCAGGCTGTGACTGATTAATGTATGTGTCAGTAGTGAAAGGTGGCAAGTAGAGAGGCCTGGGTGAGCTAGTTCAATCGCAGATACAAGGGTAATTGACTGGAGCTAGTAATGTAACTAGTTGTGGTCATGACCCTGGGTATGCATTTACCAGTCCTTGCTCTGTTCCGGACTATTTTCTGCTTAGAGAGTGGCTACATGTGTGTGCTCACCACTAACAGCTTCTCAAATTAGAGTATTTCTATAGTTAATCTCTCTGGAGCTGTCTGAACTTCTCTTTAAACCTCTGTGTGTGTGGATGGAGGATTCTCTTTTATTTCACTCTACTGTGTGCAGTGCTGTCAGTGTTGCTACATCCTCTCCAACGGTGATTCCTGCTGTCAAGGATACAACACTCGATCTGTGTTTGTTTCCTGCCAGTGAAAACAGTCTCCTGTTCTGAAGGGCAGGAGTGTGCAGAGTGAATAGCTGTCCTCCTTCCAACTCTGATTCAGTGACTGTGCTGTGAGAGCTGCTAGGCAGCAGGGTGGCTCCTATACAGAGGACACTGCCTTGTTTAATGATCCAGAAGAGCAAGATAGGAGCAAGGTAAGTGGAATTCAACAGGCACAATACCCTGGGCTTATGTCCCATGGTTTGAAAGATAGAACAAGGATCTTCCAATTACGGTCTTTACAGCTTATTCCTTTTCCACTCTAGCCCTCTGAGGGCAGAGGAAAAAGTTAGAAAGGTTTTGCAGCTCAGTGAGGTTGGTATGGCACAGCTAACAGCAGCACCCCTCTCTTTGCAAGTGCAAATGTAAGCTGGGCCACAGTTTTAGCAAGTTCTTGACAGCACAAGGTGTGTGCCACAGTACTGGCAGCTTCTGAATGGTACACACATCGTGAGTGTTGCTGTGCAGCTTAGGCAGAATGAAGTAACCAGGCTGTCAGCCCTCTCCTGTGAAGAGTTTCTGTGGCCTTCTGGTTGTTTTTTTTTTTTGCTTCCTTTTGAGAAGCTGTGGCTCTCATGAGCAAAACCTTTCGTGATGGCACCTTTTTTTTTCCATTTTGCCAGGGGATATGTAGTTAATCTACATTTTTTTCTGATGGAGATAGAAGCATGCTGCTTATATTCTGTGGCTGCTTGCTTTTGAGGGGGTCTAGCAGCTGAGTTGTTGCCTGGATGCTGCTGATGCTGAAGCTAAAGAAGACACTGATCCTTGGACCTTGGCTGTTGAAGCTCTAAGTGCTATTGGAGAAGGAGCTAGAGTTGCCTAAACTAAAATGAAAAATTCACAGCATCGCAGAACTGTAGGGGTTGGAAGAGACCTCTGAAGATCATCTATCTAGTCCACCCCCATCCTGCCAAAGCAGGTTCCCTAGAGTGGGCTGCACAGGAAAGAATCCAGGTGGATTTTGAATATCTGCAGAGGAGACCACAACCTCTCTGGGCAGTCTGTTCCACAGCTCTGTCACCCTCAAAGTAAATAAGTTCTTCCTCATTTTCGTACAGAACTTCTGTGTTCCACTTCATGCCCATTGCCCCTTGTCCTTTTGCCAGGCAATCCTGAAAAGATCCTGACTGCTTGCAGTGCAGCTTGTAGCAGCAGCACTGCAGCAGGCTGATGGTAGAGCAGAAACACAGACTATGAGTAATTAAGAAAGTTTATTTGACGTCTGTCTCAGTCTAAGCAGCTATTTCTGTCTTGCCTACTGAGTGGTGACACACAACAAGCAGGCTCTCTTGGTGCCCTTAGCACCATCTCAGCTCTGAGCAGAGCCCGGTCAAGGCTGACCAGGTGCTATTGTGGTTTTCTGGAGCTGTTCATGAAACTCGTGAAAGTATCTGATGCCTGCCTGCTCAGGCATTGCTGTGAGCTGCTCAGAATGCTGCCTAACATCCCTGGTTTCCCATCAGAAAGCCCTGTGCCACTGCTCCCATACACAAGCACATCCTTGGCTGCATTTTAAAATGTCTTCTGTTCTCAGTTCAGAAGTGGACCTTTCTTGTTCTGCATGTGCACTGGCAGAAAGGGTCGCTGCCCATCTTGGGATCACACTTTACAGGTATACAGAATATCACCAAAAAGTAAAGGTGTTTTTCTATACCAATCCACCAGGGACTGCAGGGTGCTTAGTTAAGGGCATGATGCTTTTCAAATGGAAAGCAGTGCTAATCTTTAGCATGAAGAACAAACCTTTTCTTTTCTGCCTGTAGCCTGTCTCCTGGATGCAGGAGGTTCCACATTCACCCCAGAAGTGCAGCAGTAAGGTGATGCAAGTCTAGCGTGGAAGGGCTTGAGAGCTTTGGTCACAACAACCCCAGGCAACCCTACAGGCCTGGGGAGGAGTGGCTGGAAAGCTGCCTGATGGAAAGGGACCTTGGTGTGCTGATGGACAGTCAGCTGAATGTGAGCCAGCGGTGTGCACAGGTGGCCAAGAAGGCCAATGGCATCCTGGCTCGGATCAGGAATGATGCGGTGAGCAGGACCAGGGCAGTCATCCTGCCCTGTACTCAGCACTGGTGAGGCCTCACCTCGAGTGCTGTGTTCAGTTTTGGGCACCTCAGTACAGAAAGGACACGGAGGTGCTGGAGCAGGTCCAAAGAAGGGCAACAAGGCTGTGAAGGGCTTGGAGAATATGGCCTATGAGGAGTCTCTTCTCACTGGTGACAGGATGAGGGGAAGTGGCCTCAAGTTTCACTGGGGAGGTTTAGGTTGGATATCAGAAAAAACTTTACAGGGTGGTTAGCACTGGAACGGGCTGCCAGGGAGGTGTTTAAAATCTGTTTGGATGTGGTGCTCAGGGACGTGATTTAGGGGTGGGTTGTGAGAGTTAGGGCGTATGGTTGGGTTGTGGTTGGATTTGATGATCTTGAAGGGTCTTCTCCAAACTAAGCAATTCTGTGATTCTGTGATCGTGCAGACATAATTCCTGCTGCTGTTGTTCCACCTGCAGCCCTCAGCAGCATCTGCTCACACCTGCCTGGCTCAAAAACTTAGCCTGTAAATGTAGAAATGCCCTTTGAGAGCCCAGTTGCCTTGAGTAGAGCAATCCCTGAGCAGGGCAAGGTAGGAAAAGGCCAAACTCAGCCAGCAGGGTAGTGCCTGCTTTTAGCAGCTTGTGTCTGTAGCATGAGCAGCTGAAGCCAAGTTCCACCAGTGTAGCCCAGAGCATCAGGGACTGAGATGGAGTGCCCAGTGACATGGGACTGGATTGCAACTAACATCACTGTAAGAGGAAATAAAGGAGTCTAGGTCCATGGTGACGTGGGTGGAGAGCTCTGTGTTTGCCTGCACAGACTGTGCTGCACAGACTTCCTGCTGAGTTGGGGTGCCATTTGGGTTTTCTAGTATGAGTTTGAATTACTGGTAGCATAATGCATCTGTCCGGGCACAGGGGCAGGTTGCAGGCACAGCCCCAGGTGGCTGGGGATTCTTCTGTCCATTCTTCTGTAGGGTCAGAGAGCAGCACCCACAGGAAAGGCAGTAATTTATTTTCCCTCTTCCTGAAAATGGTTTTGGCCTTTTCTGCTGCTCCATGTTGTTATTAACAGGTGCCAAATTAATTTGGCAATTCAGATCACGGTGCTGGACTTCATTGAGGCAGTACAACCTATTCCTTATGAGAACCTGGAGCATATTTCTGAGAAGCACAGCTGTCCTGAGGGAATGCTGCTTGCAGACAGGAAAATCTTAATGCTGAGAGGCACTTTCCATTCTCACACCAAAAAAAAAACAAAAAAGAAAAAAATCACATAGCAGAAGTAGTTTGCTGGAATTGAGCCATCTTGGTTTTGGCAAGGGTAGGACTGGATGAGTTGCATGGGGCAAAGATGTGAGTTTAAGCCAAGATGAGCTGTCCTGGGATAATGTGAGCATAGACAAAGTTTTGATTCTAGTTTACAAGGTGGTAGTAACTGTCATAAACTTAATTAATGGCGTTGAGAGTGGTTTTGGCTTCATTCTTTGGTTGTGTGGCCCAGCCTGCTGGGCACATCTGTTCTCAGGAGGGCACTGTGGGGCCACAGGATGGCTTTCAGTTCAGAAGCCGAGCTTAGGGTCAGGACAGTTCTGCTCACAGTGTTGCAGAAATACGCACAGGATGATGCTTCACAGCAGTGTGTGCTGGTCCAGTGCCAAAGAGAAAAGGCACCCAAGGGCTCTGCCTGCTGTGCTGTTCTGTCACCTGTCATCTGTGCCTCCTCGAGACGAGCCCTGATCCCTAGGGGCCAGGACAGGGATTTTGCTCACTCATACTTCAGGCTTGACTGTGCTCGTGTTATCTGAAATGACAGCAGGCAAGTTGATTTGACAGGTCTGTACTCCGTGAAGTCACAGTCAAGCGGTGTTTCATGCCTGTCTGGTCCATCTCCCTGATGCTGTGTGGAAGGAGGGAGGAGGTTTGCTGGAGGTTGCTGCTGGGCTGCAGAGAGCCTCCCACCTCTGAACACAACTCGCTCGGACAGAGCTTGTGCCCAGCTTGTGAGGTGTTTGCTCCAGCAGAACTATTGCTTCTGGTGTCCCTTGTTTTGGCAGCCTGCCTGCTGTTCCCAGGATGGGGCATAAGTCCCCCTATAAGTCCCCTGTTATTGGGTGCCATTATTGAAGCTATTTTAAGAGAGAAACTGAATCACTATGAAGTTTATTGCTGCCTACGTGGAGCAGGGAGGCTCAGACCTCAGAGCTGTGAGATTTTTTTTTGCTATTAAATGCTTAGAAAGGATTGCTGGTTGGTGCTGCTGCTGCCCTCACACTATCAGGCAGAAGAAGCTGAGTGTTGTGGCCAAGGCTGGGTATAGATATGATGCTGAGTCCTTGAAAGCTCGGGCAGTCCTCTGGGTCCTGAAAAAAGGCAGCAGTGCACTGCTCCATGAGGAGCCACTTGCAAATACTCCTCCCTGACAGCCTTAGCCTGCAGGGAGGCCACAGGGAATGGGAGTGCTTCAAAACCAGGTACCCTGCACTTTTTGTGCAGAGACTCACTGAACGCACCTCATTGCTGAACACACCTCATTTATTGATCTTCCAATTGATACCCAGATTGCTGATTGCTGCTCTCTTCTGCAGGTCCCCCCAGATATACTGGTCCAAAATATGGTGGGCTGTCATGCCCTGGAGACGTCGTCCAGTTCCCCCTCAGATTTGGACAGCAAGAGGAAGCTTTCTGGTTGGCCTTGGCTACACAGTAAGAACTCAGTTTGCTGTGCTACCTCCAATCTGCTATGCTGATGCCTTTCCCCATCAGAAAAGCAAGAGCAAAGCTTTGCCTGTGCAACATTTTCTTTGTTGTGTGCTCACAGGGTGGTACCAGCAGGTCCCTGCTGCAGGCTGACACCAGGCTAGAAGGACACCATCACACCACCGAGAGAGAGATGGGGTGTCCAGCTAAAACCTTGCTGTGTCCAGCTTGGGTAAGATCTGGGGAGAAATTGTGTCTCAGCAAGAACTTCCATGGTGTCGATACAACTCTTGCTGCATAGAGCAGCCATTCCTCACAGACTGCCATGGCTAAGCATGTGCTGCACAGATGTGCTGCACTTCTCTGTGCACACAGACCTGTTCCTTGGTTGTCCTCTCAATGGTTTATTGCACACATGCATCATGCTGGGAGCACTGAGGTGTGCAGAAGAACACAGGCATCCATGCAGTGTATCCGAGGGGGAGGCAGTTCTTTTTGCTGGAAATCTCTCAAGAAATTGGAATTGTTTGTCCTGACTGCTGTGAATAGCTAAGAGTACAATGTCTCCCTGCTTCTCATCACTTACAGTCTAATTAGAGCCCAATTCCACTGCCATTCAAACTGAGCTGTCAGCTCAGGCAAATGAATGTTTTACCTCTAAGCTTCTTATCAGCAGAGTCTGTAATTCACCTGGAAGATATTCATGTGTGCCAATTCACTGCCTGAGGAATGGAATGACGTTTGTCTCATTGCTGGGCTGCTGATTATGAGAGCTGGGATAGGGGCAGTGGCAGCAGGGAAGGCAAATACATTTGCCCACTTGGCTGGCTAGAAGCCTGAGTGGTTTACAGGCAGATGAAAGGTTACACAGGGAGACTGAATGGGACACTGAAAGCTTGGTAACACAGGGAGACACAGGGAGTCTGAAAGCTTGAGTGGGCAAAGAGACAATCTGACGCATTTATTTGTTGAGTGATTAGGTAGATATAAATGGACACGAGCGAGACCTCAGTTAAGCAGCTGATGAAAATTGTTTTGTTGTCTGGCAAATGGCCCTGGGAACAAAAATGATTTGTGCTCCAAAAGGAAACATGGACTCCAAAATGTTGGGGCTGGTGCAGGAGGCACTCCTTGGCACCTGAGCTGTAAAATCACTCGGCATCTTGATGGATCTCCTCAGTCTGCTCTCTCCTCCCTGTGTTCCTGTTGCTGGTCCAGCTGTTCCTTTGTCACAGATTTGCCATCTTCCCCACTGCGTGTTGGGACTGGGACTCCCTCTTTGCTGGACATCCCCAGGAGAGCATGGAGTACTTTTGGCAGCTGCAGTCACAGGGTGTTGGGAAGTGTAAGGCAGATGTGAGAGCAGTTTCTCCTTTTTTTTAAGTAGATCATCAGGTTCTGTACTTTGCAGTGGTGTGAGCAATGCTGCTCAGGTTATCAGTGTGGTCAGCCCACATTTTGGGAGGTTTTGGGGTCAAATCCTGCATAGGGAGTCAGGCCATAAGTGAAGAAAACAGGGAGGGAATGTAAACTTGCATACGAATGCATGAAAAGGGCTACAGAGCCACTCGGTGCCTTTCTGTTCAGGTTATCTGCCCACCAGATGTTATTCCTAGACCTAAGCATGCTCCAGAGAGCCTGGTGGTCTGACAGCAGATCCTGCTCCCCTGCAAGCCTACAGTGGCATGAACTCCTACAAGGACCATCACTGAGGCTGATTGAGCTTTCCTCTGAGAAAGCTTTGGACGTGAACTTGAGCACTTCCACGGGCAGGGTGGAGGATTTGCTGCCAATTATAATGACTGTCACCTTGCCAGAGAGAAGAAATGCACCCATTCTAAGTCAGAACACGTGCAACTTCTGTTTTCCAGCTAGATCTGAGATTCCAACCTGCAAATGGGGCTTCTCTGTTTTTGCTAGCACAAAGAGGTGGTGTATGTCTGGACTGAATGCCAAATACCTGCTTCTTTCCAGCCTGCCAAGTGAGCGGGGAGAAGAAGGGTCTCCATCACAAGCAGTATTCACTCATTCTCACTGATTCTCCCTTTCTAGTGATGATCTGTGGCACAGTCATTTTAATGGGGTTTTAACCCATGTCTTGTGCATTATTCTGATTTTGTATTGTTCTGGCCTTTTAATCAAGCACTCAGGCATGGGACAGTGCCAATCAAAGGGGGTTATAGAAAATAGCTTTCATCAAGGTCACTTGATATTTTTCAGTACAGGATATTTTATGTCAGAAGACATCTGTAAAAGCTCTGTTCTACCATTGTGTGGCAGTAATCAATGAATCTTATTTTAGTTTTTCCATCATTCTGCTGATGCCTGTCTAAAAGAGCACAGCTGGACTGTAGAATCATCAAATCATTCAGATTGGAAAAGACCTCTAAGATGATCTCATCCAACCATCCACATACCACCAATACTGCCCACTAAACCACATCCGTGAGTACCACATCCACACGGTTCTTGAACACCTCTGGGGAGGATGACTGCATTACCTCCCTGGGCAGCTTGTGCCAATGCTTGAGCACTCTTTTGGAGTGGAAATTTTTCTTAATATCCAACCTAAACATCCTCTGGAACAATTTAAAGCCATTCCCTCTTATCTTATTGCTGTTACCCTGGAGTAGAGGATATCCTCCACCTTGCCACAACCTCCTTTCTGAGACTTATAGAGGCAATAAGGTCTCTCTGAGCTTTCTCTTTCCAGCTGCTCCTCCTGAATGGACTGTGTGCCTGTGCTGTGTGTGGCCTGTCTCCAGTAGTAGTGCTGAGGTAGTGTTGGCATGTGGGCATTGCTGGAAGGAGGTCCCAGTGGACCTGACTAGGGACAGCTCTGTGCAGAGAATGGGACGAGCTGCGTTGGGTTGGCTTGTGAACAAGCTGGTGCCTGTTGGCATTGGGTTGTGGTGAAAACAGAGGTTCCCATCCAAAGGAGTATTGGTGCTGCTTGGAAAGGAAATGTTTTGTGCTGAGAAAGTCAAGGGGATACTGCTGTTTACGCCTGGTCTCAGGCTGGTCCCCTGGCCTGTCTGCCTGGGGACAGCAGGCTTTGATCCAGCACTTAGAGGAGTGAAGAAGGCTCCTCCTGTCAAAGGGAAGAGGCAAACCTGCAAAGAAGTATTTAATGCACCTGAGTTCCTGATAACTCTCCAGTCAATGTAGCAGCTAACCTGAGGAGAGTCTGGAGTCCCTGATGGGATGGCTCTGAAAGTATGAGGGCTGCAGAAGAGTGGGAGCTGCCTTTGGCATGCGGCTTTTCCCTAGAGAGAAAGGAACTGAGGCAAAACCAAGGACTGGTGCTGTAGGGAGCGGCAGGAGGTGCGACTTTTGTATAAGTACATCAGCATCAGCCCTCAGATTGGGCTCTGAAGCTGTCAGAGTGACCATGGATCTTTGGGGCAGTAGATGTTTTGTGTCAGGAAGTGGAGCAGCACTTCTGAACGCCCAAAACATCCCCCCCAAAAAGGGATTTTGAGCATGCAGTCTTGAAGTCTAGAGCTTCCTTGCCTCTGAGCATTGCCAGCTGTGATGTGTGAGGGTGGTGAGGCACTGGAACAGGTTGCCCAGGAGGCTGTGGATGCCTCATCCCTGGAAGCATTCAAGGCCAGGCTGGATGTGGCTCTGGGCAGCCTGGGCTGCTGTTGGGTGACCCTGCACACAGCAGGGGGTTGGAACTGGATGAGCTGTGGTCTTTTTCAACCCAGGCCATTCTATGATTCTATGATTCTATGATGGAAACTGCTCCTTCTCCACGCCAGACTGTGCCCAGTGGCAGCAGCTCTTGCTGGTGCCAGTGCTTACAGGAGAGAGTCAGATTGTTTTAACTGTGCATTTAGCTCTACTCCAGCTTGAAAATTATCACCTTTAAAGTAAGCTTATACTAAGATCAGGGCTGTTCTAGATTTAGCTACTGGCTTGGGCAGTTGCCAGCTGGGAGCCATTAGCAGGAGCAGGAAGGATGGTGTGGGCAGGAAGCTGCACAGGACACCACACCAGGATTTTGTTGTCTACCACAAAGCTAGGTCGAACACTTCATTAGAAGCAAACTGTGCCATGTTCTAATATTAGCAAATGTGCAAACAGCTTGCTCTGTCCGTTGCTGCTGTGCAGGCTGTGCCTTTGGCTCAGGCATCCAGTGCTTGTATACATTTAAACATCCCTTGAAATATGTGTCTTTATCTGTGAGGGCCCAATACAGGGGGAATCCTGCCCAGCAAGTTGGATAGTACACAAAGGACTCTGCTTGGATCCTTTTATTGATGCAGTAGTCCAAGCTGTTATTTCAGGTGGCTACAGTCCAGAAGGAGTGGATGTCAGGGCTGTCGGGCTAGGAAGGTTGTTGTGGCTCAGCCTTTCTGGGAGAGCTGTGTCTAGAGGCCCCAGCATGAGCAATGAGCTTAATTATTGCTGACAGGTCCCAAATTAACCTGCGGCTGCTGAGATGAAGAGAAGCACCTGTAGGTTGAGGAGTTTTATCTTCTGTGCTGATACCAGGCAACAGAAAAATAAATGGAGGATGTGTGTTGAGCTCTCACATGCTCATTTGATGGTATAGGAGACGAAGTTAAAATCAGTGACTGAAGGTTTCACTGAGCTATAGGGCAGAGCACCAGGCAGGCAGTGACCACAGTGCACTGGCGTATAGGGGCTATGGCTGACTGTGAGGAAGGAGAAAAGGGACTTGTGCTGAGCAAGATGCACCTTGGGCAAAAATTTACAGCTCTAGATCTTGAAAGAATTTACCATTTGCTTCCACAGCTATAGATCCCCACTTCAGTGTCTCTGGTACCTTCAGATTAACCTGAGGAGCTGCCTGCTGCAGCGTATCCTGCTGCAGGCACCCATGTGTGCTTATGGCACCTTATGGGCAGTAGAAAGGGCACGTGAGAAGAGATGTCAATACCACTCACTACATGGGACCAGAAAGCTGTGACTTCAACACAGTAATGTGTGTGGCAGGCGTATGGGCCCTGAAACTAAAATTGCCTCTTCTACCCAACTGAACCTAAGAGAAGAAATTATATGTCCATCCAGAAGCATCAAGCTGAATAATAGTCCTGCTATCCCCAGCACAGCTTCTTTTTCTATTGCTTTTCATTCATTCAAATGAAATGATTACTCTCTGAAAGTTGAACACTCTTGGTCAGTGGGGAAGGATGAACTTGGTGTAAGAGCAGATGGAACCATTTATTTCTGCTTGGGTTGGTACTCATTTCTCTGAAGGCA